AAGACATTTGGAAGAACATGAAACCTTTTGTTTGTGGTTTGATAGTCTGGATTTTGCTGTTGTATTGCAAAGCCCTTGCATTCTTTGTTCAAGCCCATGTTGTAATGTGATCTCAGTTAAGACCGTCATATTCCTAATTCTTGTTTCAGCATGTGAAGTAGGCCTTTGTAATGGATACATCCGATCTCTTTTGGCATACAGAATTGACGGATTTTAGGCCTCATCCAAAAATGTTGTTTATGATTTTCAGATTTGTTTCCCTATCCCAAGAGATTCTAATGCTACAGAATTAATATCAATCATGCTGTATCCCTGGCTTTTCAGATATGTAGAACAAAAAATTGATATGCATTAGATCTAAACCAATATCTATTTTTGTGGCAATAAAACTATTCCCGATCAGTAGGTGGGTCATGGAAGGTATTTTGATGTCACAAGTTACCCTTCAGGTCAATAACTGCCTAGTAAAGTCAAATTGCATTGCACCAGAGGTGCCATCAACCCAATCTTAATAATATTCTATTGAATGAATTGGGGTTGCTTCAAAGAGTGCATTATTTGACCAATCAGTGATTATCCTCCTCGAGGGTGGGGGTGGTTAGCAGGGTGGTCTCGGAGCTGAGCTGGTTCTAAGATGATGTGCTTGGAAACATCAATATCAAGTCAACCCTCTGTGGCATTCAGTCACTAAGGCAAGTATTCTTCTGACTCGGCGCCTGTTGATCCTGTAAGGTAAAGCCCTAACTAATAGGGTGGTCCAAGCTCACCCAGCAGGGCGAAAGTGCGCATAATATTCCAGACCCAGGGAGTTACCATGTCTAGTTTGGAAATTCAAGCATGGTGATGGGTTTCTGCACATGTAATCCAACTGACCAAAAAAAAAACTTTCCAAAGTCAGTCTTTGAGGCTGATTACATAATGAAATGTCTTGCTCGGTAGCCTCCTTTATCCTGTAAGCTGATTTTATACAAAAAAATTGGACCAGTGGTGAAGTATTATAGGCTTTCATGGGACTAACGTAAGCTGCTAATATGCCTTGCTATTTCCATAATTGATGATGGTCTTGTTATCCCATAGAGGGTGGAGACATTTGAAAGAAACAATGAGGACACAAGTTATGAAAGTTTCGTAGACCAGTTTATAGATCTTAGTTATCAGATTTATGAAAACAGTACACTGAAGTTTTGATTTCTATTTTATTACAAATTGTTTTTGATGACCACATTTTGAGAATCTCCAACCTATGCTTGTATCATGATTATAAAGTACACACTTCATTTTAAATGTAATTTTACTTTGGTCAGATGGGTTGGATGGGTGGATGGAAACACCTTGTCATGTTCCAGCTACCTGGAACTCACTGAAACAGAGCTTCTGTTTGCTACTTTTTGAGTGCCCAATCCCTTCTGAGTCGAAAGGTTCCACTTGCATATACTTGGAGAACATACAGTGTAGCTTGGCAGCAACCAAGATATTAGGGGATCTAAAATGTGCATTATTGGGCACTGTTGAAACGTAACCTGTCAGAACAGTAGCTTCAGTATGAAGCATTAGTAAACTTATCCATATGGAACCATTCTACTCAGTGTTGGCTTGTATTTTATTTAGGAACCAAATCGGAAAACTCCCATTCTCTGACCTCTTTAAACCTCCCAAGTTCCACTGAGGACCCAGTGAGCCTGATGACTTATCAACAGTGCCTTGGAGCACCACAGATTTGACTGGTGGTTTTATCAGTTCACTGAAATCTTTCCCTTCGCCGTGAGTGTTGCCTCATAGACGGTTTGATCCGCAGAGAGACTACACTTATTTCCATTTCTAGAGGAGAATCATAAATCAGCAACAAACAGCTAACTTGTACAGGTTTAAGCTCTCACTATTTATAACCCATAACAGGAGCCCCTCCCTTGCATTGTGGTTAGCAGCACTGACATCCTGTGTCATACATACATCATGAATACATCCTAAAGCCAGGATCTCGGTAAAATTGAACAGAACATTTAATGAGCTCTGACAAGGAAATTGAGTCCTTGGATAATGACTGCTGGAAACAATTAACCTTGAGTGTGGTCTTGCAAACGCATTCAGGATTTGGTGGATATAACTTGGGTGTCAGCTCAATTTGTAGCTCTCTCAGTCTACTTCCTGTATGTTGCCCATCAAAGTTGGGGGGAAAAAAAACTACCAAGATGGTTATGTTCTTGCATATCAAATGTCATGTTAGTTGCTTGTTCTTTCAGAGCAAGATTTAAGGATTAAGCCAGTAAATGGATTATTTCAATTCATGTAAATTTAACTGAATACAGTTCACCTTAGTTTTCTCCAGGTACATGATATTCAAATCCTTTATATTAAGTGGCAATTGAACCGCCTAGGTGACCATGATTAGACAGTCTGCTTACAGGAAATGTTATAAACCTACAGTAAATGTAAACTTTTTTTTACTGAATTTCATAGGAAGTATGCATTAAAAATGAGTTGAGGTTTTAATACTTAAAATTGACTTGTTGACTATATTGACCTTCATCCAGCTCAACCCTCGCTCCCTCCGCCCCACCATCAGAGGCCGCACTTTCAGGCACTACGCCCCAAAACTCTGGAACACTCACCCTCAATCCCTCTGCCTTGCCCCTTGTCTCCCCTCTTTCAAGTCCCGCTTGAAAACTTTCCTCTTTGACAGCACTTATGGCCACCTTCCCTCCCCCCAGCTCAGAGTCAGGCTCCACCGCTGTTAAGCGCACTGAGACGCTACCCTGCAATGGAGGGCACTGCATATGTGCAAGTTGTTGTTGTTGTTCGTTTATTGTTTATTATTGCCATCTATGAAGTGTCTAGCTTTGTATTTATATTTAGCATTCCAATTGATCTTTTTTAAAAATTCCTATGATCTCCAAATAAGCAGCAGCGGGACCCCTCGCAGACCCAACATGCTTTCTGCTGTGTAAGCTTCTGAAAGAGCCGCAGGTAATCTGCTTTATGAGTGTGTTCCCATCAAGAGGAGCTACAATCAATATTGTCCTGAGATCTTCTCACTGAAATTTTTTAACTGTTTTAGCCTACTTTGCCATCCCCCACCCTTTGGAAAGTAAGCTTCTGGTGTTAAATAATAATTGATGTCAAAGAGCTGTCGCAGTTTTGAGTTTGACAGATTATTTTGACAATTTGTAAAATCGTGACCTGCTTTCCTGCAGGCAAATCTGTAGTTTTTTTTTGAAGAGCGGCATTATGAATGAGAAAAATAAATTTGAATTTACAAGAACATTCTTTAAAAAAAAATTTAAAAAATCCTTGTTGGATTTCTGCGCCAACATGAAAGATTTCATTGGTATAGGACTGCAGATGTTCATGTGGAATTCACAGTTTGAATTGCAGTTTATTAATTATTCATCTTAACCTAATTTCTCTAGAAGGTTGTAATAGTACAAATCAAAAATATGTGATAGAAAATGTAATTTTTTTAATATAAAAAGTAAATTATGATCTTGAATTCGAAGCTCAGAGGGGAATGAAACTGCTTTAATTAGTAAATGTGAGACATTTTGCTTTTTTTTTAAAAAAAAGCTCACGGTATAGCGCCACCTGGTGGGTATGCAAGGAAGACGAAGGGGTTCAGACAATTATTTTGCGTCAGTATATCTAATGTCTGGAAGGAATGTATATAAAAACTGTTTAGTTGTTAGATTATCAAATCTGTTGTTGATCTTCGCGTTCATTTCTTGTACTCATGCAATTTCTGTATTTTAAACTGCATCCACTTTGTTAAGTAAAGTCCATGCACTTTCAGTTCCCAACAGCTCCAGAATTGGAAGGTTACGTCAGTGGACTGAAGTGGCTTTGATTTCTGCGACAGTTTAGTCTCTGAAGTAAAGTGTAACAATCCCAAAGCGGAACGGAGGCCATCTGTATTTCCCGCTGCTTTCATTCTCATTTGCTTTGGAATTGGCTGCAGGATGGTGTTTCAGAATGCATACTTTGTAATACATTGTGCAGTGTTGCATGTGTTGCGTATCATATTTTGGGCAATCTGCATTTTCCTAAGTGTTTAATGCATAACTGGCCCAAGGTACAGCTAGGATAGAAAAACTGTTCTGACTTTGGGCATCAGAAACTATCTAACTTTAATCCTGTAGTAGTGGAGCACTCCCTTCACTGTACAACCAAAACTTTGAAGCGATTTGGATATGATGCTGAAAATTGATCATGTAATAAGTAATAGATTTGGTTAGCTGTCAATTTGACTAACTGATGGAAAATTGGCTTTATATAGGGTAGCGCAAGGGAATGAAGCCTTTTTTTAAAAAATAAAACAAAAATCAGGTCTTTTCCATAAGGCTTCCCCATGTGGATATCAAGTTTCACAATGTGCTTTCGGATGTCTGTAGGAAAATTGTGTTGATTTTTTTATATTTGGAAAGTTTGATGATTTAGAAAATGTTGCTGCTAATGGTTACATTGCTGAGTAGTGTTTTTGTTATAATTTGACATTTTAAAAAAAATTGATCATTCAATCTATGACTTTGTGAAACAATTGGCTGTTGTGTTTCACCCACAAAATATACAGTCAATTCACTTTACAGTATATTCTCAATGATGTGATAAGGCACTATATCAAATATTATTTATTTGCTTTATTTAAATGACTTTAACATTGAATATGTACTCAAGATTAATATGTTGGCTCTGGTGCATGTAATAAATTGAAAATTCTAGGATCATAGAAAGTTCAGAATATTGAAGTATAGGTATCAAGATTCTACTATAATGTCTTTTATTTACTTTTTTCTTTGTAGAAATGGCACAATAGAAATGTTGCTACAATGAGTGAATGTTCAAGTTAGCTTTGCATAATTGTAGATGAAATATTTTGTACAGATGTACTCAATAGAAGCTAAAATGGTTCTTTAAGCTAGCTGGAAAGGAGCAAGATTTTAGGATTTAAAGTTCTCATTCTTGAGTTAAAAATACAAAAATAATTGATCAATGTTTCTTTTCTTTGTTAGGCTGCCGATTTAAGTAAACCAATAGACAAGCGGATATACAAGGGAACACAGCCCACCTGCCATGACTTCAATCATCTAACCGCAACGGCAGAAAGTGTTTCCCTTCTTGTGGGCTTCTCTGCTGGCCAGGTCCAACTTATAGACCCAGTAAAGAAAGAAACTAGCAAGTTATTTAATGAGGAAGTAAGTATTTTTTCACAGTGAAGTGCTGAATCTTTTGTGACAGTGGGAGGTTGTCCTGCATTCTTTTGAATTTGATTCTCAATGTTGACTCTTGACAGTCCTAAACTGACCATTCTCTCTCATTCAACAGGACCCATATTGCAGGATTAAGTTTATGATGTCAAAAGGCACCATGCCAGTTTTCTCCCTTACCTCAACTCGCTCTCCTCCACCCAGGAAAGTGTTGACTCTTGCAAAGGTACTGTTCTGCAGATGCATTGGAGCCCTGCAGTACCTCACCCAAGTATAGCACTAGTTAGTGAATCTCCAAACTATTTGATTATGGAGGGCATAACAGCCAAATCTGATCCCGTTCTCATCTGATGTCCACACGTGCATTTTCAGTGTAACTCAGTGTGAAGCACTGATAAACTGCAGTATCATTAGGTACCATATCAAATGCAAATATTTTTTCTGCTGGACATATCTTTTCATAGACAGACACTTTAGTTGAGAAATACTGTACCAGAATTTAATTGTAATCCAAGTCTGGCTCATTCATTATACAGGTTAACCTTCTTATGCAGCCTTCTCGGTCCAGTCTCTCAGAGGCTGCGTTGTAAGCAAAGTGCGAAAAAATGGTTGACTTCTGGATCTTCAGTAACACCACTTCCAGTATAAAAGCTGAGATCACTTTGGTATAGTGACTAGAGAGTTGGCTGTTAATGATGGGGTTTAGGGGATGGGGGATGAGCAGGAGACTTGAGTTTGCCAAGCAGAGGAGACGGGTGCAGAGGTAGAGATGCGAAGGCATGAATTGATTTTTAGGTGAGGGTGAAGATTTTGATGTTGATCCACAGGGAGAGTGAAGGTGATGGTCAAAAACTCAGTGTTTGACAAAGGTCACTCAAAATGACCTGCAGCAGGTAACCATTTAGAAGGCACCATTTTCTTTTAACATGAATGAGTTAATTGGTGTATCAGACTCTTTGACTACACAAATGCTGATACCGACATCTCTTGAGTAACCTGCTTGTGCAACCTGCCAGCTCGCACATATATAGGCTCAGCTTGTTTAGTATTCTCCGCACAATTTATTTTCACCACAGGCCAATAAGTGATGCTTGATTTAATTTTATGGATATTTTTCCATCAAATGCAGATTTAGAGTTTGCTCCCTCTACTTCCCACAATTTGCTGATAGGCAGATAATTTGGTCCTTTTTTATCCTAAAGGGAATAAAGAGCAGGAAATACATTTTCTTTATAAAATAAATGCAAATCCCAAGCTATCTGAGCTTCCAGGTAGGTGAAATTGGCTTGAATGCTTAATTCATTATGGTACTGGCAAACCCAAGTCTTCTATCATAGTACAATTACGTTTTATGACATTAAATTGTACTGTTTAATACAAACCATATTGTTGAGTGAGATAATGAGATAGGCATGCAGAGGAGGTTATGCATGTAAAGAGATTTTCTGTTCTCTGTGCCTCATTGAATGGCCTGAATGTCTGGTCTATTCATACTACTATGGTGAGTAGTTCTGTAACTGTGCCAATCCTAATGAATGAACAAATTAAATGGTGCATCGTGGTTGGGAATGCAGTGAGAAACCAATCTTTTGATTGAGTTGCGAAAGTTCGTCTTGCACAAGTCTAGAAAAACTTTACACTCAACTCTGTCTTTCTGCATCATGTAGAGTATCAGTATAGGTTTGACTAATTGTTCTATAATATGAATTCAATAAATTAAAGAAGCAGATAAACGTTTGTGCATTATCTTTACAGGTGAATGGGGCTACAGATTCAATATGCTGAATTATTTATTCGTGTGCTATGTTATTAATTTGTAATCTTTGTAAACATACTAACCTTGATCAACAAATTAATTGATTTGCCTACTTGATTGAAGCACTTTAATATGGTGATTAAAGTCAGTAGCGAAATCTATAGAAGCTCCTGACCTGTAGAAGTGATGCAGTTGTTTCTAGGGCTTAATGACTTGCCAAGCATAACCCAGTTTTTACACACCCAGGCCACTGGCCTTTAATAACAAATAATAGTTTATAATGCAAGTGATGGATCACAGAATTATTTTTTTTTACTCTTGTCACTGTTAGCAAGGAAACAGATAAGCAATCAACAACAACAGAATTACATTTGTCTAGCGCCTTTCACATTGGGAGGACGTCCCAGGGCACTGGACACAGAGTTACAGACCCGAGCTGAAGGCCGGGGTGGGGGAGAGTGGAGGGCAGGGAGGGAAGCAGGGAGATCAAAGGCACAGTCGAAGAGGAGGGTCTTGAAGGTGGCGAGGGACGGGGGCGAGACGGAGGGACTGCGGGATGGAGTTCCAGAAGGTGGGTGCAGAGTGCAAATGGCCCACCTGCCGATAGTGGGGCAAGCAAGGTGGGAGACATAAAGCAGGCCGGAGCCCACTGAGTGGAGGGAGCAGATAGGGTGGTAGGGGGTTAGGGTGTAACAGCATATATCCCCATATATCTAGTCAGTGTTTCAAAAAGGGTAGATGAATTGCATATCTACCCTTTTAAAATATCCATTTATTCAATGTGAGCCATATTTGTGATATTTATTAGCATGATTTCGTAAGTAATCTGGCACTCCTTCCAGTGGCTGTTAATATGTCACGTGACCCATAGAAATACTATTGCGAGATCATCTACTTCCAGAGCAGAATTCCTGCTGGTCAAAACAAAGACTTAGAACTATAGAAATTTACAGACTGTTATAGAATTTATAGGATTCTGGTCCTCATTAGGGATTCTCATTACTAAATGCAGAACATTAGAACATATTGTCTGCTGATAGTACAGCAGTTACCATCATAGAGGTCAACCCACAGGAGATATTTTAGGAATTGTATTTTAAAAGGTAACTTTTATTCACTAATATGTGGATTTTTTATCTTGTCTTTTAATTAATAAAAACATGTCTGGTACTCAAGGTAAGTGTGCAGATGTATGAACATATGTATGGTTTTGCAATGTTTTATGATGCAGTATTTACTATGGTTTCCATTAAGTGATATTTTTATCTTGAGTAACCCATGGTTGAACTATGATGCAATCAGAGTACTAGTTACTTATTGGAATATCTCTAAGAAAATAAACCAATTTACTATATTGAGCTCAAATGATTTTGTCAAATTGCTTTTTGATAAAACTTTCATTTGTCGATGCATAAATCTTTTTCTTACATTCATTTTTTTTCTTTCTTTGCAGAGATTAATAGACAAGTCACGAGTCACCTGTGTAAAATGGGTTCCTGGCTCGGAAAGTCTTTTCTTAGTATCCCATTCCAGTGGCAATATGTACTTGTATAATGTGGAACACTCCTGTGGTACAACAGCACCACACTATCAGCCACTGAAGCAAGGTGATAATTATATGGTTCACACTTGCAAGAGCAAATCTACAAGAAACCCTTTACTCAAATGGACTGTTGGTGAAGGGGCACTGAATGAATTTACATTCTCTCCTGATGGGAAGTACCTTGCCTGTGTAAGTCAGGATGGATTTCTTCGCGTGTTTAATTTTGATTCAGTAGAGTTGCATGGTACAATGAAAAGTTACTTTGGAGGACTGCTTTGTGTATGTTGGAGTCCTGACGGAAAATATATTGTAACGGGTGGAGAGGATGATTTGGTAACTGTCTGGTCTTTTGTAGACTGTCGTGTAATAGCCAGGGGACATGGACATAAATCCTGGGTCAGTGTTGTGGCATTTGACCCTTATACCACTAGTGTAGAGGAAACTGATCCTATGGAGTTCAGCGGAAGTGATGAGGATTTCCAGGACCAAATCCACTTTGGCAGAGACCGAGCAAACAGTACACAGTCTAGGTTGTCAAAAAGGAATTCTACCGATAGTCGTCCTGTAAGTGTCACATACAGGTTTGGTTCTGTTGGCCAAGACACACAGCTGTGTTTATGGGATCTGACTGAAGACATCCTGTTCCCTCATCAGCCTCTATCACGTGCTCGAACGCACACCAACGTAATGAATGCCACAAGTCCTCCAGCCGGAAGTGTTGGGACCAGCACTGGGAGCAACGGCAATAGCAGTATCACAACTCCCAGCAACTCCTTACCTCCTCCTCTTCCTCGATCAAACAGCCTTCCGCATTCAGCGGTTACAAATGTCAATAATAAGAGCAGCATCATGGATGGTGCGATTGCTTCTGGAGTCAGTAAATTTGCAACATTATCACTACATGACCGTAAGGAAAGACACCATGAGAAGGACCACAAACGAAATCACAGCATGGGCCACATTTCCAGCAAAAGCAGTGACAAACTAAATCTAGTTACCAAAACTAAAATTGATTCAGCAAAGACTCTGGGGACTGCCCTCTGCCCTAGAATGGATGATGTGCCCTTGTTAGAGCCTCTTATCTGTAAAAAGATAGCACATGAAAGACTGACTGTGTTAATATTTCTTGAAGACTGTATAGTCACTGCCTGTCAAGAGGGATTTATTTGCACATGGGCAAGGCCTGGTAAAGTGGTAAGTCTGTGTTCTTAGACCTTAGTTATAGAAAATATCCTAAATAACAGTGGATTCCACTTCAGAGCAAATAACATTTTTCAAAGCAGTTGCTTTTCACCAAAATTTACAAAATATTCACCTTTTCATCTCCATTTTAAAGTTCAAATATCAGTAAACATAAATTGCTCTTAAGGGAATTGCTCTGTAGTAACTTACTCTTAAAGCAGTGCTTAATGTACTACTGGGAATCACTAACAAATCATAATGTGTGCTAAGTGACTTTTTTTTTAAATTACAAAGAGAGACGGTGTAATCTTTTTTTTGCCAGGCCTGCCATTTCAGGTCCTCATTGTGGAGGGATGCTACAGCATGATCTGCAGCACATTTAGTGCCACCTTTACTGTAGCTAATGCTAAGTGAGGCTTCTCTGATCTATTGTATCCTAGCTGACCTCCCCTTCCCCCTCCCCAGTGGGACTGGTAGGAGGTAAGGGTGCACTGCCTTTAATTTATACAAAATTATAGAAGGAATGTGTAATATATTTTTGTGTGTGTATATATGTCTATATATGAAAATCCTCATTTATATGAGGCAAGATAGCTTTTTCTTTCATTCATTCACAAAAAGTTAAGTGCTTCTTTAAGTGGAGTAATCTGTATAATAGCTTTTATTTGTCCTAAACAATAGGTATATTTATGACCTCCTGTATTAATTACCTCTGTACATCTCTGGAAAGTTGTGCATGTTCTTATGATTTGGTGTGTGGTGAGAAGAGTCCACAATTTTTAAAGTGAAATTGGGAAAGAGAAGACAGATGTCAATTTATTTAGTTTATACAAGAAGGACTAGTGTATATTAAATGGATGTACACTATTTATAAATGTTGTTGTGTCAGTTTTTCTGACTGTGGTTAAAGTCCTAGTTTATTTTTATGATAGTTTAGGATAAATGTCAAGTAAAAATGCAAGCTTTTGAAACCAAAGTTTCAAGTTCAGTATATCTGGTAACAGGCTGCATGTTTTCATAGCTTTTCAGAGACATTTGTATTACAGTAAATTTACCTGAGGTTGTGAGATTACAAGAAAATATTTTCTAATTGCAATTCTCATTTAAAAGTAAACGCTTCATCACTTCTCTCCATAAATAATGCAGAATTATTATGCAGCACCTTTGTATTTAATTTTATGTATTCGAAGCATGCCAGGATCCCAAATCCTTAAATTCTTTAAAAAAATTCTTGACTCTCAGAAAGTTTATGAGGAAACCAATTTTGTGGAGAAATGAGCATTGTGAGCCTGATTCGAAATCTGTGCTGTTAATCATCTCTTGCAGTTTTGGAAAAATGTCAATATGATTACGTAACTGCTTAACAATAAACAAAATGGTACAATGGATAAATTGAGCGCAAATTATGAAGCCTCATGCATTTTGAACAAATGTTAACGTAACATGATGCTAAATGGAAATCTTGATTTTTAAATTATTTAGGATTGAAATGTCAATCAGTTTAATTATGGTAATTGAATATTGCTTAGCTGGCTAGAATAGAATTTGCCCCCACCAAAAAAAGTCACAGCTTTGAAATCTCCAGGTTTAGTCTAGGCGTCAGGTGTTTGCTGGCATCAGAGGTTTGGGACTGAGCTGGTTGAACAAGAACCAACAAGTGGACATTCATATGAATAATGTAACCAAGTAGCGTCATCAGTTCAGGTTTGCGCTTCTGGTTTAACTGACACTTTAATCAGCTACCCTGCACTAGCTTTATTTGTAACGTTGATTTTTTTTTCTGTGCACCCATCCTACTGTTGAAGGAATTTCTGATAATCCTAAGTGACATTGCTTGTTGACCTGCTAATACCTTTGGATAAAACTGCATGCTTGCCCTATGACATTTCATAACAACACAGAAGGAGGCCATTTGGCCCATCGTGTCTGTGCTGGCTCTTTGAAAAGAGCTATCTAAATTAATCCCACTCCCCCACTCTTCCCCATAGCCCTGCAAACTTGTCCTCCCCAAACCATTATGAATTATCGATTTGGAATTCATTTTCTGTGTATGCCAACATTAAGACTAGTTTGTAATTAACACTTGTTGCCTTTTATATTTGGTTGCATGACATGATGTATCATCACTTTCAGCTTTATCTGGATGATATTTTTAATAAGATACTTTAACTCCTATAGTTTTCTGAGGAATATGGGATCAATAATCCTCTTGTTACACTGCGCAAGTTGTTCTAGTTTTGCAGGTTTAATTGTATTGGGTACTGCAGTTCAGAAAGCCACAAATCAACTTTAGTCGATCCTAATTCTAAAAGGTGCACGTAGTTTAACTATGCAGACTTTTTTTAAGGTTTGACAACAATTTATTTGCTTGCATATAAAACATTTGAATCTTGTTTCAAATATAGTAAATATTTAAGCGCATTTTTTAAATGTGATAGAGCAGGGACTTTTAGAGTGTCTCTTGTTGTGCTGCTCATTGTTCAGTTTGCCTTGTGTAGCACAACATCTCCTTTGTGCAATCTACTATAGCCAGAAGGGCAAGAAAACTAATAATCCTTGCATTTGATATGGCGCCTTACCACATCTCCAAGCGCTTCACAGAATATGCGGTAACGTGAATTGACTGTATATTTTGTGAACTAAACGCTGCAGCCAATTGCACACAGCAGTGTCCCACAGACAGTCATGGATTGATTGACCATATTATTATTAACTAGAGTTTGATTCAATTTCTGCTGCACTCCAACTAAAGATAGAGAGCTTTGAAGAGAATAAAGTGGATGGATTTCTTTCTTTGAAAAAAGCATTATAAATTCAGTAGCCTTTCTTTAAACCTAGTGTTTGTTTGCATGGATTTTTTTTGGGTTAGGCCTTCTTCCAAATGAATATTCTAGTAAAAATTGTCTCATCTTATTCAGTTGTTTTAAGTGAAGATTTTTATTAAGAATTGGAAAAAAAAACTGATGCAGTTAAGTTTGATTCACTTGGATAAGTGGCCATTGTTTGTCATGGTTCAGATATTAAAGAATAAAACTTGAACCTTTCGCAGTTCCCTCAGCCCAGGGCTGAACCTTTACTAAGGTGTTGCGATACAAACATGGCCAAGTGGTAGTTCAGCACAGAGAGACAAAATAATTTGCTTTGGCTGCCGGTGAACAGTTTATACCTTTCTCAAGTCTTGATACATGCTCCAACAACCTTGGCTAGAATTTAAAGTTTTGCACATAATGAACTGCATTCCAAGTGATTACACCACGTGGGTTTTTTTAAAAAAGAAGGTAAACACTGCAGAAGGTACAGGTAAAACTACACCATTGGTATTAAGGTATATTTGCTTCAATAGATTGAGCACAGCTGCAGTTGTGGTACTATTATATGGAATAGTCATGATGACTTATCTGAGCTTAGCAGTGAAGCCCATATTTATGTAAGGCTGAAATTAGAACGAGGGCCTCATTTGTGGCAGAATGAATAAACACAACATATCAACAGCAACACGTGCTGCAACTATAATTTAGAATATATGTGGATAACTGTATGCAAAGCTATTGACAGGTAATGAATTAAATCCAAATATAATCATTTTACAAATGTATAGAAAACCCTAGCATTTTCCTTCTACTCACTTCACAGAAATAGCCACTTATTGATTATTGATTAAAACCCTAATAGTTAGATGCTCATTTTACACTGTTGGAGGGATAATGTAATGAAGAGTTTGGCTAAATATGATGTGTTCAGCTTTTTTTTTAACCTGTGTACCAAGTGGGGCAATGTTAAATTCTAGCCAAGGCTGTTGCAGGAAAACAACGTAGCAGAGTTACTCTTACCAGCACATGTCCTTGTCAGTTGGTAGGAGCCTTCATTTCAATCCTAATACACAAAACAAATTTGCACAATCTATCTTGGTTCAATACCATCCTGTAGAACAATTAATGAAAATGAACATACAAAATATATACTTTTTTTCCTCTCTGGCCACAATCTGGTTGAACCAGTAATCCAGCTATTCAAGGAAGCAATTTGAAAATGAAAAGCACAGAAACTAAAGTTTACTTCTTGTAAACCAAATGAGGCAGTTTTTGTGCCAGCTGCACTTTTCTACTGTGTCCTATAATGGTTTCAGCTGTTCCTATCAATGGTCAGTATACTATACTTGCAGTCAGTCAGCTGTATGTGAAACAAATCTGTATTTAAAACGTGATGCCAAGAGTGTGGCGTATACATTGCATGTATATTGTCAAAAACATACCGTCCATCCCTCGCACTTTCATTTGCTTGCAGTTTCAGAGGTAGAGAGTGTTGTAAAGCGGAAGCAATGACAACTGATCACTGATTTCCTTCCACAGCTGTGTATTTTTAATGTGCACGCAGTGATGTGATTATATAATTCTGTATCCTTATATTGCAACCACCTGTGCGCAGAGATCCCAGCACTGAAGCAACACAATGCAAAAGGTATCAAGCAGCAGGAAGAGTGTCACTTAATTGTCAGCACCTCCACTTTGTGCGACTATGATTGCCACTGGAGGTGTAATCTAAACGTAGCGTATGATGTGGACTTTAACATCAAATGGTGCAAATAACAACCATGAGCATCTCCGATGTTTACTGGAAAATTGGCTGCTATTTGTGAATTGCACTGAAAATGTATTAGTTTTTTTCCTCTAATGTAGGCCACTCCAGAAATGTACAAACCAAATCGAGATACAGTAACACAATATTCTAGAAGTTTTGTTTCTTGTACAAAATTACATAGAATTACATAGGCTCTAAAGCAATGAAACATACCATTCAGTCCAACTAGTCCATGTTGGTGTTTATGTTCCACTGCTCCTACTCCCCTCTCCTATACCCTCTATTCCCTTCTTGTCTGTGTTGCATTGTTCCTTAATGTCTGGTTTCCAGTGCTCAGTACACTAATCATTGACTGCCAACTATACCCAGGGACCAACTACCAACTAGGGGTCTAACCACTTCTATATAAATTAAGTTTTTGGTAAGTGTTGAATAAATTGGTTATTTTGACTCTAGTTTGTAGAAATCCTGATTCAAGCATAACATTTTTTTGGGCAACTTATTCATTTATCGGGATTCCATTTAGTTTGGCAAGATTCCCATTGTACATGTGTTTCACTTGTGCCTCATCGAAAAAGCTTGAAATACTTTATCAGTCATAAATAATGAATGCATTACTATTTTGATACAAATCTCAAAGTTATAACAATTTGACATGCTGTATTTACAGGGCTTATTGTCATGCCAAAACCAAGCCAATTCGCCGAGTGGGACTGTAGTATAGCCATCACACTACTGCTAGCAAACCTTCGCCACAGGATAAGAAGTAATGACATTGGAGCGAGAAGCTGTTCTTCAGCCATAGAGCAATAGAAATTTCATTATAGTGGTGTTTTGTTCAGGATTCTGATGCGAATCGTATAGAGCTAACACTGGGGAATGATGTTCAAGTGTAACTGTTGACCTGGGCTCATCTGTTCCAACAAAACAGGAAAGCCGAACTCCAAGGATCTTTCTAATTTATTCCCTTGGAATTTTGCAGTAGCGAACCAAACAAAAGATTTATAAAACTTGGCTGTTTTTTTTTAGTTCTTTGGTCTCTTCAGATTTAATGTACTCTAATCATATGTATAGTAGAGAAAAAATTAAAAAGCTATGTGTCTCTTCCAAGTCTTTAGATGGTCCTGCAAATTAGTATCTCACTGTTGTGTACTTTGCACTGATTATTGTTTTGCATTTTTTTGTTTCATTTTTAAACTGAAACCCGTTGGAAGACAGCCTAGAATGCACTCAGAGGAATTGAGTCATTACTTTTCAGCTTGAATTTGTGATTCAGGAGGTGGATGCTGCAATCATAGATCTATTTTTTAAAAAATTGCACTTAATAGTATAATGCTAGTAGAGAATGACTACAAATTGGGATGTGCTAAAGCTCCCAGAACAGGTATGTTGTGGACGAAAGAAAAATGTCTTTGTATCTATTCAACATTTATTTTAATATTGTTTCAAATTGAATCCGCTGTGTACTATATGTATAAATATTGTTAATTCATTCATGGGGACAATGATCAATACACTAGTTGAATAGTTCATTCAAGAAATGAACTATTTCATTATCGAAAGTGGTTTATAATTTAGAAAAAATACATATTAATATTAAAATCTTGAATATGCAGTTTTTTTCAGTTGTAAAAAAAATATCTACTTGGTTGTAATTAATTCTTGAATTAAATGTTTGGTACAAGAGAAAATCTTTGTATAAGAAAAAAAATAAGGTTATCTCTGCTTTAGAGCTGTCGTACATAGTGCACATTTACATTTCTGAGCTTTGTATTTCTGTGATACATCACCAAGGTCTAACACACCAGCACAGGAACTTAGTATATGCCAATTAGGAACAACTGTATAAACAGGAAATTATTTAATACAATTTCCTTTTGTGGATTAGTTGCTAGGTTACAACAGACCCTCATATGTAAGAGGAATTAGAATGTGCCAAACCTTTGATAGTTGTCATACAATCTACCTAGGAATTGCTGTAGGTTGGTTTAATGTTGCATCATTGTAAATTTGCTGTACAGACTGATGCTGATTTGTTGAAAGAATGTAAAAGTACAGACAAAGCTTGAATAAATGATACCTTACGTACTTTCTGATCAATAGTTCTTAATAGGTCATTTGACATCAATTCTTTAAGTTTTACTGATGAGGCGGAACGTGAGCTTTGTTTAAGATCCTTGTGTATTTTTTTGTCATGAACATGGATGTCATGTAGTCACTGGAGCAAATATTTGCAGGATGGTGCTTTTTGATGGATCATTTAAAACCTGATTCCACATCACTCAGTACTTGTTGATCAGTAGGATACAATTAGGAATAAGTTGCTCAATGCATATTCCTGTTTAAAATGAAAGTTGTGCATAATACTTTTATTTTTTAATAAAAATTGCTTGAGGTTTGAATGTTTATGATTAGTTGTTAGCCAATTAAGTTCCTGTGCAGTAAGCCCTTCCTCTAAAGACCATTGAATCATGTAGAGTCCTGTAGCTCAGTGGTTAGAGCACTCACCTCGTGAGAGACCTGGGTTCTATTCCCAGCAGGGCAAAATGTTGGACAAGTTTCCTTCTCCACACACTTGTTACCTAGCAGTAATAGGAACCCAGTTGTTAGTCGATTAGCGGATTACTTTTCCGGGGATAATAAATCCCTCAAAAAAAAAAACAATAATTTGGTCACTCAATCCATGACTGTTTGTGGGACACTGCTGTGCGCAATTGGCTTCTGTGTTTCGCCCACAAATAAACAGTCAATTCACTTTACAGTATATCCTGTGAAGCGTTTTGAGACGTCTAGAAGACGTGAAAACTACTACATCAAATGCAAGGATTATTATCAAACAACCCAGACTTCAAAGTTGGGCAATCAGGAAAGAGTATGAGAATAACTGATTTCTCTTAACTTTACCGCTAATCTTCAGCATTTAGATTGCAGAAATAGTTCAGAATACCACCATTTATTGGTCATTCATTTTTGTCCCACTCTCTATTTCATATTAATGTTCGGTGTTCAAATGCAGTCATTTTCAACTGTGGATTGTTTTGTCTTCAAATAATATGGTTCATGGACCAACTACACCTGTTTTATGGTAGTAAATTGTCTTTGTGCAAGTTTTTGTTAGCAGTGCTTATTAATGTTTGTTTTGTTTCAAAATGTAAGAAAGACTAAGAAACTGATTTAGGATAATTTTTGCTGTTCGCAGATCAGCATTTGAAGTTCATTGTTAAAAACATTCCTTGGTAACCACGCTAGTTGCAAACCCTGAACGCTTAACTGAGAATAATTCAGTGTTTGTACAAATTCTACTGATTGCAGCCTGCAGGGATGAAGAAGAGTGGAACAGAGGTGGAATCCTTGCCAGTTTTCTTCCTTTGACATATATTGCATACAGTTCTGGACATCAGTGCAATGGAACTGGTACATTTAGGCCCACAAGGAAAATATCAGTGATGATTATGAGGATAGGATTGAAAAATAGGCAGTTTTCATTGGGGCAAAGAGGTTAAGGGACAGAAAAAAAGGCTTCAAAAGCCTGAATGTTTTGAGAGGGTTAATTAATGAACAATTTATTGCTGAAAGATGGTAGCTGGTGGATGAGCTGAGGCTGAGACCGTAATATCTAAAAGGAAGTTAAACATTTGAAGAGAAACAATAAAAGGATAATAGAGGAGCAAAAAACGCTGGACTTAGAAATGTAACTTCAGAAAACCCAGCATCAGCTTCATGGGCTGAATGTCCTCCTGTGCTATCATTTGTATTACTTCAAAAGCTCCAGTGAAAAATATATAGAAAANTCTGATAGGAAAAAAAGGGAAAATCCCAAGTTTTTGCACATTCTCCTTGCATTAACACATATTTGAAAGAGGCCTTTTAAACAGGTTAAAGATGTGCTCTACTATACTCACAGAACCTCGGGCAATTCTTGAGTCTCCAGTACCAGCGACTGAGAACTTATAGAAACAGCATCCATTGTAGTTCTGCTGGAATATATTCAGCTAAAACTGCAACTTATCAGTGCAAAACATAGGCAAACATCCTGCTATTTATCCAGTTGAGACTACCCTGCCCATGGAGGTAGTTATCGGGAGCTGAATGGAAAAACTGACTGTTTCCACTAGCACCAAGGAACACAAGGTAAGTGATTCTTTTTAAACATTTTCTTGCTAGTCCAAAGCTCCCCAGCTTTGTTCTTCTAGTTACGAATTCTAAGGGCAGTGATCACCTTCTAGTGGTTTGTCCTAATGGCTACTTTCATGACTAAATGCCCACAAAATACACAGTCAATTCACTTTACATCCTGTGATGCGTTTTGAGATGTCTAGAAGACGTGATAAGGTGCTATATCAAATGCCAAGGATTATTATTATAAACCTCAACTGTGAGTGTTGATACATTGACCATGATGACATAATGCACCATGCAAAGCAATACATCCGGTAACATGTGGTTATATTCTTATTTCTATCTGCATTAAATTAGGAATGTAATTCAAAAGTAATGTACAGTAATAGTAGGCAAATTATGTTTTACCAGCATACCGTTGATGGAATTATGACATCTACCATTGAGGAGTAATTCCAATGAAGCATCAGTTGGGTTTATTAAACAGCTCTTTTTTAAAAAAAATCCATCAGCTGAATGCTAAAATGCGTCTTCGAAAACAATTAGTAATTCTATTCTATATAGTTCTTTAAAACATCAGGTATTTGCTTTAATACTGAAATGCTGACAATTTTTTAAAAATTGAGAAACATTGTCGACTGGATATACACCTTACAGCCACTGCTTGTATTCCACCAAACATTCTATGCTACTTTGACAATTTAATTGCTCGACAATATCGTAAATGTTAAATAGGAACCAGCGAGTCAAATGATTAAACATCCTCATCTCATTGTCTGGATACAAAAAAAACGGATGAGAACAAATTAGATTGCAGGTGGGAGATGAGAACAAATCAGAAAAATAATATTCAGCTGTTTTAATTCCAGCAAGTTGTACTCTGTCTGTAAAACAAACCGTATCGCAAATGAAACTACACTCATTTGTTTGATTCTTGGATTTTTAAAATAATAAACTACTCTTCTAAGGACTAGAAATCAGTGTTGGGGCAGCAATCTGCCTTCTATGACCAGGGTAGGAAGTTTGTACAAAATAATTGTCTTGCGTACAAACTAATAAATATTGTAATATTTCTGTACAGATACCTGATACTCTAAATTTAAAGTCGTTTATGAAATGGTAAACGAGCTTTTTTTTAATTTGTGGGAACAGTTAATGTCTTGACAACAGCCTAATAATTCACACAATAATTCCTGCTACATTTTATGTCATTTTGGTGACTGGTAGGGAAGAAATAAATTTATAACTGTTCACAAATATTAACTGATTTCTTCAGCTATTTTCATCACCGAATAATTTAATCCAACAGCATTAAACCATATTCTCAACAGATTTTTCTCCTCCCCTTACTTTTGATACAATAACTAATAAAATGTATCAGGTTTCAGATATAAAGTGCCAATTTTTTCATAGATCACTCGTACAGTTTAGCTTATCCAAACTGTTGATTGTTAAAATAATTTGTGGGTTTTTAAAAAATAACTCCCAGGATCAACTGAACAAATGCTTGATTGTAGTCCTGAGCTGGTTTGTGCTAGTGTCACTTGATTTAAAAGCTGCAGTTAGGAATAAGGCACAAGAGGTACCTGATTTTTGCCGAATAGAAGACTATAAAGCATGGTCTTTGTAAATGTGTTTCTTCTTTTCGTAACAGTACAGAAGACCTTTGAAGTGTAAAAGAATAGTTCTTGGATACTCTTGTACAATAATCGATTTCAGTAGCGACCACCCTTTTTTTCTATAGAGGGTAAACTGTAATGTTGCATAGTAGGTTTTGATTGTTCACGATGTCTTGGCTGCTGGATAAATAAATGAGAACTTAGGAATGAATACAATAAGAACCACAACAAGATTCCATTTACAGAGCGCCTTTCACGTCGGGAGGACGTCTAATTCGGGACATGAAACAAACTACTGCATTTGTGCGCTACAGCATTTCAGGTGCAAAATGGTTAGCAATTTTTGTTCTGAGACTTGCTTTTTTTTACTTCAGCAACTAACTCAAATACTACACAAAAGGTTGCAAGAAATTATGAATTTTTCATTATGCACACTAGAAATATAGGATGTCCTATTTATGCCTTTCGGAGTTTTGACACATACCATGGACAAGGAAAGCTCTGCAACTCAGGAAATCGCAAGACTGATTATCCCTTCAAGAACATTTATTTAGGGTTTTTTGGTCTTGCTACAGGAGCAATTTCCTAGGTGTTCAATTCAGTCATTTCAACCAGAAATAACGCTGACACAGCTTTGTGATCAGATGCTATAGTATGTCACCATTCTTAAAAGTGAAGAAAAAAGTGGGTATAAGTAGTCATTGCTGCCTTGGATGGAAAGGAAAGGGAGGAACTAGAGGTACAAGTTATATAATTTCCTCCCTTAGACTTTATATCTGCATTGAAAGGAATACTAAAACTAAGGTGAGTAATAAACCTTATTCTTCAAATATATTCCGAGATGACTCAAGAACAAACCATAGCCACTTTTATAGTAGCAACTCAAGCTCCATCCAATTTTTTTACTCGCACTACCACTGACAAAGTTCCACTACAACAATAACAGTTTTACATTGATTTACCATCGTGAAGCCATCTCAAAGTATTTCAGAGTCTGCTGGGAGCTTAACTCAGCCAATATCCTGTAAACAGCATTTAGATGTAGCCTCTAAGTTGCTAAAATTATATATTTTTCCTGCTGTCATCCTAATCTTTCAAAAAGCCCTGCAAAAGCAGACTGTTGTCCCAAAACTGTGAATGTGCGACACCTGAGACCATTCAATTTAACATCAATTGAAATTCCACAACAGATTTGATGTGCTGCCACCAATTATCCCTTCTGAAATCCTATAAAACATATAGAAGTCACAAATAAAATGTGATTAACAAGTTTTTCATTAAAAAAAAGTGAATTTCTCAAAAATGTTTTTTAAAAACAATTATTCCTCCATTTCTCTGTGTGGTTTTCCCACAGGGGTTGGATAATCTCTGGTAACTCATCCAACCCCTTGGCTGACTGTTTGACTGCGGGGGTAACACAGCCAAGCCCCAGATTGCACCTATCCAACATCTACACATGCACAACCCAGCAACAGGCATCTCTAGATGTAAATAGGGATGGAAATCCTGTCTGATTTCCATTCCCTACATAGGCGCAGTGAGGTCACTGTACTGCCCCAATTGCTGCTCAAGCAGAGATCATCACATATTTGGGTTTGAACCTACTGTATTCTGGGCTGTATTCCCTAATGTTGCACCTGACTTGGTCAGAACATAAGAAATAGGAAAAACATAAGAAATAGGAACAGGAGTAGGCCATTCGGCCCCTCAAGCTGCCCCGCCATTTAATAAGATCATGGCTGATCTTCTAACCTAATTCCATTTACCTGCCCTATCCCCATAACCCTTAATCCCTTTAGATTTTAAAAATCTATCGATCTCAGTCTTGAATATGTTCAGTGACAGATTGGTTCTGTTTCGGTGGATAAGGAACTGCATAAAATCAATTTTCCAAATTTCAAGTGAGTTTTATAAGTGCTTTCAAACTTTCTCAAAGCTGAAACTGGATTAAACAGCACTCAACTTCCCTTTGACAGTGCCACTGAGCGCTAGATATGTTTATTGTTAGATATGAGCAAAATGGGTTATCTATTCATCTCTGCACTGAAATAATTACTGGTATCCGATGCTGTACAAATGAACTAGATGTTTTGCCAGTTTCATTCAGCCTATTATAAGTTGGATAAAATAGATGCTTTGTACAGAGTTCTACTTGAATTCACCTTCTGTCTAGAGATGCAATGTTTCACAACATGATTCACAACATCTATGCAAACAATGCCTCAGGCCTTGGCAGTACACATCAGTTCATAAAAATGATCATTTGAATTTGCAATTTTGCTCCTGGAACTCATCTGGATATTACTACTGATCAGTCCATACTCGGCAATGTGGTGAGAAGCTATTTATTTTTATTCTTACAATGGATAAAGATGGCCCAACGGCCATCTGCAGGCATATCCATTTTGAATTATTGACGTGGGGTTCATAGAAATATTCAAAACCATCATCTTACCTAAACTAAATTATCTTTAGCCATCAGTGGTCTTCCTGATTGACACAGCCTTGTTCTGAAGAGTAGAGAGATTCAATGGAGTCTTCCTGTGTGTAGGATTGAGGAGGGGGGGGGGGAAGAGAAATAAAAAATAGAAACTATAATGGCCCTTTGTTGCTTATACACCCATAGGTTCTAAGGAGGCTTTGCCTCCTGAACACCTGATGGTACTAATGGCCCTATCAACTTAACTTATCAAAATCTTGTTTCATCTGGACTTATTAGGTCTGACCTTTCAGCCTAAGATGCTTTTGTTCGTGTTTTACCTGCGGATGGGTACTTTTTAAAATCACCTTATGAAAGCCACCTTAACCTCCTTAGATGGTTCAATAAGTCTAAAGTTCTGTCATTGCTCTGTACTGATTTCAGCTGAGGCAGCAGTAGGACACTACAGATGGGTTTACCATCCAGTCTAAAAGGAAATAATTGAAACATCAACAAGTGCTGCATTCTTGGATGTCACCCTGTACCCATAATAGGAAGCTTTATTTGTGAATTATAGGGGAGATGGAGTCTTAGCACTGATGGCTTCCACTGTCAAATAACGTAACATGTAGGAGCAGGTGTAGGCCTTTCGGCCCTTCGAGCCTGCCCCGCCATTCAATCATGGCTGATCTTCTAATCTAACTCCAGCTAATAACCTGTCCCTGCCTTATCGTCATATCCCTTAATCCCTTTTGCAATAAGAAATCTATCTCAGTCTTGAATATGTTCAAGGACTGAGCGTCAACAGCCCTTTGGGGGTAGTGAGTTCCATACATTCACTGCCCTTTGAGTGAAGAAGTTCTTCCTCAACTCAGTGCAAAAGGGCTGACCTCTGATTTTAAGGTTGTGATCCCTGGTTTTAGTTTCTCCAACCAGGGGAAACAATCTCCCACTATCTACTCTATCGTGCCCTTTGATGGTCTTATAGGTTTCTATAAGATCCCCTCTAATTCTTCTATATTCTAGAGAATATAGGCCCAAATTGGTCAGCCTATCCTCGTAACTCATCCCCTTCATCCCTGGTACTAACCTAGTAAATCTACGCTGCACCCCTTCCAAGGCAAGTACATCCTTCCTTAAATAAGGAGACCAAAGCTGCACACAGTATTCCAGGTGTGGTCTCACCAGGGCCCTATACAGTTGCAGCAAGACTTCCCTACTCTTAAACTCTAATCCTTTCATAATGAATGCTAACATACCCTTCGCCTTCCTAATTGCTGCTGCACCTGCAGACTAACTTTCTGTGATTGGTGTACAAGGACACCCAAGTCCCTCTGGACAACACATTCCAATCTCTCCCCTTCTAAAAAAATAACCCACTCTACTATTTTTGCTACCGAGGTGGATGACTTTGCACTTCCTTACATTATACTTCATCTGCCACCTATCTGCCCAATCACCTAACCTATCTTATGTCTCGCTGCATTTTTTTTAATGTCATCCTCTGTGTTGACACTTCCTTCCAGTTTTGTGTCATCTGCGAATTTAGATATATTAACTTCGATGTCCTCATCTAGATCGTTGATGTAGATGGTAAATAGCTGAGGCCCAAGGACTGATCCTTGTGGCACTTCACTAGTCACATCCCGCCAATCTGAAAAGGACCCGATTATCCCTACTCTTTGTTTCCTACCCGTTAACCATTCCCCAATCCACGTCAATATGCTCCCCCCAATTCCATGGGCCCTTATCTTTTTGGACTAACCTTTTATGCGGCACCTTTGCCTTCTGGAAGTCCAAATAGACCACATCCACTGATTCACCCTTATCTAGTTTACTCGAAACATCCTCAAAAAATTCTATGAGATTTGTCAAACATGACTTTCCTTTTGTAAAGTCATGTTGACTTGGCCTAATTATATTGTGCTCCTCTAAATACCGCACTACCACATCCTTAATCAATGATTCTAAAATTTTTCTTATCACTGATGTTAGACTAACTGGCCTATAGTTCCCCATCTTTTCCTTTCCACCTTTTTTAAATAGTGGTGTGACATTTGCGATCTTCCAATCCATGGGGACTGTTCCAGAATCCAAGGAATTTTGGAAGATCAGACACAAGGCCTCCACTATCTCATAAGCTCCCTCTTTTAAAACCCTGGGATGCAAGCCATCCGGACCAGGGGATTTGTCACTTTTGTCACTAACCTGGCAACACATACTTTGCAGGCTCATGCATGAAGAATAGCTAACTCTGGTCACTGGCCCAGAACCATACTCCAGAGTCACCATTTTCAGGAGAGATGGAAATAAACTACTTGGTTTGTTTGCTTGGTTTGTTATGTACTGCAACTTGACACCCCCTTTTATTTTCACAAAGTAATCCTTATAAAAAATTTGCTAACCCATGTCCAGCTTCGAGTAGTCCAAAACAACTGAACATGACTCCCTGGAGGAATTTGTATCTAATGAAGATGAGTCAGTTAGTTGTAGTTAAAACGCCTAAAAGGAATATATGTTCCTATGATTTTCCAGGTGGGGTAAGCTAACTATCCATGGTATGTATCCTTTTATTTGAAGAAATTAGGACCATTAGGCATGATGGTAAGCAATCAACCTTTTTGGAGAATGCAATTAATGCACTTGTGATTTGGCAATGCTAGAGTATCTGACACGACCTATAATCTGAGTAGTGCCTGGGCGTCATGTTGAAAATTCATTGCGCTTATTGTGAAAGTGCTTGTCTGATTAGAATCACGTGAAAATACCCAGAAATTCTTACCTTACTATTTTTTCCAATAAACTGTACTGGTTGCACTTGGGGTAGAGTTCCATTCTCAGACACTGGGACTGTTGGAAAAACGGTCTTTACAGTGTGATTGGGGTAAGTACATATCTTTGTTGTACCAGACACATTCAGCTTTGGCAATTCCAATGGGTAAGTAGGAACCTGGCATCTTGCAGGCTGTTGTGGATATTTTTGGTGCTGTGAAAATTTAAAAGAAGTGTTTTTTCAGCAATTTAAAAAAAAATTGTATCTCTGTACTTATATTTTAAAAAAATGCTCTTACAAATTCCTCACCTATTCAATGCCCTTTTTTTAACCAATCTCAATAAAATATACAGTTTTGCACAATAACTTAATCAATTTAAATTCTTTGGGATGAACTCCAAAGATGAATGTAAAATTTATATTTTTTTAGGGATAAAATTTGATTTTTAAGGGTGGCTCCACAGAATTTACAATTTGTTCTTCAATCTGATGTTTGCCAAAACATTGAAATGTGGCCAGTAAAATAATGTTTCATTTTGCTTTGTTTGTATTAATAAATCTGTTATCTTCCACACACCAATGGGTAAGAACAGTAATAAAATTGACCCTTCAAAACTTTTTCAACCAGAACCAATAGGGTGTTGTGCAATCTATGGAAGTGCTCTCACTTGGCTATTCTAGTTCTTTTCTATCATTTTCAGTATCTGCATTTTTCTACTTACAAAAGGTTAAAGCTTTTTCTTAACATGGTTTTGTATCTCCTTTTGAGCCTCTGGCTCAAGATTTGTAACTGTTATTTTGGGAAAGTTCAAAATATGTTCTTCCTTCACGAATGCCTTTCTTACAATTGGCCAGGTGCATACCAGCTAATTCATAGTGGATACTGATTTCACTCCTTTGGTTAGAAATTTCAACTCTAGTCAAAAAGGAATGGTATGGTAGCAGGTTTGACACATTGCTAAAATGTCCTCCCTTTTAAAGTCTAAATTTGCACCAAAGGCACATCCTGAAGAAAAATAATGCTCTAATTGTCCTTAACCAAAGTTGTTTTCTCGCCCCCAAAAAACTTTGGCTTAGATATAAATGTCCTGGTTTCATTTCCTAAGCAAACCCAAACCAAAATTAATCTTTTTAAAGTGTTAAACAAATGTGTCAGCTGTTGACTTGGGGGCACTGGCAAACTGAGGGAGTCAAGAGGCAATGTTTTCTTCTTACCCGTCTCCGTCCCTTATGAATTCGCCAAAGGTTATGCATCACACCTTGAGCTACATTGTTCTCATCTTCAAAGCCTCTAACTGTTCGCTGTAAATTGGCAGCTTGCTTCTCTGCCATTCTACAGACGAGAAATTACAAAATCAATCTTCTTTGACTTACTATATATAGTGTTCATCAACTTCCATTTCAAATAATTTTATCTATTTCTCTTTTAAAAGTGAGATGCTGGGGATGTATAATCTCTGATAGTGTTAGTCACTGCAACCACTTTCACATTGGTCAGCAACAAATTTTAGTACTCAATAAATTTGTTGTAAATCTTCTCACAGAATGCTTCATCCCCCCCCATAGTTAAAAAAGATCATGTAGCACAAGTCATTCTTAATGAGATTGTGGCATTTCAACTTCAATTTGACTTGCAAAATGTTAATGTAAGAAATAACTTCCAGTTCAGGACAGATTTAATAATGTGAGTGCTTGGAGATTTGGCTCACCTCAGATCTCGGAAGTAAGGATGTTGTAATGCCTGCTTGGCAGTGATTCTCTTATCAGGATCATACTCCATCATTGCAAGCATCAGGGAAATACTGTCATTGGAGATGTGAGGAACAAGGCAAGGTATTCCTGTACCTTTCTTTGGTGGAAAGTCAAAATTCATAGCGCGTGTTCTAAATGGCAAATTGTATAAAATTATATCCAATTAATATTCAAATCGCTAAAGCTATTTTAAAAGCTCAACAACTACTTCAATACTTGCCTTAAATAATAATATCACATTATTATTTTTGGAACTTCACTATCTGGAGAATATCCCATCACCTATCTTGCAGGATCATCTTCGCTTCAAACAGGAGCATTCTCCACAGTGGATGATGTCAAATTTACCAAGAGAGAAAATCACAAAGGGGCATCTTATATTTAAGACATTTTGATCTTGACTATGTCAAATGGTGACCACAAGACTTCAATTTCTACATGTTAAAATAACTTCCTCAGGATGACTATCAATTCTTGAAATAAATTTAAACCAAATCTTTATTAGTATTTTTATTGAGAACCTAAGGGCAATGCTCACACTATATAGGCTAAAAAGAGTATGTCATGAAATAGTTCAGGTCATTTTCGAAGTTGGATGATTATCGGAATGAAGACTGAGAGAGGTAAGTAAGGATATTTACGGTCTTGAGTAAATAATGATTTATGATAGGAATCTGCTCTGATTCTTTCCATTGTTAAATAACTTGCTGACAATATCTGGCTTTCAGGTGAAAAGAAAATGTTAAAGGAAACACTTGATGAATCTCACGATGAGTCACTGCTTTCAGACAAGGAAGGGATTTAAAAACGATTAGATGAAACAAACTAAACAAACATTAAATTCTTCTTTCATTCGAAGGAGCAAAGATGGGATTCCTTTTCATTCAATTTCATTTAATGACCTAGCTAAGAAATTTTAGGCTGCAACATTTTAACTGGTTAACTACTATTTTGCAATTTATAAATCAAATTAGCCTGCAGTCAAAAAGCTTAATTACTGTATATAGGTTCACTAAAATGGAATTGAGCCTTAAAAATAATTAATTGTACACAGAAGGGACGCAGAGCATGGTACATCATTTCTAAATGTAAAGTATCTTTGGGACATCATTTACAGGGGTGGATAAACGTTTCCTAGGAATAATTATATATAATCATGCTCATTGGGAAAACAACAGAAATAAAAAAAACTGCTATAAAATAAAGTGTAGAGTCAGCTGAACTGAATGCTTATAGTGAAACACAGGTTCACGCTTATAAGCTATATATGATGAGTTCCGGATTCTCATCCAGGCTATCAAAGGCATTATAATTCAAAATGTACACTTACTGCTTAAACTTTCTGAGGATATCGCCCTTTGGAGTTCCAACAACATCATGGATTTTTGCAATTTGGTCCACTTCATTAGAACCAGGAAAAAGTGGATGTAAGCTGAAAGGACAAAACATTAACTTTTAAATTAGTTTTGATTAAATCTGTTTTAGTACATTGAAGATGAAAGTTTTTATAGAACCCAAAAACCTATAAGGCTGGAAAAAGACCACTATACATTTCATTGGGTAGCTTGCTTGAATTGCACCATGGCTGGCACTGTTGGTGCTGTAAGTTATTGTACTGCCTTTCATCTCTGGGTTCAGATTCCAGAGTAATTTGATCAAATGGCAGTCTTGCTCCTAGTTACTGTAATGAATACAAACATTGACAGAAGGCACACCTGACATTTCATGTCAGCACAATCAATCAATACTACTTTCTGGAGTCCTGTAGCTGTGGTTAGAGCACTCGCTTTACAAGCGAGAGACCCGAGTTCAATTCCAGGGAGGGCGAAACCTCGGGCAAGTTTCCTTACTCCACACACCTAATAATAATCCCTCCAAAACCAAAAACAATAATAAATTGGTCATTTTCAATCTATGACTGTTTGCGGGACATTGCTGTGCGCAATTGGCTGCTGCGTTCGCCCACAAATATACAGTCAATTCACTTTACAGTATATTCTGTGAAGTGCTTTGAGACGTCTAGAAGACGTGAAAAGCGCTATATCAAATGCAAGGATTATTATTAGTAGTATTTGTAACCGGCATTAGTTGAGTCTTAGGTTCTAGTTTTCGCCGTGCTCCTCGTCCTTCCTTTTGAGCTGCTTGGATGCTCCATCTGGTGGCCCGACCACCAAGGTTCAATTCTCCAAATCAGGCCAGTGAGTTTTACATGAATTCATGACTCCCTCAGTCTTTTGAATCTCTCATGCTACATTGCTGGCAGGTAGGTAAGCAGATTTACTGATGTGCCAAATAGCTCAAATTGCATTTATTTCCATCAACAACATAATACAACATCATTCTTCTATTATATTTTAAATTAGATCTTTACCTGGTTATTTCATAGAAAACACAGCCAGCACTCCAAATGTCCATTTTGAAGCCATAATACCCATCTGTAAGAAGACATTCTGGGGCTCGATACCATCGAGTGGAGATATATTCTGTGTATGGATGCTTTGAGAACATACTCCTACAGGAACCAAAATCTGCCAACTTCAGCAAGTTTTGCTGCAAAGGAAAAGCCAATATATTTTAAAGTTCTGCCATTTGTATACTGCAGTTACTCCATGGCTCGACATCATTGATTTCATGTCTCAGTATAAATGACGTACCTTAATTAAGATATTTTCTGGCTTTACATCTCGGTGAAAAATTCCATTTCTGTAGTGAAGAGGGTAAATTATAATTCTAAATGTCATTACACCATCAATTTTAGATCATGTTGTTGTTTGTAGAGTATTACAAGTGTTAGTAGCTTTCAACAATCTTAATTGGGTGAGTACTGGACCAGGAATGCATGGTTCTGGGTTCAAAACCTCCTCGCTCTTTGGGGATAATAATAATCATTATTTGATACAGCGCCTTATCACATCTTCGAGACGTCTCAAACCGCTTTACAGAATACACTATAAAATTGGTATGTTTATTCTCCAAGGAGGGAGATCAGAGGTAAGCAGATCTCCTTGGGTCTCTGGCAAGGCAAGAGTAATTGCTCTCCAGTAATCCAAGGAGGATTTAGAGGTGTAGACGTGTCCTCAAATCTGCAAACCCTGATACATGGAGTGATCTCACTGGCCAAGTACTGTTCACCAAGATTACTATTTTGTTTTCAAAACATCAGAATAAAATATCATTTCACCTCTGCAACTATCAAACAAAATTGGTGAAAGTGCAAGGATTTTGTTATTAACTGTTAAATTCTATACACCAGTTTCTTGAAATGGGTATTAGCAAGAAAATAATTATGGCATTCATTTTTACAATACTATTGCTGGTGATTATTTTTCCTCACCTGTGCATGTAATCAAGGGACTTACATAGTTGATACATGAAATTCTTTATTTTACTGTCGGGTAAAGGGTTCCTTCGCCCTATAAGGAAAAGAGTGCAATGAAAATACTCAGAACATTAGACAATTATCTTAAGTTCCATGTTTATATATGAGGTTATTCAAATACACTTTCAAATATCTCCTAGTATCTCCCTTCTTAATGCTGTTATAGTTCTTTTCACAATTGACTAACTTGTTCTGTTCATCCATCTGTATTGGAAGCAGATACTATTAGAAGCAGTTTTAGGTTCTTCATCCTATCTTTATTTAATATATAATATAGTTACACTGCTAAACATGAAGAATCTGTCATCTCAACAGTTCCTAGAGTTTATTACTTACATCCTACAGAGTATAATGTAATCTATTAATTATCTTCAAGCAGAAGACGCAGGGTCTGGCCTAATCAATTCCTCACCATATTTTCTAACATTTGACTAGTAAAATATCAATACACAAGCCCAAGGTCTCTGACCACTTTTTATCTGGTTGGAATCAAAGATCAATCAGAGTTTAGCCAGCAGCCCATGAAGTGGTATGAAATGCTGTGCGTTCGAAAACCAATTTAATTGCCAGTTACTCTGAATTAAACCAGAAGTTTCTAAAATTAATGAATTACAAATATGTCTCTCAATTATAATGAACCATCTTGCACAGGGGCGTTATACAGTAAGAGTTTTGCATATTATCTTGGTAAATGGGTTTCATGTGGCTTATCTATTATCAAACAAACTACAGGCAATATGCATTTTTTTAAAAGTTGTTTTAAATGAGACACTGTGAGAAGTGTTTATCTTTAAAACGTCAATCTACTTACCTCTTATTAGCTCGTAGACATTCATGTCCATGAGTTCACATACTAGAGCAATAGACCCATTCTTCTTGTCACTGGAACACAATAGACAAGGAGGAAAGAAAGCCACACAGTTAAGATTAAAAAATTGTATAAACATGTGTGGTACTCTAAATTTTATAGAAGGCTGGATCATCCAGCAATGAGTAACTTCATTTAGCACAATTGATGCACACTGTCTGATTTGCACTCAAGGGAAGATAAAAACTGATAAGAGAAACTATTTATCAGAGGTTAAATACTGGAATATTTATATTAAAGCAAGAAAAACATTTGGGACATTCCTGATTTCAAAACCACTGCTAGAAAGTATTCAAGAAATTGCATTTCCATCAATTTTCCTTCACCCAGTTGAAGAAACATCTGACCAACATTCAACTACTACCCACATACTAGCAAGCTGATAACTCAATAGCATGAGGTGGGAGAGGAAACAAAATTATCAAATCTGTATTGGTCCAATACTTACTAGGCCACTTCGTGTAATTGAAGAATATTAGGATGCAAGCTCAGTCTGCGCATAGCTTGAATTTCTCGTAAATTGTTCACTTGCTCTATACTGTTTACAAAAAAAAGTAAATGCTAAATTTCAGTAACAAGTAATGATTAACAACAACAAGAAGATTTCATTTATAGAGCGCCTTTCACTTCGGGAGGACGTCCCAAGGCGCTGGACAGTTGGGTCGGGACCCGAGCAGGGGGGAAATGGTCAGGGTGAGGGGAGGGAAGGGAGCGAGGAGGGGGTAGAGAGTCGAGAGCTAAAGGAACGGTCGAAGAGAAAGGTCTTGAGACCGGCCTTGAAGGAGGAAAGAGAGGAAGCGGCGAAGGCATTGGGGGATGGAGTTCCAGAACCTAGGGGCTGAGGGCGGGGGATGTGGAGCAGACCGGAGCCAGAGGAACGGAGGGTACGGGCAGGTAGGTAGGGGGATAGTAGGTCGGAGAGGTAGGAGGGAGCAAGGCCGTGAATGGCCTTGTAGGTGAGGATGAGGATCTTGAATTTGAATTAAGCAAGAATGAACGCTATAAAGACTGAGATATAATCCACAAGATTAAATTAATAAATCTGGAGCAGTTTAATGGAGAAGCCCCATAATACATAGATAATAAATAATTAATAAATATGATAATAAACTATAATATATGTATTAAATGTGAAATATATCAAAAATACCTAAAAGAAATTCTCAAAGAACAAATTACAGTTACACATTATTCTTGACATTTTTATACAAATACTACCTATGGACATTGATTACATTTTTGAAACACTTATGCACGTTATACAGGACACCACGCATTAAGCACTTAATCAGAATGCTCAAACAGTTTGACAACAGTCAATCCATATGATAAATAAACATGGCAGTTTTGACGAGTATTGAGAATTATGTGATATTAAGAAAAAGTACTAAACCAAATACTTAAGACTTAGAAAGCATTTCAGTGAAACAAAAGAATTTAAATGCACATCCAATCAGTTACACAAGCATTACATTTGTATTCTGTCGTTTTTTTTGGTACCTTTCCACATGTTGTTTCATCTTTTTACAGGCATAATAATTCGCATCCTTTAAACTTTGAACCTTCCATACCTCTGAAAATGTCCCTTCACCTATTTTAGTCACCAACCTATAGTCTAAAAGACAAGAAACTATTAATTAAACCCAATTAAACTGGTTACAAACATTGATGCCTGTCTCCTCTTTTGATGTAATGCACAAAAAATCTTCACCTAAATTCCCCCCAAACCAATACCCTCGTCCAAGAGGGCATTTAAAACCCCACCAGTCTAGATTTATAACCGACGTGTGTGTGTGTGTGTGTGGGGGGGGGGGGGGGGGGGGGGGGGGGTGTAAACAAAAAGCAAAATGTTGAATTATTTGAGGACAAACAACAACCAAACAATTGACGTTTATTATAACAGCGCCTTTCGAGTCAGGAGGACGTTTCATCCAACTCAAGATCACTCGAAGGAGGTGGTCCTGGGGGTGGGGTGTGGAGGGGGTGGGGTGTGGTTGTGGGGGGGGGACGGGTTTAAAAGGTTTTTGTGCACTTGCTCAGCACTGAGACACTGGGGCTGGAGTCGGGCCCTGTGTAATGGCTGCGGTGCGTTTTTTTACACACACACACACACGCGCGCGCGCGTTTGTTGACTATTTCCGGCTTCGGTAACGTATATTAATAATAATAATAATCACAGTCGGCTTACGGTCCATCGTCGGCTCATGGTTTAACCTTTAAACCACGCGTCCGAGCTTGTTGGTCTCGTCGGCCGGGGGAGAGCCGCGGGCGGGCGGGCGGACAGGCCGCCGGACATGGCGCGTCTGCGGTTGCCTGGAAACGCCTGACCCCGCCCTGACCCTGGAACACACGGCCCCGCCCACTGCCCGGGCCGTCCTTCCGTCCGTGCTCGGCGCTGGCCCCGCCCACACACATCACGCCCCGCCCACAGCCCGCCCCGTCCAATGCCCCGCCCACACACATCACGCCCCGCCCACTGCCCCGCCCACACTTCTACCCTCTGTGTACCTTTATGAATGGGGTTACAGTATCTGAGTTTAAGACACACAACTCACATGTTGACTCACTGCAGCAGCAAATTCATTGGCTAATTTGAGGAAATTATTACTCTTATGTTTGAGTGATAACCATGAACTCCCCCCCCAAACACACACTAAAATCTACCTGCAAATTACTTCTTTTAAATGTTTTTAATTTGAATGAAGCCTAGAAGTACAGGATCATTTTTTAGGTAATGTATTGCTCTTTCTGCCTTCACCAAATAATACACTTGGATAGCTTGAGGTGATTTGCATGCTCTCATTTATCTCCATCTCTATGTTTCAGAGAAATATATTTTATTTTATAAAATATAATATTTTATCTATATGTCAGAGAAACATTTAAGTACTTCCTGTGTACTATATTTTTACACGTGTGCAGAATTGTTTTAAGTTTGTGTGAGTTAACTGCAAAAACACAATATAATATTGTAATGTACCATGAAATATCCCTTTAATCATAAGTAAGGTTGTTTTTGTCAGCCTGGGTCAAAGGGGAGCATTCTTGCCTGTGGGTCACAAGGTTTATACTCTATGTGAGGATGTTAAGTACAAGGTAAAGATCCCATGGCACCACTCACAAAAGAAGGGAGGTTTCTCCCAGTATCCTTGCCAACGATCCAAATAAAAAAAAGTTGGCCATTCATTTCACCGCTGTTTGTGAGACGTTGCTGTGTGCAAATAGGCTGTCATGTTTGCCTACAAATATGCAATCACTACACTTCACTCTAAATCACATGAAGCGCTTTGAAACGTCCTCCTGACGTGAAAGGCACTATACAAAATGCTAAGGATTATTAATTAAGTAAACTATTTGTCAGCGAAGCTACTTACCTAAGAAGTAACGTTTCTTGTGGTTTTGGTCCTCTAAATTTAAAAGATCATACAAAGTAGTTATTGTTATAATTCCGAAGTAAATGCTTTGTAAAATGTCCCACCTTGTTTGCCACTAAAAGTCACAATTCATATTAGCTTTGTAAAAGTCAACAGGGTATCCTGAAATGAAGAACCCAGTCATTCTTATTGCTAACTCCGGAAATCTACCTACTGTCCATAGCCAGTTCTCTGATGGACACCTTTGGCTTCTCTTTTGTGTAAATCTGTAACTTTTTAATTTCTCTTGGGGGAGGGGGAAATCATGTCCGCACTCAGATCATTCAGTCCTGAGGTCACATCAGTTTATTATTACCTCATCTTTCAACAGTATAGCCATAGAGATAAATGACATGCCATTGCCAGTAATGAGTTATATGAGAGGTTGACCAGATCATATATGACCAGTCGTCAACCTCACCAGTGGATGTAATTATCATCCAATTGCTGTGCATGACACATTCCACTCCACATGATAGTATATAGTGTAGGTATAGTTATCAACGCAACAGGCCTTGTTACTTGATTTAATATGGAGCGTTGATTACTAATTCAAACTATTTTCTTCAGTCTCTCATCAGAGATCTTGCATTGCAATAACCACTGTAGAGAAAAGGATATTAATTGCATTTCCAAATTGTGCTTATAGCCTTAGAATTCTCAAAAACATCTTGTCATTTAATGAACACAGCAACTGAATTGTGTTATCAGCTTTAGTATGGAAGAGTTAGTGAACTGCACAGTAGTTTTTTCCAGTGAATCTAAACAATGTCTGATCATGGTCAAACAATTTGCATCTAAATCAACAATCAGTAGCACTTGATAGACATTATTTGTCCACATTTCTCAGCACCCTTGCCCCAATTTTGTTTTAGCAATTTGGGATTCCTCTTCATAATGCAAATTATTTGCTGCACACTTACATGTGTTGCCTACTGTTTCTTCACAACTGCCATCTCAATAAAAACAGCTCCAAACCCTGAGTCATTTAAATTGTCCCTTTAACTCCTAACTCCATCTACAAATCCTGTAAGTTTCCATTAGAACTCAGAGAAAAAAACTCTTCTAAACATGACCCGTTCATCTTGCATTCTGGTGACGTGAGCCTCCTACGCACAAAGGATTATCCACCATAGTTATATTAAATTGCCAATTAAATTCCTGATGCATCAATTTTAACTTCCAAAGATACTGGGAGACTCTCATGATCAAAGAAAGAACCAGCACAACTGTGACAACTGGAATATAAAACATTCACTTTTTTACATAGGCTATAAATTGTTACCTGTACCCGTAAGTGAAATTAAGGCAACAATATTAGGGTTCAGATTCTGAACATATAAACTGCTTAACATTCATCTGAACCCCCCTGGATTACTCCCTGTCTGTCACGAAGGATTTTTCACCTCGAATCAATAATTCCTGGAATATAAGACTTTTCTTTATAATTGTATTTTTCTCAGTTTGTCGAATAGATTTCTAAACACTTCTAGACAAAGATATTTATATTAATTCTATCTACTCTGACTCAATTGCCTCTGGATCAGAATGCTGTAAGACTTGAATTAACAGTCTCTAGGCTGAGAAACCAGACCAGTACTGGAAAAGTGCTGCATTGTCAGAAGTGCCATCTTTTGGAGGAGAGATTAAATGTAGGTTAAGTCTACCTGTTTCAGGTGGATGCTAAAGATCCCACAATCCTATTCAAAAAGAGAAGGGAGTTTCTCCTATTGTCCTAGCAATCCCTCTTTTATCTTTCCTCTCCCCATCCCAACCCCTCGATTCCCATCTCCAACACTATGAAGTGCTTTGAGATATCTTCAAGAGATCAAAAGGCGCTGTATAAATGCAAATTGTATCGTAATGTGTAATAATTCTCCAGATTAACCAGTCATTCACCACGATTATGTTAAATTGGTCATTTTATACAAATTCTTTCTTTTTATACAATATCTCTAGTGATGTCAATGGAAAATCACCTTCTGTATGTATAAAATAAAATGGAAATTAGTTACAGTAAAAATGACACAGTATATTAAAATGCCAGAAATAAACAACAGTCCAAGTGTGACTGCTATTGTGCAGAAGTTGTTAATCTTTTCTAACACTCCAAACGACTAATTACTTGAGGTAATCGGATCCAATAATTATTTGGCTCATTTGGTGGCTTTAAACGTTACTAAAGCCAATTGTAGTGCCTTTATCACCATACTTGGTAGCTGGCATTAGCTAATGCAGCAAGATCAGGGAACTACCCGGGACCACATATATTCTAATGGAACAATGCGGGAAGCTAAAGTAACACTTATTAAAGTGTTCATTAACTTATTAAAGATAAGTCTGCTATTTTCTGATCGGGAATAGAATGATAGTAGGAATTGCTCAAAAGGTTTTACAATCTAACGATTGGCAGATTTTAAATGATACTCCAATGCTTAACCCACGTGAATCGATTTTTCTATTCTCCAAAAGGAAATTATACAAAGAATATTACAGTATTGTAAGAGTTCCTAAGTTCACACGAGAATGAATGCCATCTTACTTACCTTTGGCTCTGAGGAAGTCGGTGAATGTGAAATTAGCCTGTGCCTTTTGGTGAGATCGATGTGTTGCTCTGAGATTCCCATTGCTCAAGAAGTCTATGGGGGTTGTGGTCATCGTGAAAGAAATTATAATGATAATAATAATAATCCTTGCATTTGATACAGCGCCTTATCACGTCTTCAAGGCGTCTCAAGGCGCTTCACAGAATATACTGTAAAGTGAATTGACTGTATACTTTGTTGCTGTGAACCTAAGTTCAAATCTGTTGCAGTAAAGGCTTAAAACAGAGAGAGCAAGAGAGTAGAAGAAGCCTGTTCTGTTCCTTCCAATGTATCATGTTTGTTTACTGCTGTTCTCTAGGAGATTGTAGATTTCAACAACGATTGATTTTTTTTTCTTCCCCCCACCACTGACTTCAAACCAATGCGTTGCCAAAAAACTACCTTCGCTTGCGAAGGCTTTTATCGAGGAAAGAAAATACTTTGCCTTTCTTTCGAATTCGATTTTTTCTTTTTAAAAAAAAAAGCGAAAAGTTTGAAACGAAAATCTGGAAACACAAAAATTTCGCAAATCTTAAAAAAAAATCGAATGAGAGGGGCCAAATAAACACTGCATTTTCTTTTAAAAGAAAAAAGCACCTTCGTTACGTTGCAATACACCGCTGCTAACAATAATCCTTGCATTTGAGGTCGCGCCTGATCGCGCCTCGAAGCGCTTCGCAGAACGTGCTGTGTCAAGTGGAGTGACTGTGTGTTTCGTAGACCGTCAATAGCATTCTGTGTTGATGCAGTAATGTGGGGGTGTGTGTGTGGGGGGTGTGTGTGTGTGTTTGTGTTAGTGTTAACTACTGCTTCAACCCAATAAAAAAAAGGGTTGTGGGGGTGGGGTGGGGGGGGGTGGGGGGTGGGGGGGGGTGACAGGACTTTGTGGACAGATACCCTGTGTTGAACAGATTCTGCTGTGTCTTGTCAGCACCGCTAGAGGGCGCCTCGAGCACAACGTTGCTTTGCTGAGCTCAGGGCCGACCGCCGGGGGGCGCTGTGGCCCCGGAGGAGCGGTGTGGGGTTGGCGGCGGAGGTTCAGGCGGTGGCGTTGGCGTTGGCGGCGGCTTCGTGACCACCGACAGGACTGGGCCTCGGGAGGGCCTTCGGGAGCCTCGGGGGCGGCGGCCAACACCTCGCGGCCAAAATGAAGTCGAGATTCAACACCATCGACATCCGAGTCACAGTGTCGGAGCTCCAGAGGTGGGTCCTGATACCGGCGGTTACCCCGGGGAGGGGGGGGGGCCCTGGGTAGGCGACCCACCCCTCCCCCTCCCCCCCGGGGCCCGCAGGCCGCGGCCCTCCCCCCCCGGGGCCCGAGTGTCAGCTCGTGCCTGTGTTTACTCACTAACAGCGCCCGGTGCTGCTGCTGCTGCTGCTGCCGGTCACCGTGTACATGTCAGGAGAGAGGGAGGGAGAGAGGCGGCGGTGAGGGGGAGAGAGAGGGGGAGGGAGAGAGAGGGTGAGGGAGAGAGAGGGGGGAAGCACTGACTTTATTAAAATGCTTCTCTCTCCCCGGCTACAGGGTGTTCACAAAGTCCTGTTACCCCTCCTCCCCTCCCCATGTGTCTGTGTGTGTGTGTGTGTGTCTGTGTGTGTGTGTGTGTCTGTGTGTGTGTCTGTGTGTGTGTGTGTGTCTGTGTGTCTGTGTGTGTGTGTCTGTGTGTGTGTGTGTCTGTGTCTGTGTGTGTGTGTGTGTCTGTGTGTGTGTGTCTGTGTGTGTGTGTGTGTGTCTGTGTGTGTGTGTCTGTGTGTGTGTGTGTGTCTGTGTGTGTCTGTGTGTGTGTGTGTCTGTGTCTGTGTGTGTGTGTGTCTGTGTGTGTATGTGTCTGTGTGTGTGTGTGTGTCTGTGTCTGTGTGTCTGTCTGTGTGTTGTGTGTTTTTTTACACAGTGACCAACAACTGGAACATGTGGTGAGAATGATGACAGTTGTGTTTGGATTGTACTGAATTGCAGTCGGTTACAAGTGTTTTAGCCTTTTATTAGTGTTTCGCCCACAAGATACGCAGTCAATTTACATCTGTGATGCACTTTCAGACGCCTCGATACGGCGCTATATCAAATGCGCGGATTATTATTATTATTACATAGACGTCCAGAGGAGTGAGTGGTGTGAACGCCATGATTTTCATGACAGATAATGATCACTGTCAGCGTTGTTGTAATTGACCGTGTTTACATTACACGTGACACTGTATACTTTAGACGCATGAGTTCCAAACGTTCAACTTATATTGTTAAACTAAAGTTAGCGAGACTGGACTTGCCCCGGTGTGTACTGACTGTGCTATTGTTTGAATGAATAATACACATTGGTACATTGAAAGTATTGATGTTTGATTTATTTTCAAAACAATTCAGGTCAGGCAGCCTTGTGATTAAGCAGTTTCGGCTGTTTATTTCAATCTTATTTTGTGTAAAGTAACATTAAATTGTCTTCAGTTATTTAGGGATGAGGGTAAACAATGTTTACGATGTGGACAACAGAACGTATCTCATTCGAGTACAAAAGTAAGTTTATTTTTCTAAGCTTCTCTTTGTTTTATGTCAGAGGGTATAAAGCAATGATAATATTGTTCATAGTGTAATTGGTATTTGAAAAACAATTCCTACAGAACAGTTACTTTATACTGTATATAAAATTCACACTGTTAAGGTATACAGTTGGTGAGCGTATTCTAACATGACTTAATTTTTTGGGGGTCCGATAAGATGGTTTAGTTGTTCCACAGTGTCAAATAAATGCCATAAATAACATTGTAACATACATTCATTCTTTTTATAGGCCTGATTTGAAAGCTATTATTTTAATTGAATCTGGAATTCGGATTCACACAACAGAGTTTGAATGGCCAAAGAACATGATGCCATCCGGCTTTGCAATGAAGGTACAGAGGCAATTCTGATGGAATGCTGCCACGAATATAACAAATTTACGATGACTCCTGCACAAGTTACGGATGCTTGAGTTTCACATGCATGTTATTTTAAGCAAGTTACATAAATCATATTTTATAATATAGCTTTGAAAATCACATCGCCACAATCAATCGTGCTGAAACTAAAGTTCTGCACAATTGTTCCTGTATTTTGTTTGAAATTGCTTGTGATAACATATTCTTATATTGCATGAGTTCTGATTGTATCGTCAAAATACAATTACATTTCTTAAATTCACGGTCTTAAACGTGAGTGAGGAATGCATTGTTCGTAAACTGGATGTGTTTTTGTTGTTTTGGTTGCAGTGCCGTAAGCATCTAAAATCGCGCCGTTTGATCAGCGTTAAACAGCTTGGGGTCGACAGGATTGTAGATTTTCAGTTTGGATCTGATGATGCAGCTTACCACTTGATTGTTGAACTGTACGACAGAGTAAGTTATCACAAATATCACGCTTTTGGAAAAGAAAATTCCTGAACTAGTTGAACTGTTGTCAGATTGATTTTTATAAGTAAGTTTTGCCCACAAAATACCCAGTCAATTCACTTCGCAGTATTTTCTGTGAAGTGCTTAGAGATGTCTCGAAGACATAGGCGCTATATCAAATGTAAGCATTGTTATACGTATAAATATTATATGAAGTGTATTTTGAGAATCAAAACTTTCTAAACCTGAAACAAAGTCAATTTTCAACATTCTTCAGCATGAACAAACCACTGCCATGTTACTATCATTGCAAAGCATGTCACTGTCCATGGATCAGTCATGTCTCATCACTGTCTTTATAACTGCAGAGGAATTGTCAAAAGGGATCCCGCTCCCCCTCCACCACATGCTGCCTCCTGCCACTGTCCTGACATGTGACAGAGGTCCATAATTGTTAAAAGAGCAACTTTACCAGCATTACCTTTGATCTCTGTGTGTTTCTAGGGTAATGTCGTTCTCACAGACCATGAATATACAATTCTTAATCTCCTGCGTTTCCACACCAACGAAGCAGATGATGTGAAATTTGCTGTTCGAGAGCGATACCCAGTGGATAAAGCCAAAGGTCCAGAGCCTCTGCTAAGCCTGGAGAGGTACTGTGGTTTGAAACTTGAATATTATTTGTTTCAGCTTTGACTTAGAGAAATCACGAGGGTTCCCCTCCTGGCCTAATGGGGGTACAATTGGCCTTAGCACTCCTAGGCCAGGAAAGAGAAAAATCACTGGAGATTCCTGAATAGTATTTAGTTATCCCTGCTGGAAAAGTGCAAGTGTCATATGAACTGACCGCTTGTCAGAATGCATCATGTAATAGGGAGTGAATAAGAGGTTAATAAAAAATAAAAATTTCTAGCAGCTCTAGAGAAGGCTGAGGAATTTACGAAAATCTCTGCAGGTAGAATCAGGTATGTAATGTTTATTCAGAGTCAATTGAACTGGTTTTAAACTTCAATCTCTTATTAAAAAGGACAAACCTGAAAATCAATACCAACATTTTATTAGTAACTAAGTTCTTGTAAGTTTTCAAGTCAATTCTCAATATGTGAGGAGTTGGATATCTACAGACAGAGTGGTATTCTGTGAGCTTCTTGTGAAACGGTTACATTTCACTTTGGAACCAAGTGTGAAACTGTTGGGAAATTAAGCATTAAACTTTGCTTGGTTGCTGTTCACCTCATTGAATTGTGTCCTCTTGAGAAGTCCCTGATGTTTTTATCCCAACTGCTGTGTGGATATACTGCTTAACTGAAAGCTAACATTATTTAAAATAGTAGGATGATGTTTCTGTATATTCCACAGGCTGACAGAAATTTTGTCTAATGCACCAAATGGAGAACAATTGAAGAGAGTTCTTAACCCTCACCTACGTAAGTTTTACTGTAATGTAAATACAGTGGGCAATAAGTTGTTAGCTAACCAGCAAATAATTTATTGAAATGACAGTTTATTTGTGGTAATATTTGATGTTTAATGATGTTAATCAAACTGCTTATTTGCTGAAAGCACCATAGAAGAAAATAATGAAAACATAAATATCACTGTTATGTAAACATTACCCTATTGTTAACTTATAGTATAATGTAAAGCCTCAGTGAGCTTTTCATACTGTGACATGTAAAATGCATTGAAATAATGATGTGTCTTTTGTTTTTCACAATCATTCTAATGAGTGGAGAGAAGGGAAGGAATGAAAAGGAAACCTGGTTAAGATCAATAATTTTAAGTCAGAGTGTCTGTTACTCGAAATACGTTACAGTAAACTGATAACTCGACCTTGGTTTAACTTAAGTCATCATGGTGTCAATATCAGTCCACATTTATTATGTGCAGCAAACTCCTGATAACTTGTCACGCCAAAGGAAAAGGGCTTAGTGGCGAATTATCCAGAATGGTGAGTTAGGCAAATGTATAAATAAGGATATTGACAGCATGATGACTTAAGTGATAGTGACAAGTTAAGGCAGGGTCGAGTTATTAGGAATTTATTGTATTTGCTTGTCATGTTCTTCAAGACCTTATCCTATGTGAGGGCAGTATTGATTTTGTATCTGCCTTATAGCATACTTTCAACTGTGGTTTTCTTATGTTTACAGCCTATGGAGCAACACTGATTGAGCACTGTCTGACTGACGTTGGATTCTCTGGTAGTGTTAAAGTAGACGAAGATTTTGATTTGTCTAAAGGTTAGTTGAAGTGAGGCGTTTGTAAACTGTGTCCACTGTTGAACTTCTTTCTGTTTTTACTGTGACCAAAACAAATGCAATTATTTTTCTACTTTTCACATGTTGAGTTTTAATCCTATTGAGCTTTGTATTGGTGATTTGTATTCATTTGTTATTTGGATTCTAGATGGAGAAAAACTTCTGGCAGCTCTTCAGAAAGCTGAAGAATTCATGGAAATGAGTAGTAACTTTAATGGAAAGGTAGTCAAATTTATTTCTTTATTCCCTTTGGCTACATTGCTTTAAATTCATTGATGAGGTAGAGACATTGCATTTTTTATGTGCTTAATTTATTGTTAGCCTTTCAAACCTGGAATATAGAAATTCAAAGCTGGTGTTACTTTTGTGTTCAGGGTTATATTATACAGAAACGAGAGCAAAAGCTCAACTTGGATCCAGGCAGTCCCCCTGAAGAGCTACTAACGTAAGTCCTGATGCTTCTATCACAATCTTATCACAACCGATCACAATTCACAGCAGAATTTGTGAATTGCGTGTTACAAGATTTAATAAAACATAAGAATTGTAAAATGACAATTTCGAACAAAAACTGTCTTTGAAAACATGACTTTTTTTTCTTCTTCAGCTATGAGGAGTTTCATCCGTTCCTTTTTGCACAGAATGCGAAAAGTTTGCACGTCGAATTTGACTCCTTCAATAAGGTGAAAGCCTCTCCTGTACATTGCATAGGAATAATTAAGCCTTTGCGAAAATATAGGCTAGAGCTTTAGTAGAAAACGCTGTTCTGTAAGATGTCTGTCTGGTATTAAATTAAGTAATACTGTTCTATGTGTATACGTTTTCTGCAGGCAGTTGATGAGTTTTATTCAAAGCAAGAAAGTCAGAAAATAGATATAAAGGCTTTACATCAGGTAAGGTTTACTGCATTTTTAAGCAAGGTGAAACGTTTTATGGAAGAATTTAATAATGATTGAATTGAATGTGCGTTTTGAAAGATTAGATTTCATCCCCTGATTTCCCTTCCCACAATCAAATAGACAAGTCACGAGACCTCAGTTATGCTTGGTCCTTTGGTCTATGAACTAAAGTTTATCACTGAAGCAATTACAAACATTAGTACAGTAACCATGGTTTAAGTTGAGATTGAATTCCAGATGGTTTGCATTATTGCAGTATAAGGGCTCTGTCCAGAATGGTCTATTAAAAGGTCTTGGGGAATCCAATAATTTTGTAAGGGAAATTTTAATAGCATTAAAAAGCTGATGCCTAATATTGAGCCTCAAACTTTTGCTGAGTTCCAGACAGTTGCTATGAGAAAAGATGTATCTAGCAGTTATAAATGAGTACAAGATGCTGTCAATTAACACTGTCTATCTGCATTCAAGGAGAAACAAGCATTAAAGAAACTGGATAATGTTCGTAAGGATCATGAGAAAAGGTTGGAATCCTTACAGGCAAATCAGGTAAAAAAAAAATTCTATATCTGTGTATAGTAAAATGCTGAATACGACCAATTGCAGTCACAAACTGCTGCCGCAGTGAGATCTGTTAATGCAGTACGAGATATAAACCAACAATAACGAGATTACATTTGTATAGCGCCTTTCACGTCGGGAGGATGGCCCAAGGCGCTGGACAGTGTACAGTATTTCGGACTCAAGCTGGGATCAGGAGGGAGAAGGGAGGGGAAGGTGGGTGACCGGTGGCATGGTCGAAGAGGTTTCTTCAAATCCGTATCGTCTATGCTGATGTTCTAGTGCAGTGTTGGGGGTGTGTTGGTTGTGTGACATTGCTGTGTGCAAATTGGCGTTCACTCACAAAATACACACAGCCACAACAGTTTACAATATATCCCGTGACGATATACTGTAATGTGATGAGATACAGTATATCTCTGAGATGCCTCAACGACGCCATATCAAATGCAAGGATGATGATTAGATATTTTTGTTTCCATAGGAAATCGATAAAGTGAAGGGAGAGTTAATCGAGATTAATCTGACCATGGTCGATAAAGCCATCCACGTGATACGCAGTGCCCTAGCAAATCAGATCGACTGGACGGAAATCGGAAACATTGTAAAAGAAGCACAGGCTCAAGATGACCCAGTGGCCTGTTCCATTAAAGACCTGAAGCTGCAAACCAACCATATCACTATGCTGCTGAAGTAAGAGGTTTTATATTTGTTGAAGTCTGTATCTTTCCCATTATAGGTTCCAGGTACTAAGGGAACAATTTCAACAATTGCAGTGTTCTTTTGATTTGCTCTATAATTTCATTGTTCTGTATATTTTAGTTTCAATCTAATTGATAACATATCGAGTGTTAGTTTTCTCCTGTAATATACAGTACGTGCTGTAATGGTACAATGCCCCATTGAATCTTATCCAGCACAGTATTGCTACTCTGGGCCTCTCACAAGACTGTTTCTCTATGTATCAGATAAGAATTGTGTAACCTGTAATGCTTCTCGCCTAAGCTTGTAGATTCTGGGCGACTCTTTTTTTTGGAAAGTACAAAGAGTGGAATTGTTTCAGGGTAATATTTTACTATTATGTATACAATGTGCATTGGTGCATAATAATGAACTAGGGATTGAGTTAAATGCTGGAAATAAATATTCAAGTTCAAATGTTGCTTCTATTGTGGATCTTAACCTTGTAAAAGGGTAGGAGATATCTCGGTTTCTCAGTCTGTTTGAGTTTTTGAGTCTACCACAGCCAATCATTATTCCATGTATTGGAAATTCCTAGAAAATTACTTGATAGTTTCTAAGAGCTGACAGGTAAGATGTGTATGTGTAACCGCTGTACGATATAATTCTATTTCTGGACCACATTTAGGAACCTATACGTTACGACTGATGAGGAAGATCAACAGGGCGTCGATGTGGAGGAAGAAGTGGGAATAGAAGAAGTGAAAGGCAAGAAGAAAAAGAACAGAAACAAGCAGCAAAAGAAAATGCCGCAGAAGAACAAGCCCATGTTAGTGGACGTGGATCTCAGTTTATCTGCATACGGCAATGCAAAAAAGTAGGCATTCTTCTGGAAACCCCATGATAACTGAGAGAGACATTGCTGTGCGCAATTGGCTGCCTCGTTTCGCCCACAAAATGTACAGTGAATTCACTTTACAGTATATTCCGTGAAGCGTTTGAGACGTCTTGTTGATGTGATAAGGCGCTATATCAGATGCAAGGATTATTATTATTGATGTCAATGGTCATTTTTGTGGCAATTTCTCCCTTCCTGCTCACTTGAAAGAAAGCGTTGATTGCTTTTTTACTTGGACTGGGTTACTGTCCCACAGGCCTCAGGTACCTTTAACTCCATGCTCGACTGATGATTAATATATATAGGCTGGGTATAATTTTTTTTTAATGCTTCAAGTGGCATTGTGTTGCAGATACTATGACCACAAAAGATTTGCAGCTAAGAAGGAACAGAAGACCGTTGAAGCAGCAGAAAAGGTAGGAGCTACCTACTGTTCTTAGTTCTCATTGAATCACATTGCTCACTTTTGACTAGTGCTGCAACAAAGCTAGTGATTTATTGAAGCTCTAGCGATAGAATGTTCACACTTCTATTCCTGTGCCTCGGACGTCTTCAGTCTAGAAGGTGATGTTTGATGGGTCACTGTGAGAGCGACTTAGTGATAACTCTTTACTGATCAAGCTACCCAGGAAAGTACTCTATGCAAATTACTCTGAGAACTGAGGTGTAAAGTTTCTGATAACCATTAAACATTTTGTCTAAAATCACAACAGAATCAGTATAGACATATGTTTAAATGCCTGTTTAGAGGACAAGCTAAAGAAAATGTACCCGTCCCAACAATTATTCTTAATGTAGTGGAAGGAGAGTTGCTATACAGTCAGCAGACAGTTCACCATCATCATCTGTGACTTTTATCTTTTGTTGTAAAATAGGCATTCAAATCTGCAGAAAAGAAGACAAAAAAGACATTAAAAGAAGCTCAAACGGTCATTACTATCCAGAAGGCCAGGAAAGTGTATTGGTAGGTTTTGTGGTATGTATTGTTTGTTTGACAACAGGGAGATGAAAACAAAACTGTACCAACGTACATACCACATCTGAACTGCTCTCCCCATTCTATTTGAATTGTCTTCTCTCTGCTCCTCCTACCTCCTACTGCAGACTTGGTTCAGTTGAACAACAAAGAACAACTTGCAGCGTCCTTCACATTGAAGGTTAAAGATTAAAGATCAGGTTAAAGAGCACAAGGGAAAAGCTCAACTACTCACTATAACAATTGTAGTTTCTATGTGGTGAGAACAATGAATGGTCACTACTTTGGACATTTTTGAAGATTAAATTTGACTGGGGCCCATATTAAATCATGTCTGCTGAAATTCCATTCCTAACATGTATGTGATTTAATTTTGGTGAAACAGTATAGATGCAATGCCCTTAAAATTAGTGAAATATGTTTTATATGTTTGGATTTTCATTAAAAACAGTAGTATGTTAACTAGTATTATCTGTTATTTTATATGCTTTGTACCTGAGTGGCAAAACTGTTTCCTCTTAAAAACCCACCAAGTAGAAAATTATAAACTTCCACGACTGAAGCATTTCTGTGACTGGTTTATATTGAATATTGTCGACTCTCAAAGGTATAACAAGGCACTGATTTCAGATATACCACTTCTATATAAATTACTTTTACGATTGATGATAGAGGATTGTAATTGTCATATTAACTCCAATGTGTTATTGATTTCTGTTTGTCAGGTTTGAGAAGTTCTTGTGGTTTGTCAGCAGTGAAAATTACCTGGTGATAGCTGGTCGAGACCAGCAGCAAAATGAGATCATTGTGAAACGATACCTTAGATCAGGTTTGTTTTAGCTATTGTTTTCACATTTTAGGTATTTTCATTTTGGTTTCTTATAACTTACTATTTGTGCTAACACAAAAACTACCCCTGTGCAGTTTAAAAAGGTCTGTCACAAAGTTTGATATAAGGTCAATTGGGAGTCAACATGATTTGTTTGAGATTCTATCAAGCAACTTTTGCAAAAAGGGGGCCAGTTTAGGATTCATGCAATATATTCAAAGCGGCAACAACAACAAATTACAAATTACATTTGCGTAGGGCCTTTCATGCCTAGAGGGTAAATTTGGGTAATGTGCCAGTTTTAAACAATTCAGTTTTATTTTCAGTCATTTTTCTTGTTTTTTTAGGTGATGTTTATGTGCACGCTGACCTTCATGGTGCAACTAGCTGTGTCATCAAGAACCCAACAGGTTAAATGATCATCTTTTCAGAACGTTCGATTGTTACGCTATTTGCAACTGAGAGATTTAAAGTAAAGGAAACCTGCACTCAATGAAAAGCGACATTGCTGTTACCTTTTTGGCTTTGAACTTAATACGATCGTTTTGTCGTGTCTTAACAATGGACTTCTTGTTTGTTTTTAATCTCTTTTTAAATTGAATCATTCATTCTCCTTCCTTTTTCCCCCACCCAAACCCCACCTAATTATGTAGGACAAGTTTATTTTTGGTTTAATACTGAATGTATGTTTCACACAGATGATGGTTGTAAAAGCCTTGGCCCAAAACCAACATTTATTTCTCTGCTAGATTGGTAATAAAAGCAAAATGTTCAGAATAAACCAAGTTAGAAGCAAGCATTGCCAAGGAGAATGATTTGGTGGAAACATGTTTAAATGTTTTGTGTATCTTACAACTACTTTTGTAGAGGTAGAAATTTATTTATTGAGTTTTTTATTAAGTTTTGAGTTTCATTTAAAATGTGCCAATTGTTATATTTTACCCAGTGGACCTCTTTTCATTTCTATCGTTTTTTTCTTCAACTATAGGAAGTCTTTGTTGAAATTCACATTTTTGATTTCCAGGGCAGCCACTTCCACCACGTACATTAATGGAAGTGGGCACAATGGCAGTGTGTTACAGTGCAGCATGGGACGCTCGTGTAATAACAAGTGCTTGGTGGGTCTACCATCATCAGGTAACCAACTGTTACAGCTTTCTCCAGTACTAGATCACAACCAATACTGGCAGGAGGTATTTCTTTCCCATCAGTCATTAATGATTGGATTGGGTTACCAGGGGGTTAGTTGAGTTCAGGATACTGAACTCGTTCAAGAAACAGCTTAATGTTGCTGTGACTGGGAGGATGGTAGGGTTGCTATTCTGGAAGAATGAGATCAAAAGGGCCAAAGGGCTTTCTTCATCCAAACTGATCTTGTAATCTTCTGCCTGTACGGTAAAATTCAGATTATAAAGCTTGTGTCTCTGGCCCATTGGGTGACTGGTGGCATCACACACACAACTGTATCTCTGGTTTGTATTGAGAAGCAGAATATATGTGTCCTTTGTATCTGCCATCAGGTATCAAAAACTGCACCTACAGGGGAATATCTGACAACAGGAAGTTTTATGATCAGAGGTGAGAAAACTTGATACATGGACCATTGTGATACCTGAATTGTTAGTTTGATTTCTGATAGAAATCCACATTTGCTCACTTAATATGGCATTTGTCATACTCACTAATCAAATTTGGTCAGTGTCTCGCTATTAAAGCAGATCTTACCATCACAGCTGAAGCCATAGGCCATGTAATCTGCAAATCTAAACCGAGGACTGGATAAGAGAGTGCTTCCTATCCAGCTATTCATCTCCTTCCCAGATAGCCACGTCACAAGAATAATGCAAATATTTGGGTTGAGTTAAAGTAACTGTCTTGCAGTCACAGTAAATAGATCTTAACATGTGCATAATATTTTACCCTGAACCAGATATAATGTAAAACATTGTATTTTTTCATTATTGAAGTTTTCTTGATCAGAGGATTCCTAATTAACAGCTTAACTAACAGTCAGGTGATAATTTAGTAATCATATTGTGATTTAATATTTCCAGGTAAAAAGAACTATCTCCCACCTTCCTATCTTATGATGGGATTCGGCTTCTTGTTTAAGGTAATATATTCACATATGGCCTGGGAATTTTGAATGAAATGGGACAGTAAAGTAGTTAACCCCCCAATGTAGAGAATTCTTCCATCAATCTGAGCTATGTTTGAGGAAGCACATTGGTCTTTTCAAACTAGATTTGATGCGTTAATGGTGAATACTGAAACCACCTAATTTGTGATCTTTGCGAAATCATTAATTGTAACTTCTAAAACTGTCAATATGCAAGAAGAGAGTAAATCACCAGCTTCACAGGTGATTATTGTCAGATCATTGCATTTTTTTATAGGAAAATGCCTGAGGTATTTGTACCAGCTTGAGCCCACAAACAGCTAACCTACTGTGACATCCAGTGCCTGTTGTTATAGTCTCATTAACCATCCTGATGGGATTGAAGGGTGGTTTTGGATCAAAGTTATTCTGAACTAATCTACAGGTTGTTTGATGGTGAATATCTAGTGCTTTATTTTTCTGTCTCGGGTAGGATTTAAAGCTGCTACTGTTTGCTTATAATCAGGTCGACGAGGAATGTGTTTGGCGACACAGGGGTGAACGGAAGGTGAAAGTGCAGGATGAAGATATGGAGTCAGTGACCAGTACCACGACTGAACTATTTTCTGAAGAAACTATACCTTTAGGTAATGCACAAATGTTTTAGAATACCGATTCTGAAGTATTCTAACAGAGCATGATTCTGCTACCTCAAACACACTCCTGAGGTTAGGTGAACAGCTAACACATGCCAGTGGAAGTGTCCCAATAATTTGTGAAGGTCGCATGATGTGGTTTTGTGCCAATTCTTTTGAGAAAGATTTCCCTGATGCTTTTTCTCAAAGACGGTGACTTTTCCCCTCCGCTCGCCCATCTCTGCTGATAAAAATTGACTCCTTTCTCCCCCCCCCCTCTTCTGTCAGTGTTTAATTCCATGCTAGTGAACTCATGATATCATGCAGCAATGCTTCACATTCATCTGTAATGAATGGAAGGTTCAGTTTCAGTGCTCTAGGTGTTGAATTTTGCAGTTAGTCTGGATTGTGGATAACTAAATGAATACACTGTTTATATATGCATAAAGCTTTTTTCTAATATTAAGCCGAATCAGATAATGAGAGCAGTAGTGACGAGGACAAAGAACTCGGTACGAAGACTGAAAGTGAGCAGTGTGAGGAAATCTCAGCACAAGCAGAAGACCAACAGGAACACTCAGAAGCTGAATCAGAGGAAAAAGAAGAGGGTGATTTAGAGAATGACGTGAACGACCCTGAAGAGTCCCAGATATCGGAGACTGAGGAAAACGACGCAGAAGAATCGAGGGATGAATTCAACTATCCTGATACAACTATTGATCTGTCCCATCTTCAAGCCAAGAGGTAACTTTTTTAGATCGTTTTTAATGTTACAGTGGTAAACAGCAGCTGTTAGTTAGCAGCAGAAATCACTCTACTTCCTTCCAATTGCACCTTAAAATGGTGGCTGTAATGAAGTGTTTGACTGACTGCTGTGTCTATTAATGGATAACTGTGCTGTGCAGAAAAGTCTGACCGCACCTGGCTTTGTATTCTCTGCTTGTAAGCAGGAAAATGCCAACCTCACTTGGAAGTCAACAGTTTATCAATTTACAGAAAGCTTTCTTTGAAGTAAATAAGGGACCTGATTATTTTTTACATTTCTTTTATCAACAGGCCTATGCAGATGCACATCAAAGTGCCCGATGAACTGATTGAACAAGTAAGGGTAAAATTGATTTTAGGTTAGAATTGAGGTGATAGATGGAAGCAACCTATTGTTTTGAAATCCAGTTAGATTGGGTTTTGTTGATGTCGTGAACTCAAATATTTCACCTCTGTTATCTGGCTAAAAAAACCCTCCCAAGTCTGCTAATTTTAAGAATCTTACTTACGTTAGTCAAATATGAATGTTTCTCAGGCCAATTTTTTCAAACTTTTTCTTTTATTCTGATTATTGCAACGACTCACTGTCCTTAACTGAACCTCTGATCCATTTATTCATCTTCTAGTGTCTCAGTGCTAATATGTTTTGATTGTTTTTTGCAGTAAAGGATAGGAATTGTGTATTTGACTGTTGCAGTAAGGGATATGAAACTTAACAATGTGCCTGTGCTTCCAGGTTGATGGAAAATCACAAAGCAGAAAACATCTATCAACCAAAGAAAGAAAGTGAGTCTGATTCTGAATGATGTAAAATATTCCAAACTTATTTTTAAGAGAGATAGTTATTTGTACATTTTATATTTTTATATTGTAACATAATATTGCGCACACAAAATGCACAGTCAATTGAAAAATTCAACTAAGTATTCAATAATTTTAATGGGCAATGGATAGCCTATTAAAATAACTACATTATACTAATTAGTTTTGGGATCTGGATGGTTTTCTATCGTGGAGAAATTCCTTTTGTATTTCAGAGAAATGAAGAAAAAGAAGAAACCTGAAACCGATTACTGTGAATTCACAGACCAATCTAAAGACAGGAAAACAGCATCTGTAGGAGACGAGGATGCTACATTACCTGGGTCGATCCAGCAGCCTTTGAAAAGGGGACAGAAGGTAATGAGTGGGAACAGTCTTTGTTTCAATAGTAGTTTCTCTAACAAAATACTGTATAAACCACATTGGTATTTTGTGTTATTCAGGCTAAATTGAAGAAGATTAAAGAAAAATACAAAGATCAAGATGAGGAAGATCGTGAACTAATGATGAAATTACTAGGGGTAAAGAGAAATTGTTATTTTATCAAAAAAAAACCTTTGTTTTTAAAGATGCTGAATCAATTGGAGAGTAATTTTCTTAATTTAAATCCAGGCAGCAGGTTCAAGTAAAGAAGCTAAGGGGAAGAAAGGAAAAAAGGGAAAAACAAAAGAAGATTGTTTGAAAAAAATCCACCAGAAAGGAAAGATTGCGCTAAAAGGAGCCAATGTTAAGCTGAAAGGACAGGCGGTGTATGTAGTAACACATCTTGAGGCAGATGGTGCTCTCGAGGCTACAGCAACTGCAGAAGACCAGGAAGTAAGATATTGTCCTTTACAGCGTTGAAATGTTCCAAGTCAGCGTCTCTGACAAATCATTCTGTCATTATTTATGTTGTCATTGTGTATTTTTACCGTTTAGGATCAAGAGGAACATGAGCAAGACCAGCAAGCAGTTGAGGTAAATTATTATTATGTTAACTTTAATCTGTATTTTTTTTCCTGTTTGTCTGCAATATTTGGGAATATGTCATGTAGCAAGAAATTGCAAAGTCTCAATGAAGAGAGAAATGTTCTTGATTGTTTGTGAAGATATATGCATAGCGGTTCTATAGGTGGAACAAATTGGGAATGAAAATTGTTGCCTACTAGTACAAGGTGATTTGAATGTACATTCAGCCAGTCTGACCCACTCTCTGGAATTCCAGCCCAGAATCCCTCTCACTCCCTCCCCTCGTTCAAAGCATGTCTCAAAATGTACTTTAACCGCACTTCAGTTACCTTCCCCCTCCCCAACCCATCTCCGCTCGGCTCACACAACCCCAACTTGAGTGCCCAGCAAGTATTGTCACGAGCTTCAGGACATACTCCTGACTTAAAAGGCACTTTATAAATTGTACTTTATTTTAAAAAGACTGTTTAAGGATAAAATGTTAATGAAAGGATTGAATTTTGTATGTATGTTCTTTGTACATAGGAGGGTCAAAATTTACTGAACTCATTGACTGGACAACCTCACCTGGAGGATGTGTTGCTCTTTGCTGTACCACTCTGTGCACCATACACTGCCATGACTAACTACAAGTAAGTGATTAGAAACAAAGCAAATAGATTTTTTATGCTGATTCAGAGGAATGTTCAGCACCTGACCATCAACAGGACAAATCAAAATTACCAGCATGGAGGATGGCAGAGTATGTATTTCCTCGGCAAACGTGAACTTTAAGCGAAACCTCCAGGACTCTTGCTAGGAGTTAACTTTTTGGCTAAGGAGAGAGGGCACATTTCAGCCCTCCTGGGTAGATCCTCTCAAGGAAAGCAGTATTAAACAAAGAACTGAGATCCATTGTGTAGAACATAAAATTTACAAAGTAAAATTGCTCACAAAATGGCAGCACTCAAGACTCTTGAGCATAACAAACCATTTACCTGCCTGGATGGGGTGAGGCACCACCTACTGGTTGGTGTGCCTTAATTTAAGGAATGCTTTTAGGAGTGCCTCAAATTTTACCCCTGTATCTTTTATTTTAAGAGAATATTCATATGGGTTTGAAATTAGCTGAGACATTTTAACATTTTAAGACACGATTTTCATCTGCTGTTTCATATTAGGTACAAGGTGAAGCTTACCCCTGGCACACAGAAGAAAGGGAAAGGTTTGGGAAATTCTCTTGGTATAATATCTTTTGCACAATTTTAAAAAAAAAATTTCCCCCTGAAATAGCTTTGATTTTGTATTTCAGCCGCTAAAACTGCCCTGCACAGCTTCATGCATTCCAAGGATTCTACATCACGGGAAAAAGATCTATTCCGCAGTGTAAAGGTAACCATTTCTATGATGACATTTTTCATATTTTATACTGTTAAGGTAACCGTTTCTATAATGTTATTTTTGTTAAGTTCATTGTTTAGCAAAGTTTGATTTTCTAAACCAAAATGAAGTTGCTCAGCTTGAATACTTGACTGTATGTATTTATACTACAATCTATTGAGTATATAGTTTTAAAACTGAATATTTAACTTCCTAAAAATCAACCAAACACTGTATCTTACATGTTGTAGGTCAATGATGTGTTCTCATTACCAATGATGCAACTATTTAGGATCTTACAGAAATAATGTTTTGTTGCCTTTCTGACAAAAGCATTTCTATTGTAATGAAAGCAAGTCTTTTTCCCTCCTTTAGGACACTGACTTGTCGAGAAATATACCTGGCAAAGTGAAGGTTTCAGCACCTAACTTATTGGCATTAAAACGGAAATAACCACAGAGGATTGATGCTTTCTCTGGGACTGTATGTATGGAGTATTTAATGATGAGTGCAGAAGAGCTGATTTGTTGGGAATTCTTTAATAATAATCAGAATTAAGCATGCATTCTTGTTCTTTGCTTTATAATAATACATAAATCTTACGTTTATCAATCAAAGACAGTATTCACAGGAACTCACTCTTCCAGGCTTTTACTGGTGAATTACCAAAGTATTTGACCATGCTGCCAAAATCCCACACATTCAAATAATTTTTGTTCCTTTAATGTTCCTTTTTTGTTGAAATAAAATGATATTCTTTGTACTGCTACAGTTAATGGCTAAAACTGTTAGAAAAACTACTTTTGAAAAGAGTAATTAATGAAACTGAAACATTAAATTTTTATCGCAATTATTTATAGTATCACATGGTGTCCTACAGCTGCCATATTGTCTTTACTCCTCTGTTGGTATTTTTTAAAAAAAGCTTCCCCTGATGTCAGAGGTTTTTGAAATATATTTCTGGAGGTGCCATTTGTCACTTCCTCAGTGCAGCACTAGGTAGGAAACACTGTACACTTAAAATACTAACCCTGAACACACACCAGTCCTCCTGAAGGAACGAGCACCTTGTATTATTTTCACAACATTTCATTCACTAACCAGACTGATTTTCTTTTGCTTTACATTTATTGGAAACCATCAAATATTCTAAGATTTATGTACATACATCCACATAACATCACGTTCCAAAGGAAAAAAGTATTCTACCAAAAATAAATTGTAACAACCTGCAAAAATGCAGATACCTATGTACAAAATAAAATCAAGTCATGCTTATCTGCTCCTTAAGCCACCAGTTTGCGACAACTACACAGTTTCTGACCAGCTACAACTAAGAGTAGCTAAATCATGCTCTAGGACTCTATTATTGTAAGTATAAGTGAATTAGCATAACTCATGATCCAGATGTGTTGCTGCTTCCAGCTCGTTGATTGACACTCAAAAGCAAATGTTTTGGAAGACAGTCCCACACGTTAGCTAACATTTCTTTGAAGTGGATCACTGCCTCCAGGCAAAGTCTGAGGGAAAAAAAGAGTGCAAAAAATACATGCTGAAGCTACAATTGAAAGAGAAATAATTGATAATCACAACATACAAGATCATTAGGGCAACTGAAGCTAAATGAGAGTGAGCCAACAACTACCAAGCATGTGCTAGGTTTAGAGAAAAGGAAGGAAAGCACAGACGGGCTGTGTTCTTTTAGTACCAAACATTAAAATGTCATGACCTTTTTTTGTATGCTCAAATAACTATCCTTTTGATAGTTCTTTGATTCTATCAAGGAGAAAAAAAAACTATCCCATTCTAAGCTCGTGTTCCACATCACCAGCCTATTCAGCAAACCATTGCCTTCAGCTTTAAACTTTAACATGCGATCAGATCAGGCACTTTGTGGGATGTAAATCCTATTGCAATCAACAATTCCCAGTTAAGTATAAGGTCAGGTTTAGACAGAACCCTCTACACTACCCTACAATGTGTGGCAAACTCTTTCTGAGAAATACCACTTAACTGCATCTCTGTGACATATCTGTTCCCCACACTAGGCATGACCTCTTTAAAGAAAACTGCCAATTAAATAATGTACAAGAGTGTTTTTCTCATTTACATTGAGCGGAGACTTCCCCTACATTTCATTTAGAAAGCAGTAATCTCTGAGAGAAGACTCATGATTTAGGGTGGATTGGAATCCAGGTCTCTGGAATAAAGTTCAATGTTTCATTATGCCACTGTTTGGTTCTGGCAGTGAGGAGTAATATGCTTAACAGTAATTTTTAAGATTTTAAGAGCAATAATGTATGCCCAGAATCATGCCTTTACCTCACAAGCGACTTTGGTTGAACTGAAAAAATAAGGATGTCGTTGCTGTGAGCCTGCAGAAAAACACAATCGTATTTTAGAAATCAGAAATACTTCACAATGACTTAAAAGTAGCACAGGTTGATTGATATGTTGGTTATTATATTTTATAAGTGTTGTTCCAAGTTGAATAGAAGTTCAAATTCAAATCTTAACAAGGGAGATGAGTCACACCAACAAATAGAATTAAAATTGGGTGTTTGCTCCAATGCCACACATCATTAAATTTCAACATTCTCTTGCTTTATAGATAAATGTATATAACACAAAATATAAAGAACATTTGTTCTAAATCCATGATGCTGAATATAGTTTATAAAGAACTTACAGCTTGGTGATGAGCCAATAGATTGTTAGCACAACCACCGAACACAACCACTTCCCCCTCATCACTGGTGCAAGCAGAATGCCAGAGCCTGATAATAAATAACAAGTATTAGCACAGAAAACTGCATAGAAAATGTGTTAACACAATGTTGGAATAGATATGTTCTTTCTCATTCTTTCAAAGGAGTTCAGGTTCCACTTCCAATTACATATAAACACTTAGTTGTGTGGACAAGGATAATCATGTTGCTTCAGTCTGAGAAATGTACAGCAGAAGGGCAGTTTAGTGAACTCCCCAGGGCTGATGTGAGGCTGAAATTTTATTGAAAACAATAATAAGCTTTTCTCTTTATGTATAGACTGATGTAATAACTGATGATAGCAGGACAAGAGAAACAAGGTCCATATGTGATTTTCCTCTTATCCCCACCCCACTACTGACAACCAATCCTAACTGCATGTACAACAACAACAACAAGATTACATTTGTATAGTGCCTTTCACGTCGGGAGGATGTCCCAAGGTGCTGGACAGTGTACAGCATTTCATGTAGAGCATGTAGAGGCTGAATCTCAAAAGCAAAATAATAATAATACTTGCATTTGATATAGCGCCTTATCACATCTTTGAGATGTTTCAGAGCACTTCACAGGTTAAAATCATCTGTAGTAGTGCTGCTTACCTTGGTCTATCAGCATAACTGTGATCTACTCTTAGCCATTCATTTCTGCTCACACTGTAAATCCAGGCATCACCTGTAACATAAAATTACATGATTATTGTGTTGTATACAGGAACTTATCCAGAGAAAGTGGGGTAAAGTATTCATTAGATATGAGGGCGCATTATACAAAAATAGAATTTTAATGACGATCATTAAAATTGCTATGGATAATCTTAAGTTTTATTTATTGGAAATTCAATTCCTGCAAAACAGTTCAAAGAGGAGCAATTTATTAAAAAAAATTGTACAGTTAACAATTGCTGCAAGGAAATAACAGACAAAAAGCAACCATCACCACAATACCACACATCTACTTCACTATGTTTCTCCAAATCCTACACATTGCTGATATTAACCTCTTTCGACATTAAATGAAAAGGGTGGAACATACTTAACGGGTGCTTGTCAGTGGTGAAACCTCCAAACAGGAAAAGATGGTCGGTTGAGACCGGAGTGAGTGAGTGCCAAGAGCGGCCAGTAGGAATTTGATCGGGTGATTGTGCCCTAGCAAATAAAACAGTGATGATATGAATGAGATATTCTGTATACCAGTGTGTTGATTTAATAAACACTTAAAAAGCGATACCTGCAATACTGTATCCACCAAACTGCAAAAGACAGATAACTGAATAAACATACTGAGTCAGTGGGTGGCACCTAGCATGAGTCAATGATTTCAGGAGGAGGGGAAGAAAAATAAAACAAATCAAAATTAACTCTAGCCTCACCCTCTAAAAAATGACAATAGACCTGCAGTGGCAGAGACTTAGGATCTGGTCGTCCTCCCAGCCAGGAAATAGTACATACACTGGAGGAGTTTAGAAAGGAACAAAACACTAAAAAATATATAACATCCTTAAGACCAAATCTAATGCATCTGAATAAAGTATAGCTTTATAACTTAGCTTACATGACATAATTATGTAAAATAAATAACAGAAAAATTGTAACCTACACTTCATTCCATTCCCACGTGTCCAGATCAAGGAAATAGAGATCATTTGTCCGGGCATCCTAATTGTGGAATGGAGCAAGCACAAGAAGAAATAAGTGAAACGCAAAATACTGCAGATGCTGGAAATCTGCAAAATAAGAAATAAGTGAACCTGGTTTGTGACAGACATCTGTCTGAGTCATTTAATATTCTTATGGATCTGGGGTGAAAAATTGTGGCATTCCTAAATACTGTACATTCTGTTTGTTATTTAAGGAATGAGGGTAAAATATGTCTTGAAATACTCAACTTATGTATAATACCAGCCTCCAAACTAAGCTCAAAAATGCTTATTGTCAACCTCTTGGTTCATGCTCTGCGAAGCCACTGAGTTAGTTTTAAACTCTAAAGAGAGGTCTCCCAGGGTCCATTTCAGAGGACGTCAATCTGATTTAAGTTATCCTATATATAAAGCATCTTTGAGTAGCGCAATACAAAATGCAGCACTTCAATGGCCCTCCTCTACTTTTTAATTACAAATATCACATAACTGTAGTGAAATTACCTATTATTTGTGGCAGTAAACCGAACACATACCTGATACCTTCCTCCAAACACATAGCCTCGGTTTCCAATTGTAGCACAAGCATGAGCTGCCCTAGGTGTAGGGGGCTTTCCCTGTTGAACAGAGTAATATTCAATTTAAAACCTCACAATAGTAAAACCTTAGGTCTCCGAACCAAATGTTTCTTACAATAATGATTTAATGCCAAAAACATTAGAAAAACAACCGTATTAATGGAGTGTACCGCAACTTTGGCAACTTATTCTCATTCTGCAGAATTGAAACGGTAACCAAGGGTACCTTTGTAATGGGCTGGTTCCATGTGAAGGTTTCCAGATCAATGAAATGGACATGATTGTTCCAGCCTCTTGGGTGACTAGCGTTCTGGAAAGAATTAATTACATTGGTAAGTTAATGCTTACTCATTACTCTCTGCAGCAATTCTCCATTACGGGAAATGATCACAAGGCAATAAATTGATTTCGTACCCAAAATGACGACTCATCAAATTCAAAGGTCCCATGATATTGTCCTCGAGGTGCGTATCCATATCCACCAAAGAAAATCAGCCTGGCGTACAAAGAAACTACAAGTGTGAGCAATACTACTTTAAATAATCATATTTTGGTGGTTGGGGGGGTGGGGTGGAGGTAGAGAAAGAAATTTCAACAACTAACTGGTGCTAGCATTGGGTTAGAAATAGTAACAGTTTATAGTGATTAAGGTACCACCATCTACATGAAAATTCTATTGAAATTACAGACCAAAATAATTAACTACTGTACAATCCAACATCCATGTCCATGTTAAAATCAGATTTGTAAAATGGCTGATGAGATTTTCTGAGAAAATATGTGATTGCGTTTGAAAATCGTGGCAAACCGTTATTTGGCAGCGAGCTCACAAAAATGACACCACACTATGACATTACTTATTGAGTGACATATGAAAAGTAGTGTTAGTTTTGTATAGAAAATGTTTCTGCATTAATAATACTTGCATTTGATATGCACATTCACAAGTGTATGTAAAAAAAAATTCAGTGTTTACATCCTTTTCTTGACATGCCCATACATGGGTGTATACAGAAAAAGCAGGATAGGATAAAGGAACATCTGGTCTGATCATATTAGAGCATTAACACAACACCCACATCACCAAAGCAACGTTTGACTATACTTTAGAAATGCCTTCGTTTTCAGTCTATAAAGTTTTTGAGCAAGGCTGTACAGGATGAACATCTGTACCATTATCCAGAAGCACTAACTCACCATCAATACTTTGTTAAACAACACAGTGCTAGAGGGAATTGTGTACATACTTGTTGTTGTACACCCAGTAGCCAAGCTTGTCCTTGGGTGTTGGTGGTACACCCCTGAACTCTTTAATTTTCTCCCAACATAATATTTTGTCTTTGGGTCTTAGGTTTAACATGTAGAACTGCAGAGAGATGAAAGAGAAATTTCACGCTCTATTGCAGAATCAAAAAGTGCTTTGCAGTTTTTCTGTAAAACTGATTCTAATATCAACAAAAACAGAAACATCAGAATCCAGCCACTAAAATTCCAAATTGTACAAAAACATTACCTTGGCTAAATATTTAACTGCAAACAACTAATTCTCTACAACTAACACTCAATATTCCAGTTGTTAATATTTATGCATGGTTATGACTGGAAAGTGTAGCACATTCTAAAATCACATATGAAATTTGTAATGGTACATTAACGGTTGTTACTATTTAATTGTATATTACTGTTGTTAATCCAGCAACCATTTTTTACATTCTGTCCATAACATGCAGGGTGATTGTCAAAAAGTGCTAATTTAAGGGGGAAAGAGGGAGAAAGGAAAAGATTGTTAAAGAATGTAAACAAATCCAAAATTGCTAACCTCATTGGTGTTCCCTCGTGCATGATGTCCTCCAAACAAATAAAGTACTCCATCTACAGAAGCTGCACAACTCCCTGACATGGACTGAGGTATGTCACCCTCTGTGTATTTCTTCTTCCTGTAAGAAGATAATCATCTGCAGTGAATCAATCAGCTCATTGGATTTTTTTATAAAATGGGAGTCCATTAAATCTTGGGTATCCTCCAAGTAAAGGTCATGTACCTTCTTCAAACACCATCTCCTTGAAAGTTTTCCTAAGCAATGCATCCATGTGGCAAAGAGGATTGGGATAGATGGCTTGGTTTCAGTCCACAATAATCCAATGGAATAGCCTATTTAATTTTCTTTCTCTCAATTTTCCTTCTACATGTTCCTCATTCGCTTATAAAATGTTAATCTTAACAAGTAGTCCAATGTCCAAGTAGTACAATATAGCAGCAGGAATCTCGAGGTTTTTTAAAAAAATGACAACATATATACTTATCAGAGATCAAAATCATTTACACTATCATTGTTTTTAGTTGATTTAAATAGTGTGAAAAATGTGCTCCCTTTAGATCAAAGTTTCCAAATAATGCTTTCAATTTCCCTCTTTAATTGTCAGATGCAGAAAAAAAAGGATTTATTTAATATCTCAAATAAATCTGAAATAGTTTGTGTAAAATAAAGAGATTACTCATACCATCGCCCAGTTTCCATGTTATAAATCCAAAGCTCCTCTCTTGGCAAGTAGAAATCGTGGTAGCCTCGAACTGCAGCATTCTGCAAAGGAACAGCACAAGAGAATATGAGAAAAATATAACCAAATGTTGATTTATCTTTATGCTTTAATATTCTTAAGAGCCTGTGGTTAGAGGATGCTAGTTGTTAAAAATATTCTAAGTATATTTTTTAAAATGGCCTTAGTAGATTTAGCTAAGATACCAACAGCAAACAACATTTCAGTCAATACCATTTTATGCACCTGTACTAAGCTATTCACTGTTATATGCCAAATTTCCTTAGGTACATGATTGGGCAACCACATCAATTTTAATGTCTCCATTCAGTATGTGCCTTCAATCAGAAATCATGTGTTTTCTTAAGAGGATCTGAGTCAAATTGAAGCCAATATAAGATGTTTTATTGCATGTAGGGGTGAAGAAATGCAAATAGCATACAATATTAAATAATGATCAATGTTTTTGAGGATCAGCTTGTGTGGCAAGTATTATCTTACCTTATAACCACCCAAGACATACATGTAGTTTCCATGTGCTACAGCTACATGACCACTTCGTTCCTCTGGTACAGAGTCATGAAAAGATGAAGATGTCACTCTGTGAGGGAGAAAATCATTCTCTTCTTCCTCCTCCTCCTCCTCCTCTGCTTGCAGGTCCTCATTCATGTCTTCATTTCCATCTGCCATGTTTCACAATTTCTAAAATAAAAAACATCAACAATAATGCACGCGCCTGTATAGATTGCAGAGTGGGAGCTTTACGGTGATTTCAATTGAGTTTTTAATCCATGCTTCACAGCAAATCAAATTGACTGCAACAAGAAAAAATATTGTAGATTTAGTGGAATGAAAGTGCTGCAATATGAACCAGGTTTTAAAGAAAAACAAGATTAAAGAAATTGAAAACACGCAATGTTCTATTGGAAAGTCAGAAGATTTAGTGGTACACTAGTGCCTTTTTTACAGTGAGAATGGCAGAAAATATCTATAAAAACAAAAATTTTGCAATGCACAAACAAACCCATTGTAATTTGTGATCAGATCGATCAGCATGTCAAACTTACATGTAAACTTTGATTTTCATAAACTAGTATCTCCTCATAATGTGTTCTCGGAACAATGTAGTTAAATAAATATTCCACAATAATGGGTAAATTTGGGTAACGTTTTCAAAGCAAAACCCCAGCCTAGGAAGTGTAATATACCACGACAAATATTTCTTGATGAGCATAAAATTGGATTGGACCTCCTGTACATTTGAGAGTTCTGTTATGGAAAATGTGTGTATATTGTTAAAGAGAAGATGAAGATAAATATCAATCAACAGAAAATGGGTTTAATAGGTTTAAATGAAAAATAATTTCACGGATAAACCGAAGCACAATCAATCTGAGATTTTGTTTATACAGTTCAGTGCCTCGATCGCAGCTTTGGTATTCAAAACTGTGATGTACAATTTAATACTGGGGCCAATAAACACTACTCGCTTAAGACGAGAGCATCTCCTTTTACCCTGAAGTGAAAACAGAACTGCTGTGTTTGTACTAACATTGGCAGAATGATATGGGATAATTAATTCAGTGCTGATCTGACTGCTCACACTGTAGTCCTTGTGAACCCCTATCACAAAACATAGCTGCGGTGGGTTTAGGTCGGACAACAATTCACTGGACAGATATTTATATCATCAACCAGTGGCTTTATGTTAGCAGATGTTACTACACCTATGCTTTGATCTCCAATTAGCAAAACCATTTGATATCTGAAATCACGGGCTTTTCTGCTCTGCGGTCAGTCGTGTAGTTGGAAATATTTGTGCAACCGAAATAACTAACTAAACGTACTGTGTTCTACGGGTCCTCTCGAGCGAAAATTATTATTTTTTTAAAAAAAAACGAGAGCAAAGCAATCCACGTTTCGGATTTTTTGGGAACCAACATAAATTCCCCCAAAACGATGGATAAAACCACTTTTAAGATTCTTCCCCCCTCACCCCCACACACACCCCCCCCACCGCCCCCCAAAAAAATACAAGACGACAACAGGCCACGAAGCCGGCGGGACAACCGGTTGCGAATCACACACAACTTTTAAAGCCAACAGCTTCGGACCGGCCAAATTATTTGCCCGTCCGTCCGTCCGTCCGTCTCGCCCGCAACATACAGTCCGGTCACTTTACAGCGTATCCTGGGAAGCGCTTTGAGACGTCTCACTGACAAAGGCGCTGCCTCAAAGGCAAAGGATGGTTATTGTTTATTTCAACACCGACAGCTCTCAGAGCCGTGGACTGGAGCCTGAGATGGAGGCGTTGTTGGGGGTGGAGGGGGGGAGGGGTAGAAAAAGCCCCCGATGTGTGGGGTCGAGACACAAAACAAACTGCCCCCCTCCCTCCCTCCCACTCGGGGCAGGTGCTGGTGGTGGTGGGGGGGGAGCGCCGCTCTCACAGCCCCTCCTGAAGGCCGCCCCTCACCTCTCTGCGGCCGCTGCGCATCTCCAGCTCCGCGCTCACCGCCTCCAAACATCCGGTCCCACAGCCTTATCCTTCCCACTTCCGCTCGGCCCAGGACAATCCGTCCGGAGAGCGAGCGGCGGACTGAACGGTCCCTGTGTCGCTGGGGCCATCTGGTCAGCCTTACTGGTGGGGGTTGTGGGGGTTGTGTGGGGGGGAGACAGGTCAGCACTGTGGGCCACAGTCACACAGTTTGCATCGGCAGCAAAATGGGTTATTGAACTTCTATTCCAAACGGATTACATTTTTTTTGTGCAAAAAAACCCAACCCCCCCCAGAGGGAAATATGAGCGACCCTGAAGCCCTCAACATCACTGGTCCGGGAGCGTTTCTTGGCATTAATTATTTTTAAGAAGTTAATTTCACCCACAAAATACTCGGTCGCTACACTTTAGTGTATCCTGTGAAGCGCTATAAGTCGTCTCGAAGACGCGATAAGGCGACTTCGAGACGACTTACGACTCAATATTATTATTGAGGAAGTGTTCATTTCTTACAAAACAATACAAAATTACATTTGTACAGCGCCTTTCACGTCAGGAGAATGTCCCAAAGCGCTGGACAGTCAGGGATTTGGATTCGAGCTGTGGTAGCGATCAGGGAGGGTGGAGGGCAGCTGAAGGCTCAGTCGAGAGGAGGGTTTTGAGACTCACCTTGAAGGAGGCAAAGGAACAAGGTGAAGGGAAATGTGGGATGTCTGGCACTTTAATCACATGTGAAATAATAAACAGACCAGTAAATATTGGTATAATTATTTATTTTTAAACATTTTATAAAACTTGAATTACAGCAGATTAAGGATTTATACCACCATCACATTATACACAAGATAGGGCCATCCATAATTATCAATTTTTTTTACAGTGTGGCTACACCATGTGTAAACCTGTTTATTTATAGAAACCATCATTTATGCAAGGGACAAAACACGGATGTGAAAGAATTATATATGGCCTTTTATTACATTCAAGGTTATAAAAGCAAGTGAAGAAAGTGTCCATACAAAATATTTTTGTGATAGGTACATGTTCAAATGTTAAACAAACAGTAACTTGAAAGGTAAGCACTTCTAGAATATATTCAGAATCCATGAAAAATTTTAATTGGGAAATCTAACGCATTAAAAACCAAAACATCAAAATATACTCAATAAGTACTTGTAAAAGGGTTAATTCTGCCAAACCAGAAGCATCACCTGGACCAAACTTTCCCATTGCCCCTAATTATTAAGACAACTCTACCTGTTGCACGATTTTTCAGATTTACTTGCAAGTGGTTGTTTACTACCAGTCCTCAGCTTTTAATTAGTTTCACTTAACTTTTATTTTGTCAAGAAGATTCTCTCTAATAGCCCACACTCGTCAGCTAGACTTTCCTAGAATACCAAAACCATGTTGATCACACAATTCCATGATTTTTCCACTTCCTATGGTGTTTTCAGTTTCACAACCTGGTCCAATGTTTTTTTGTGCTTCACCTTTTCACAGTTGTGAACGCTATCACACTAGATGACATAGTGCTTCATTGGCCTTGGCTTCTCACTACAAGTCTCATGCACTATTTTAGTTTGTTTGTATCCAATCTGCAAGCCACAAAAATCCACATGTTGAGTTTAGTGTGAAAATGGTATCAAGAAACTACAGGCTGTGGAATGCATTATGTTGTAGGAAATAGGGGATGCATTTTGTGTTTTGGGTAAAGCACACTATACGATATCTACTGAAAAGGGTGCTGCTCAATTTTTTTAAATATCATGTGACTTTTGGCAACAATCAGGATTTTCGGAAATAAATTGATCAGTTACAAATCTTTCAATGTTTTTGACGAAGTGGTAATATATTTTAAATATATATATATAAAACTGTATATATTTCTCAAAAATATGGGAAGACATACTCACAAGGGAAAATATGTCCAAGCACTCAATGGCACAAAAGTAACAATAAAACAGTAAACCTTTGTTAATTTTTAAAAAAACGTTTAGAACTGCATTGGGCACACGTGGGCAAATCACTACGAGAGCATTTGCCAATCATAACAATATTTTGTGAGACATATAAAAAGTATTTAAGTCTGATAATGAATGAACTATTCTTGATTAACATTTCAGGTTAAAAATACAATCGCATTTTTCTTGCTGTCCAGCTGAAACCCAGAAATTTATTTTCTTCTGCACTTGATCCAACAATTCCCGAGGTAAGAATGGAAGCTGACTCTGTAAAACTGTGGCATTTTTGGCAATGGGGTTTAAGCACAACCTAAATATGAGAAAACATCCGTGAGCAACTGCATTTTGAGTGCTCAATTTTCAGAAATCAGTACAGTATCGTTGAAATCAGAAACTCACAGTATGGAGTTGTACGGTTGTGTTTATGGCACAATAAGCTGCAGCTACAGATATAGATGTACAATTTCTAATTTCAGTCAGATGTTTGACCAACAAGAAATTACTAGTTTCAGTCACCTCAACCCCAACAGGAAAACTGGTATCAATGTAACTGAAGAGCTTCCTTGAAACAATCAGGATAATAGTTTCAATTTTTAAAAAAATACCAAAAACAATGTGAACATAGTTAATATTGAAAGAAAACTAACTGTTCATATTACTTAATATGTAATGATTTATAACAGTTAAATAATTAGGAACATTCAAGCAGAAATTAAGACAGTATTCTTACTACAGTAGATACATAAAATTTACCTGAGGAGTGAATAGGGTTGAGTTTGAAAGATCAGCACATCATTACAGTGACCCTAGTTGAAGAAGAAAATTATTAAGAAGATTTAACACATTTAGAGTCATGCCTTCTCCATCCGAAATAAGGTTTAAAAAACTTTCAAAATCGTTTTTCAATTAAGTTTATGCAACAATATAAATCATACAATTTAAACATCATTAATAATTGTTAGTTTGTTTTGAAATGTCTTCTTGTCCATGGTCAAGCTAAGTGATGCTTCAGTTTATTAAACCGAATCTCTAGTGAGAACCATTTTGTGGGCTTACTGAAATTGAAATAACTGGAATGGATTATTGAGATACAATTGTACATGAAGACCTGGTAAATATTTATTGGACAAATATGGAAACTGTAGAAACTTGTGTTTTGAAGTCAGGCACAAATGAGGTACAAATCATGGCAATACATTTATGCAGTGTTAAGATCAGGTTTGGGATGTCCATTAGGAATTGAGCCGAGCGATTTAAATTTAACATAATAACCATACGGTGAGCACCAACAATAATCTGCATTTATTTGATAATATATAATAATAATCCTTGCATTTGATATAGTACTTTTCACATCTTCTCAACGTCTCAAAGTGCTTCACAGAATATGCTGTAAAGTGAATTGACTGTATATTTGTGGGCGAAACGCGGCAGCCAATTGCGCACAGCAGTGTCCCATAAATAGTTGTGGATTGAAAATGACCAATTCATTATTGTTTTATTTTGGAGGGATTATTATTAGGCGTGTGGAATAAGGAAATTTGCCCAAGGTTTCGCCCTGCCTGGAATTGAACCCAGGTGTCTCGCTTGTAAAGCGAGTGCTCTAACCACTGAGCTACAGGACTCCACGTGCTAAGCGTGCTTGCTTCTCTTGGAGCAGAACGCAAACATTTAATTATACCTTTACTATAATATTTCAAAATTACTAATTTCAAAAATAGGTCCAAACATCACATCTCCTTTTAAAAAGTATTCTGAATTCACTTACAGTATCGTAGGAAAGTAAATCATCCTTGCTTCCACTGAACACCATCACTTCAAACTCCTTTCCTAGACAGGATGTATGCCACAACCTACAGAGGATTTCAACACTAATATAACACACTGTTTTCATCTTAAATTTCATAAGCAATTTCTCATATTTCAGCACAGTATGTGATTCACTCAATTTCCTGTAAAATTTGATTTGCCATTTCATGCAAATTTTAGCGCAATGGTTGAAAATGGAATTTGTTTTCTCTATGCATCCAACCATATTGACAATATTGCAATTTTAGATGGAGTACAAAATAAATTAATGCACTGGATTATTTAATTAACATTTATTGCTGTCTAGACTTCAGCTCATTACGAGAGAGTGATTTGTTGTTTAATTTGTGCTGCTTTTGTATATTAATACATAACCATTTAAATAGGGACAATCATTCTTAAGTGCTTAATTCTTGTGTTCATCAGCATTGTTCAAGAGATTGTGGAAAATCATAAATTACGGAGCCACCTTCCAATAGCAAGGCAATTAAGAAAATAGACCTTGGGTAAAGGGGCCTTACATCTCACTCAGAATCTGTAATAAATATAATCCTAACATTTTAAAAAAATATTAAATGGCTAACTTATCAATGAAAAACTTCTGTCACTTGGAAATGGCAGCACAAAGTAACTGGTATCAACAGCAGGAAATAACACTACCTGGGGGAAGTGGGGATGGGAGGAGAAAAAGAGAGAGAAAGAAAGCTATGGTCTGAAAGTAGTCACGTTGATTCTGTCAAAAGCCCTTAAAAGGAATTGGCATCCCTGCAATTCTAATCTTTGAAACATTTATTTTACACATAGTATGTGAAGAATAAACAAGTGAATCATTACTTAATTTTGTTCTTTATCAGGTATATCTGGATTGCCCAACACTTCTAAATATTCTATACACTTTTTTGTTTAATACAGATTTTAGTATTAGTTTGAACAAACTTTTGAACCTGATAAATTTCACTGTCCCTTGAACTTTTAAGTAAGAGGGTCCTGAAAATAAACTTCAATATGCTTAGCGCATTACTTGGTTCTCATTAGAAACTAAATCTAGTCTGTGAAGATTTCTTTCTGCGATAAGATTTGTAGCTAAATTAACCATATGCAATTAATTTGAGATATTCTGGCAAATTAAAGTAATCTAAGCAACATAAATAATATCTGATATTACATGTATCACTCTTAACTGATCTATGATAAAGCCCCTACCTTTACCTTCACAGTATTACCTGCATTTTGAGAAGCAGTCTACATCTCCCTTGCCCTGCATCTGCCTCTGCTTTCCTCACTTCATTAAAACCTTTGTCTCATGCCTTGCTGTTGGTAAACCTCTGCCTGGTCTGCTTCACCGTGGAACATGGAGTAGACTTTCCTGACTCGAACTTGTTGAAATCCTAGCTTGCAACCTGACGCTTTTTTTGTACACACTGTAACAGTGCTCTATTACAATACAATACAAAATTACATTTGTATAAGCGCCTTTCACGTCGGGAGGACATCCCAAGGCGCTGGACAGTCAGGGATTTGGACCCTTACTACGCTTGGTAGCTGCTAATCTAAAACGGTGCAAAACATCACTGCTATACCTAGTATAAATTATATCACAGATCGTTTCATTTAATTGTTTATTCATATAAAAAAACCTCTCGATGGAAATTTGAAATGACCCAAACCATGATGAAAAACACTAATTTACGCATTACGCATAAACAATAGTAACATGTTAGGGTATAGATTACACAGTGATAATCATGTTTAGAAATTTAAACAATACTCCCACATATAGCATTGATAGAAATTGTTGTGGCAGAGATCAAAAAAGTTGAACCTGCAATAAATACTGTATGCAGTTTGGTAAATGCTACAGAATTGTTGCAATTTTCAAATATTTGTATTTAATGTAAATCTTTAGTCGGAGGAATTAATTTTAGGGATACATCTTCCTTGTGTGCCATTACAAGGCCAATTTGAACTAAGCAAAATAACCTTTGCCTCCATTCATTAAAATTTACAGATTATGCGGTTAGGTTTAATAATGAAAGAGAAAACCAAGAAAACATTTTGCCAATATTACTGGGCAGAGTAAATTAAAAGTCTGTGAATGAACTGTCCTTCAGAAATTGAAGCTTAGTTTTTCCTTCACAATCTTCTGAGTCAAAATTCCTGCAGCATTAAGTCATACAACAGTTTAATTTCTGTAAGCTGTATCTGACTCTCTTGTCCTCCTCGACCTCTCTGATGCACTTCGACACTGTCGACCATTTATCATCCTCCACCGCCTCTCTTTGCAGCTCAACCTTCAAGGACCTGGCCTTGGCTTGTTCAATCCTACCTCTCACATCGTCTCCAGTAACGGCTGCTGCCCTAGCCCCCGTACCATCACATGTTGCGTCCCTCAGAGCTCTGCCTTTGGTCCCTTCCTTTTCAACATTGACTTGCTCCCTCTTGGTGATATCGTCCGTAGACATGGGGTCAACTTCCATGTGTATACGGATGATGCCCAACTCCATCTCTCCGCCTCCACCCTCGACTCCAGGAACACTGCTGTCCTCATAAGACTGCCTGTCGGACATCAAGTCCTGGATGAGAGCAAACTTCCTCCAATTGAATATCAACAAGACCAAGGCCCTCCTGCTTGGCTCCATACCTCGAGCGCTGATAGCATCACCCTTCATGGATGCACTCTACATCTCATGGATCCAATACGGAACCTTGGAATTCTGTTCGACCCTCAACTGTCCTTTATCCCCCACATCCGTGCCATGATCTGCTCCTTCTTTCCCCACCTCCGCAACATTGCCTAACTCTGCCACTGTCTCTCACCACAGGACGCCGAGATCCTCATACACGCATTCATCACATTCAAGCTCAACTAAGCAAATTCTCTGCTTGTCGACTTCTCCACTCCTCCCTCTACAGGCTACAGCAGCAGGAACTCTGCAACCCGTGTCCTCTCCCGCACCAGGAGCCGCGACCCTATCATCCCCATCCTTGCCTGGCTACACTGGCTCCCCATCACTCAGAGGATACAGTTCAAGATCCTAGTCCTCACCTTCCAAGCCCTCCATGGCCTTGCTGCTCCCTATCTCTGTGACATTCTAACCCCCTACCAACCTGACAACCTATTCCCAGCTTTTTACCCAGCTGCTGGGAGGTAATACATCATGTAAGACTTTTTTTTCTAGTCACCCAATAGATCTGCTCAAAATGGTTTTCTAGTATGAAAATGAAAGGAAGAAATATATGTTACCTGCATCTGCTGCCTTTAAAACAGAACACTAGAAATTTAATATATTTCAGGCAATGTTAGTCTATAGATGAACTCTAAAAGGAATGTGAGGACGATCATAGGTAATATCCTTCAATTTTTCTTCCTTCTGGTAACTAACCTCACATCACCAAACTAAAATGGTACAGGCAGAATGGGAACGTACAAGGTGTTCAGTTTTCTCCTTAAAAAAAGGGACGTCAGAAATCTATATTTTTCCCCTCTACTGATCCGAATTAGCAGGGAGGTATGGTGATCCTCAACCATCTTATCTACCTATTTTAACATAAAAAGCAGAACTTCACTAAGATCCAAATTGTTTGATTGCTGACATGGTCCTCAGGATGTGTTGAATTCCCCCACACCTGCAGACGTTTTCAGAGTCTCATTCTCCCTAAATTATTTTCAGCATCCAAAGTAGCCAGTAAAATAAGTATCCCAGACAAATGGGCAAAATGGCTCTTTCTGCAAGTCAAAACAGGCCCAGTAGCAAAATACAAGTTATCTTCCAGTCTTCTTGTACCTTTTCACTTTCTAAATAATGAAATATGCTTTTATCTGGGAAATCCTATTTGGCAAAATATTGTGTTAAACATAAACAGAGCATTACTCTGCAGATACAGGAAAGTTGCTTGTACCTGGGTCTGTTCTTAAGGCACTGTGCAAATTGTCTCCATTCATTAGCTCCAACACTGTAGATCCATGCATCACCTAGAACAGACAGGACAATACCATAAAACTTTAAAAGCATTTATGCAATATGTATAGAGCCTTTCAAATCAGGAAGAAGTCTCCAAGCGCTTCAAACTGCTGGCTGGATATCTGAGATGGACATGGTGGCTGAAGAAGATGGGAATAGTTAGGATAGACATTCTATTTCTATGTTTGCTTTTCGCCTAGTTAGAGTTATTACTCTCAGTGGAGCTTTTCATTTTAACCTCATCCTTTAGCTCCACATTCCCAGAAAAAGTCAAATAACTTACATAAGACCTGGATCCTTTCACCTTCACACATTTTAATAACTGAGGTCACATCACCATACCCAGTGAGGGAAATGACAGCATTTTATATCAAAAAAACTATCCACAGTATTAATGTCACCTGTCATGCAGAAGAAAAATGCAGGAATAAGTGTTAATACTTACTAAGTAGTTGACTTTCTGCACTTAGCCCTCCAAAAAGGAAAAGCTGATCATCAGTCACCGGAGTCAAAGTGTGCCATAAACGACCCTGGGGGCGTATTCCATCAACAGCAACTCTAATGAAAACAAACAACAACACAAAAGTAGATTGAGTTTATATCAACCAATATATTCTATAAAAAAAGTCCTTATAGATTTGGGGGGATATTAAGATTATGCTGGCTCATCCTGGTAATCTGTTTACCACTAAAGTAAAAGGTACTTCCCTTGCTGACAACAATGATACTTTTTATTCATCTTAATGCTTCACAACATTTCTTGTTTATAATTTAAATCAGGATAGTGATTGACCTTCAAATTTTCCCTTCATGTGGGAGATGGAGTAGTTCTTGCATAGAACTTTTCTGAAGTGTTAGGATGGAGATGAACTCATCATGTTGTTAATCATGGAATCAAACACATAATGGAGCTCACTGAAGCTCCAATTGACTATCACTGTGCTATCACAAGCTTCTATTTATTTTGATTTACATGGCTCTCACTTTTTTTTCCCCCCCTCTGAATTCAGTCAGCCTCATCAGATTGCCACGATTTGTAATTTTCCTTGCTACTTTTTCTAAGCTGTCTACACTCTATTGCCGAGCTTCCCTCTTGTGCTCCTGATCTCGTTTTTCTTATTCACTCCATGCTTGTTCTGCCATTTCACCTTATAAGTAGTATCCCAAAACAATGTCCTAAAGGTACACACAGAGAAATTAACATTACACAAAGCCAAAATGTTGCATATTAAGCCTCAACTCATCATACATCTGTGGAAGAATCAATAATATTAAATTAAAATTGTAAAATAGTTGCTGTCTATATACTGTTAGCAATTCCACGATACAAATTGTTGTGTGCACAATTGGCTGCCGCTATATAAATGCAAGGATTATTATTATTAGGACACTATGGATTCTAGTCAAACTGCAATGCCAGGCCACTCTATTGTGTATTCTCTGCAATCTACCCTTTTATTTTCATTGACTTAATAAAAATACTTGAATCATAGAAAATAAAATAATGATTTTATCGTACAAGCATCAATTTGAGTCATGAACATTAATCTATTTTTCAGGCTTCTACAATGTGTTGGAGCTCTGCATTGTTGGGGGTGCCATCCTTTGCATATTGTTCAGATGAACATGAAAGATCCCACAGGACTAATCAAAAGGGAAGGAAGTTTTAATCTGGTATTAAAATTTAATTATTTTTGCAAATGAACTGTAAGTCCAATAATCAAAAAAGGACTGCTGTTAAATATCAACCACCACATTCTATGTAAACAAAAAAATACTTACTCCCCAGACCAAGTCCACGAATCTAAGTCCAAGCAGTGCAGATCATTAATTCTTGTTTCCTGAAAATCAGGCAAAAGGCTGCATTAAACTCAAACATGGATCAATTTAATCTATTTAATGAAAAAGAGTCATTGACTCACCAGTATTCTACCTCCGAACAAATAACCTTTATTTCCCAAAACAGCGCAGGCATGGGCTGCTCGAGGCCGAGGAGGCATCCCCTGTAAAACAATTGATGTTAAGCTGGTATCACACTTATACAGCACAAAACAGTAAGGGAAAAACCTAAATAAGGAAATTCAGCAATTAAATAAGAGTCTTCATTATCATTTTTCGCCACAGCTCCACTGGCTCCCTGGCTTTCAATAGATCGACTTCCAAGTCTTCATTCTCACCTATCAATTCCTTTACACAATGCCATCTCCCTATTTCTGTGACCTTCTCCACTCTTCTGCCCATCCCCTTAGCTCAGTTAACTCAGATCTGCTGCACATCCCCCATCCCCCTGCACCATCGGTGGCTGAGCCTTTAACAACTACCACTATTAGCTGTCTCCAAATCAGGCAGTCCTAAAGCTCAACAAAACCAACAGCAGATTACTGAGTGTACTATTACCTTTCTTTACAACTTTATTATGGAGAATTCAACAAACTATACTTGCTTAGAAAAAGTGATAATATGAGCGAAATTCTGCCTAGTTTTAGCCATTAAGACCATTTAGTCTTAAAATTCACACAGAATTGTAAGAAATTCTTAAATTCTGTGTTAATTTGCAAGATAGGTTTTTCTAAAAAAGCTGTGGAAAACTGGCTTTCAAATTGATATACTGAATTTAAACATTTTTCACAATTCTGAGAGATGTTAAAAATGTATATAAGATGGTGTTATCGACTAAAACTAGGTGGAATTTTATGCCTAAGTAAGATTAAAACAAAACAACTAAAATAAAGAAGATTTTTTTGAACTATTATTACTGGAGTTTGAACATACTTTAGTCGTGGGCTGGTACCAGATCTGGATACTGGGATCAAAGACATGGATCTCACAATTCCATCCCCAGAACATCTCTTCTTCCTGAAAGGAACATTTAACGCAAGTCCATCTCAGATTTAAGATTAAAAATATGAATCATTCCTAAATATTACTTGTTTGCAAAAATATTGTCTACAAACTGTACCCATTGCAGCTTCACTTGCAACCAACGGATTCAATATGGAATGTAGATTGACACACAGACATGTAGATTGACACGTTTAGACATTATACTCAGCTGGAAGGATTCCTGTAGGAGATCTCCTTTTGGGAGGACTCAGAGGGAGGACTCCTTTAATATATTTTCCCTCTCCGTCTCTCCCCCTCTCCCAGTCTCTCTCCTGTCTCTCTCTGAATCTCACTCTCTGTCTCTCTCTCAATCTCTGAGTCTTTCTCTCAATCTCACACTCCCAGTCACTCGCTCAATCTCATTCTCCCAGTCTCTCACTCAATCTCACTCTCCCAGTTTCTCTCCCACAAAACAGTCACTACACTTTATAAAATATTCTCTCTCAGTCCCTCTCTTTCAATCTTTCACAATCTCAGTGTCTCTCTCTCTGTCCCACATGGGAGGACTCTAGCTCCCATGACAAACAGAAGAGTGCCACACATTTGTTGCAGAATATAGATGCATCTCTCTGAACTGTGTGCTTTTCTCTGTTGCCACATAGTTGCAGAATATGATGCATAGCTCATATTTTGGGGCTAATTAAAGCATTTTTAATATAGCTATATCAACGATAGGAGATTCCTCCCCACCTCCCCAGAAAAAAATATGCCCATGACATTGCCAGATGCAAGCCTTTTCCGATGAGGTATAAATCATGTCTCTACATCAATCGGTTATTGTATGATTGTCAGATACATTGACACACAGACAGACACTTCGTCTTTATTAGTGTAGAAGATAGATTGTTTTTCGGTTTCACAATGTTTTTGTCTGCAAGCCATTATTATATACTGTATAGTACAATAGACATGATGCCACAATGGATGTGTCACAACTGAGATAGAGACATGATTTAGGATACCTCATATTTTGAGGCTTAATTTTTAATATAGCTCATCAACAATAGGAGTTCCCCCCAACAAAATATGCCCATGACACTTCTAAGTGCAAGACCTTTCCGATGAGGTATAAATCATGTCCCTACATCAATCAGTTATTGTGCGATTGGCAGATACATTGACACACAGACAGAGTTGTTTTATTAGTGTAGAAAAGCAGCTCTAACACAGGAGCACTAGAAGTAAACATGCAAAATTCACTCTCAAGATCTGCCCCTTTGGATGAATAAAATTCATTCGAATTCGATAATTATTTGATAATAAAATAATAATAATTCTTGCATTTAATACCATGTAGACAGAAATTAAGATAAAAATTAAGAGTCTTACCCAAGATGCTTCATTCACATAAAACGAATCGTTCAATTCACTGATTCTCTTACACCCATAGCCACCAAAATAAATCAACCTGTCAGAAATCAAAGTTGATTTTCAAATGTAATTACTAATTTAAATATAATTTACTGCTTTGGAAAGCTCAGTTTTGTCTTCTTTGAAGACTTCCTTTTACGTGTATATTTTATTCTAATGCAATTTTAGATAGAATATTAGTTTTATTGGAAGGGAATAGAAATCTGAACTTAAGGTTCACAAAATATTTTTCAAGTCAGCACTGTTTATGTGTTTAACAGACAATTAATGGTACAGAATGTGGTCAGGAAGTTATTTTGCAGAGTTTGGCGGGGGGGGGGGGGGGGGAGAAAAGAGAAATCATTGTTGATTTCAATGGCATTAAATAGTGGCACTTTCTGTTGTTGGCACGTGATCTGGGGAAGGGAACTTTTTTGTGGTGATGGTGGGTGGGGGGCAAATTTCATTAATGTGCTGCTGTCAGCAATAGTGTGACAATAGGGTCTAATTTGGGCGATGTCTTCCCGACGTGAAAGTCGCTATAGAAATGTAATTTTTGTTGTTGGAAACCAAATGAGGATTGGACTCTGAAGAATTTAATATTTCCTCCATGAGGAAAAACACATTATTAGACAGAGCGAGTGTAATATCCCCTTTAAAGTTAAGAAGGCACTATGCCAAAACCGTGTCCTCAGGCATTTCTCCTAAAAATCTTGATCGTTAGATGCAGATTTTTTTTAATATTGCATCTATATATTTTCATGCAGACCTAGGTCAGCAAAGAATATTGTTGTGTAAATACTAGTAAAGAAAAGAAAATTTAAAGTGGATAAAAATTGAAACTAATTTCTCATCATCCAACAGGAATACCATATTTTGGCACTTATTGGATTTTAAATATTCCATTATATACATTACAACAACAACAAGATTACATTTATATAGCGGCTTTCACGTCGGGAGGACGTCCCAACGCCCTGGACAGAGTACAGCATTTCAGAATCCTTATCTGAAATTCTATTCCTATTCACTGCTGAAATCTCGTCATTGCAACTTTTATTAAAAGTCAGGGACCCACCTGTCTTTATGAACCCAGCAAGAAAGCTCATGTCTTGGTGTAGGACAAATTCCTTGGCAATTCCTGAGTTTCTTCCAAATATACGTGGCATCTTTTACCTGCAGATTAACACAATACATCTGTTTCAGATGTATAAAAACATTAGTATACTTGGTCTCCAATAAATCAAATTTCTATTCAATGTTAACTTATACTCTGAATCTTTATAAATAGAGTAGGTTAATATTGTATACCACATCAACTGTCTCATATAAAACAGTAATTTGATAGGAGAATTCACCAGAAGCAAAACACAAGTTATTTTCTTCCTAACATCATGCCTACAGCATCAATGGGAGACAGGTAGGATTTCATTAGCACAGAGATGTTGTGAGTTAAGAGTCTCAGGATGTTTATGGAACTCAGGATTCTCCACACTAAGTTCCTATTTTTAACAAGCTGCCTGGGTAAACAGCAAATTGAAGCCAAATTTGATACCTCACCTGTTCTGTTAATCAAGGCAGAAGTTAGCCTCAATGCCTTTTGTTTTAGAGGTATGGAAGGGGGAAGAATAAAGAAAAATCAGAGTACCGCAGCTAGGGTTACTGCTGACGGCCACTATCAAGTGATCCTGAAAGCTACAAATATGGATAATAGATGGGATCACACCCAACGTTGAATGGTCTGCTAGCATTCACTGTCTGGACATGGAGAATGCTCACTTGGATGTGGTGCCAGAGTCAACATCCTCAGGAGGGAAGGCTGCCAGTGTCAACATCCTCAGGAGGGAAGAATAAAACGCTTTTTGTTTCAATGCCTACTATGCTCAGCAAAACAAGTACAAGTTCTCAATCTTGTTCTATCTAAATAAAAATCATAATACCATGTAGCAAACGTATTTGAGATAATGACCTACTTCATTGGTATACTCTAGGCCATCATATCCTCCAAAAATGTACATTATTCCATTCAGACAAGCAGCACAACTTCTTGACAAGGGAGGTGGTAGATCTCCCTTCATTGCGTGCTTCTGCCTGAAGTAGATTAAAATAAATTAATTTAAATTTTGAAAAGCAAATTAAAGTACAATGAATATAGATGGTAATGCAGCTACTATCAACCAACACATTTTTAATTTTGGCTAAAAGAAACTACTTTGCTTCATTTTAATAAGTTCTGGTGAAACATCAAAAATTCAAAAGGATGAGATCAAATGGGCCAAAGGGTCTTTTTAATTCATATCTCTCTTGTGATGCAGTGAGCTGCTGATCTGCTAGTATGTTCTTTTACATAAAAGTAAAAGTGTAGGTGGTAATTTAAGTTTTGTTTTACATGGCTTAGGTTAGGAGAACTACCTGTCTTTAAAAGTACAGTAGTTCAAAAATCAAAATTCAAGTCTAACATTAAACTTATTGTAAATTTTGTTATCATAATCAATAACAATTGAACATTATTTGTCTAGCACAGAGATTCTCAAACTGTGGGGTGCACCTCCCTGGTGTGCCTCCCAAAAGTCCCAGGTTTCTCAGGGCTGGATGGCCCCACATCCTGGCGCAGCTGCTCCCCCGACAGCACTTCCCGTGACAGCCAAACTCCCTTCAACCTATAGTACATATGTGGTTTGGGACATATGTGCATGCGATCGCCAGGAAAGTGGAAGGTGAACCAGACAGACCTTGGTCTTTTTTCGTCCAGCATTTCTTATGTTCTTATGCATCTTTCTACACGGCAATCCTGAATTCCACTATCTTCCCACTGATGGGGTGTGACTGATGGATATTGTACTGCCATGGTCTGAATTGTTTGGTTTCCTGAAGTGTTTCTGCAGTTTTGTTTTGGTTGCTGAGATTTGGGATCTTTTTGGACAGCCATAGGATAGCATGAAGTCTGCTTTGTGAAGTAGAATTTATACTTTTGACACTCGTACTCTTATTGTAATTGTAGTGATCAGAGCTCTTTCTGAGCAATTTTCCGGCTTGTATTCTTGGGGAATCTGGGATTTTTTTTGTTCTTTGTGTTGTCTTGGTGAACTATGGGGAGGCACTTTTTTTTCTTGGTTTAGGAAAGTTCACACAAAGTTTGAGAAACCCTGGTTCTAAACTAAAACATCATAACTAAAACATTTTTTTTTAAAAATCTTACCATGTGCCATTTTCTAATTCATAAACCCAAATTTCATCATTGGGTAAGTAGACTTCATGGTTTTCATATATCTGCAACAGAAAAACATTTAATTTCTTGTATCTTCCTAAAGTTTCACCAAAAATTGAAGATTAAAATGTAATCAAAATGTTAGTTTTTAGAAGAGATTGGAAAGTGAAGAAGAGACAAAGTACTTCCAACCTAAACGAATTCTCTTGGAAAAAAGTGTGTATAAAAGTCCCAATTTCTCCTTTCCAAAAATATGTCTAATTTGGGGACATTATGACTGAGGTCCAAGTCAAGTATCTTTTGAAACATCACTTCGCTCAGGACTGGCTGACTAATATCTACAACAGCTCCAAACTAAATAATAATAATAATCCCTGCCTGTCTGACATCGAGTCCTGGACGAGAGACAACTTTCTTCAGCTCAACGTGCGAAAAACCGAGGCCCTCCTGATTGGCTCACGTCAGCGCCTCCGCACCTCAGGCGCTGACACCATCAGCATCCAAGGCTGCACTCTCCACCTCTCAAAGCCGGTCAGGAACCTCGGCGTTTTGTTCGACCCTGAGCTGTCCTTTCTCCCTCACATCCGCACCACAACTGGCACCGCCTTCCATCACCTCCGGAATATCGCCAGACTACGCCATTACCTCACCCCTCACGCTGCTGAAACCCTGGTTCACGCCTTTGTCACCTCAAGGCTGGACTACGGGAACTCTCTCCTCGCCGGCCTTCCCGCCACCTCCCTCCACACTGCAGGTCATTCAGAACTCTGCAGCTCGTGTACTGTCCCGCACCAGGCTTCGGGACCACATCACTCCCACCCTCGCTCGCCTCCACTGGCTCCCCAACCCCCAGAGGATTGATTTCAAGATCCTCATCCTCACCTACAAGGCCATTCACGGCCTTGCTCCCTCCTACCTCTCCAACCTACTATCCCCCTACCTACCTGCCCGTACCCTCCGTTCCTCTGGCTCTGGTCTGCTCCACATCCCCCGCCCCAACCGCCCTACCATCGGTGGTCGGGCCTTCAGCCTCTCAGCCCCCAGGCTCTGGAACTCCATCCCCAGTGCCTTCGCCGCTTCCTCCCTTTCCTCCTTCAAGGCCGGTCTCAAAACCTTTCTCTTTGACCGTGCCGTCAGCTCCCCTCTCGACTCTCTACCCCCTCCTCGCTCCCTCCCTTCCCTCCCCTCACCCTAACCATTTCCCCCTCCTCGCTCCCTCCCTTCCCTCCCCTCACCCTGACCATTTCCCCCCTGCTCGGGTCATGACCCAACTGTGCAGCGCCTTGGGACGTCCTCCTGACGTGAAAGGCGCTTTATAAATGGAATCTTGTTGTTGTTGATATAGCGCTTTTCACGTCGGGAGGACGTCCCAAAGCGCTTCACAGAACACACTGTAAAGTGAATTGACTGTATATTTGTGGGCGAACGCGGCAGCCAATTGCGCACAGCAATGTCCCACAAACAGTCGTAGATTGAAAATGACCAATTTATTATTGTTTTTTTTTGGAGGGATTATTATTAGGCTCTGTGTGGAGTAAGGAAACTTGCCCAAGGTTTCGCCCTCTGCCTGGAATTGAACTCAGGTCTCTCGCTTGCGAAGCGAGTGCTCTCACCACTGAGCTACAGGACTTCATAAATGTTATGCATTGTCAACCAAATCAATCCCTTCATTGCAACTTGGGTGTGGCTAAGTCAGCAAAAATAAATTATCGGCTGAAGTAGGTGTATAGTATTTAGTTCGTAAGGATTGTTTCTCAGGATTGGCTCCCAAATTAGTTCAGTTACTAGATCTAGTTTTCCCTGTAGACAATCTTGTTGGAAATGAAAATATCCCTCGATTTGTGAGACCCCTATCTGTGAATATATTCAATAATGTGCATACGTACATTACTTCATGATGTAATTCCTAGAACTACAACAACAACAACAAGATTCCATTTATAAAGCGCCTTTCACGTCAGGAGGACGTCCCAAGGCGCTGCACAGTTGGGTCATGACCCGAGCAGGGGGGAAATGGTCAGGGTGAGGGGAGGGAAGGGAGGGAGCGAGGAGGGGGGAAATGGTTAGGGTGAGGGGAGGGAAGGAGCGAGGAGGGGGAAGAGAGTCGAGAGGGGAGCTGAACTACACCATCACTGACATCACAAAGCAGCTTAACTACCTTGTGTTAAACTTTTTATAGAGGAACGGAAAAATTGGGGGTGGGGGAAGGGAGAAATAAATCTGTTCAAAGTACTCTCCCCAACTGCCCTTGAAAACACATTATTCACTGATGGCAGTACAATCGTTTTAGGTCCTTTCACCTAGTTTATTGAAGGAAGCAAGATGCTCAAGTATTAGATGGGCTGTATTTGCATCAATCAGAGGGGACAATTTGGATCAACCTGGCAGGTAACAATTCCCCAGGTTAATTTTTCCCAATTTAGCTCCTCGTTCAGCCTAAAACATTCTACCTGACTCTCCAGGACACTCAAATGCCACTTCCCAGACAGCAGAATAGCCTAACTGAGGAGATGACACATTTCCATAACCCATAGTTCACCAAGACAACACAAAGAACCAAAAAAATCCCAGATTCCCCAGGAATAATACAAACAGCAAAGTTGCTCAGAAAGAGCACTGATCACTACAATTACAATAAGAGTATGAGTGTCAAAAGTATAAATTCTGCTTCACAAAGCAGACTTCATGCTATCCCACGGCTGCCCAAAAAGAACACAAATCACAGCAGCCAAAAAAAAACTGCAGTCAGTAAGTAGGCATGCGGTTGTTAGTCGATTGGCCGATCACTTTTCCGGGGATAATAATCCTTCAAAAAAAAAAGGATTCACTCCAAGATTGTTCACTCAATCCACAGCTGTTTGTGGGACACTGCTCAATTGGCTGCCGCGTTTCACCCACACAATATAGTCAATTCACTGCGCAGTATATTCTGTGAAGCACTTTGAGACGTCCAGAAGACGCGAAAGGCGCTGTATCAAATGCGAGGATACGTATTTATTATCTCCACGTTCCTCAAATATCCTCAAGGATATTTTATCAGCAGTAAATAATCCAGCGGCAAAAAGTAATTCAGGCAAAGTGCTCCCTCCCCTTTCCAACTTTTTTTTAAAAAAAAAGTATTGATTTGTTCAGAGTTAAACGGAATGGCCAACATAAACATTGCAATTGGGTTAATTCCACCAGTCTCACTGTTACTTGTGGATAATCTACACATTCAATTGAATCTTTGCACTCTCGAGTGGACTTTTAGGGGTTTTCATTTTTCCCCCCAAAAGAACATCAGTTCTGACGAAGGGTCGTGGACCCGAAACGTTGACTCGTTTTCCTTCCTTTCTTAGTTTGCGTGTGTGTGTGTGTGTGTGTTTGTGGGGGAGAAATGGGGGCGACGTAACACAGTACGGGTCTGAGGGGAAGAAGCTGAACCCGCGAGTGGCGGCGATTAGGGCCCTCAAAGATTTAAAGTGGGAAAACCTGCCCTCCCCCACCACCGCCCTATGTGTTTAACAAAAACGCGCGAAGATTTACCGATCACGTGTGTCGAGTTAAAGCCGTCGAGTCGCCACCGACCCGCCCGCCCGCCCGCACCGAGTTAAATAAAGATGGCGCCCTCGACCCACCCCACAGAGTCGAGCCGTCGGATTCGCTTTCCCGGATTTGGAGGGAGCCACGTTCTCGAAGCTTCCATCGTCGAGCGATGGCCGTACCTACCACGTAGCCGCCCCACACGTACAGAAAACCGGCGTCAAACACCGCGTAATGTTGGTTCTCTTGAATTATCGACGTCTCAGCCATTGCCACAGCCCCCCCCCCCCGGGAGAGGTTTTGAAATGCGGCGATGAAGAGGCGAGTTAAACCGGTCTGCGGGGGCGCAGCGCTCAGGTGGCGGCCCCTCGGTCTCTCTCTCCTCACAAAGACGTCGCGCGGCGCTGTCCGGCGCTGTCGGGCACCGCCCAGTTTTTCGCCGCACGTGCGGCTGTCGCGAGGCGGCCAAAGGCGCGACTGCGCGTGCGCACTTCAGATTGGGCGGGGGGGGAGGCGGGCTCGCGCCCAATTGGGCGGGTTTTTGTGGTACTGTGCGGCAAAAGACGCGACTTTGGGCGGGTTCCTAATTTGGGCTTCATTTTTTTGTTAATTTTTTTAAAAATTTATTTAAACCTGCAAAAACGTCCCCCTTTGGAAGATCTTTGCCAACATGGTTTCACAAAGGCACTGACCACCTTAGTACCCGCAGTAGTCGACGCAAACTGTCGGACTACAAACGTATTTTAAAATACATTTTTAAAAAAAGATATCAAATTCCGCGGTACTATTTCAGGCACTGTAGAAATTGTTCCGTTGGCGGTCTCGTCGGATTTCGGAACACCTGGAGCGAGCGAAACCTGACGAGCTCAAGCGGTGGGTTGACTGGATCGTCCTCATAAAACCACGAGCACAAAATTACCCCCAGAGCGGAGTGAGCTGCTGGGAGTCCAAAAATGTACCTGACCGACAGCGGGTTTGTTTTCTATTTACATGTGTCAGCCTGGCGCAGTGTTTGCTCTCGTCTCCGAGTCAGAAGGTTGTGAGTTCAAACCCTACGTTGGGACGTGGAATCACATAGGCACTTCCAATGCAGTACTGGAGGGGCTGCTGCCTTGTCGATGGTGCCATCCTTCGGATAAGATGTTAGACCATCATGGTCCTTTCTGCCTGTTCAAGTGAATGCTAAAGAGTCCGTGCCACTATTTGAAAAGAGAAGCAAGTTCCTCCTGGTGTCCTGCACAATAATCCCCCAAATAAAATTTGTCGCTCATTGCTTGTCGTTTTCAACTGGCCGCTGCATTTTACCCACAAAATGCAGTCACCCCACTTTACGGTATATCCTGTGAAGGGCTTTGAGGTGTCTCGACGATGTGATCGGGTGCTACATCAAATGCCAGGATTATTTATTATTGTTGACAAATGCACATGTGAACACCAAGCATGGATATGATTAAATTTGCGTCACACATAAATAATTGCTAATGGGAGTCTGCTGGCGCATTTGAAACCAGACACAAATCGCCAGCTTCAGATGGTGGGAGAGCATTGAAAATCTTTCCTTTTTTGTATACATCAGCAAGAAACAGGAAACCTCTTAAATGATATTCCATCAATTTTATGGTCCTCCTTGTCAAACTGGGTGATTTAGTAGCATGATTTCATATCCAACAGTGCCAGTTTGTTAAGCAGTTGTGGGACTACTTTACTTTTTTTCAATCAGAGACCAATAACTTTCCTCTTTGGCTATTATTATCTTTCTATTTCGTTCACTTCCCTCCCTTAGATTCTTTACAGCTGCAATTCCAATATCCTAAAAATAGAATCATAATTTCCTTTCCAATTGAAAATGTTTAAAGCTGCCTATTGTATGAATATGATGGAGTAAAGTAATCGGTGCGAAGCAATGTTTAAATAATTGCTGGACCCCAGACAAATACAATTATGGAGTCTTTGCTCCTGCAGTAAGTGGCCATGTCACTGGGTTTATTTAAACATCATATTCATTCCACTTGAACCTTCTGTTAACTTTGTATCTTTGAAAAAAAATTTGGGCTGAGCAAATAAGGTGAACAAAGAAGCAAAACCCTGGAGTTAGAATTTAGTTTTTTTTTCCTTGCATATGGTTCCAGGTTATTTAATTAATTTATTTCGGGTTACTCATCCTTTAGGAAAAATGTCAAGGCATTGGAGAGGATGCAAAGGAGATTTACCAGGATGGTACCAGGAATGAGGGTCTTCAGTTATCAGGAGACTAGAGAAGCAAAGATTATTCTCCTTGGAGCAGAGAAGGTTAAGAGGAGACTTGATATAGTTTTCAAAATTATGAGGGTATTGTTTAGGGCGAACAAGGAGAAACTATTTCTCACTGGCATGTGGGTCGGAAACTTGAGGACACCAATTTAAAATAGTTGTTAAAAGAAACAGAAGGGAGGTGAGGAGAAATTTTTTCACACTGTAGTTATTTGGATCTGGAATGCATTGCTTGAAAGGCATTTGATTCGATAACAACTTTTAAGAGAGAAGTAGATAATTATTTGGGGTGGACAAGTTTGCAGGGCTATGGGGAGAGTGTGGGGGTGTGAGGTTGATTTCAGTAGCTCCTTTCAAAGAGGCATGATGGGCCGAATGGCCTCCTTCTGTGCTGTGTAATTCTATGAAGGTTAGGGGTCGGACGGTTTATCTTGATCAGTTTCCAGGCTGGGTTATTGCAGCTTGAAGCTTACTATGTAGCCACCCCAATCATAGAGGTGGTTTCCATCCAGCACTGCACAACGACCGCTCCTCTCCTCTGTCACTAAAGTCGCATCAGCTTCTGCCATTTCTCCCTGTGTTTTTCCCCTCTTTTGTGATTCTTAGTCTGTCTCGTTTATGGTGCACTGGATGAACCCTCGCTAATCAATTTTACATCTGATATACACACACACAGGGTAGACCAAAGTATTATGGCAAATGAAACAGGCCAAGCTATATGTACTGTCAATTGCATATCTCGTGTACTTTCAATCTTGCTCTTCAAATGATTTTTCTTTATATTTAGATGGTTTACACTATGTACTTAAATTAGTTATTTAAAACCCTAAGATTATTTTTAAAAAAGAAAGTGAACCATTTCCCATTTAGTTAAATATAATTTGATATATTTTTAAAAAATATACGTAAATAATTTTTATTTAAATGTAATTTCTATTAATGCTATAGTTTCTAAAACAATTATGTTGAATTCTTTGACATTTGAAAGTATTCTGACAAAGAATTCCATTGTTAAAAATATTACTTGTGTCCACAGTCCATTGTCTGCAGATTTCCAGATATTCATCTTTTGTGTTTTTGTAAATAATACAGGAATATATCTATATTTTGATGCTGTTTATCAGGTTACCCACCTCCTTCAATTTTGTTCACTTCTCCGTTGAAGTGACTCCGCTGACTAACACTCAGAATAATGTGTGTCTCGCGAAAACAAGATTGGGTTTGGTCATGATGCCCTACATTTGTTGAATAGCCTAACATTCGCAGTTAATGCTTACATGCAAATAATTGGCATTTGTTGACGAGCCAAAAAATGACTGGCAGCAGTGGAACAGAGAAATTTGAGGGAAAAAAACTGACCCCCCCCCCCCCAAAAAAAACCCCGATTGTTTGAATATTTTCTGGGTACATACTTACAAATTCCCACTTTGTAATGGAGAACAAGATCCCAGGGGAAATAAAACAAGATGATTACTTCTTTGTGCCCAGCACAGCAGAAACAATGCCAATTAATCAATTTCCCCGATCACGAGTTCAGATTCAGAAGTCACGCAAGATCCAACTGCCCCAGCCATTAAAATATCACTCCGAGATGCTATCCTGTGCAAAGGGCGCTATACAAATGTACATTTCCCCCCTGCTCGGGTCCTGACCCAACTGTGCAGCAGGCGATTTTCCAGTAGCAAAGGCTACTTTTATCTTTTAATACCATGCCTTGGGACGTCCTCCTGACGTGAAAGGCGCTTTATAAATGGAATCTTGTTGTTGTTGTTGTTGTTGGAATCCGCACCTCCTTAGGAAGAGAAGGGAGCAACCCCTGGCCCGGCCAATGCCCCGGAAACCAAACCCGCCCCGCGGTGGGTTTGTGAGACATTGCTGCGTGTGGGCAGATTGGCCGCCAGCGATCGCCTACGAAATAACGCCGTCGCTCTGACTTGACGGTGTACGTGCTCCGAGGCGCCTTGAGGCGGTCTCCGCCGCCGGACGAGGCCGTCGCGTCGAAGGGGGGCGGATCGTTTGTCTCCGGGGGGAGGGGGGGGGCGCCCGTCACCGCCGGTGTGGTCGCTGCTGCTGCTGCTGTTGCTGTTGTTGGTGGTGGTGTTGGGACGTCCTCCTGACGTGAAAGGCGCTTTATAAATGGAATCTTCTTGTTGTTGTTGTTGTTGTTGTCTGACGTGTGGCGTTCTCCCTCGCCCCGCCCCCACACTAGCCCCGCCCCCCCGCCCGCCCTAGTCCCGCCCATCGCCCCGCCCCCCTCGTGTGCGGAAGTGGCGCACATTTGGCGCCAAACCCCCCCCCGGCGATGGCGGGTAGAATCAAGGGCCGGGTTTCGGCGGCTTTTAAGATGCACGGATTGCTCCTGCGATCGTAAGTGTCGCCGCGCCGGGACACTGCCGCCCCGCCCTCTCTGCCCGGCCCGGCCCGGCTCGGCCCGAGTCAGCAACCGGACTCGGGGAGTTGTGTCGGGATGGCAGATGGGCTGAACGCCAACACTGCCCCTGCGCGGCGCGGCGCGGCGCTGCTCGGTCCTGATGTCCCGGTTGGTTGGTGTTGGAAGCTTCGCGAAGGAACCAACACCGGCCCCTTCACAATGTGGCTGCTTACATTTTGCGCGGGAAGCTGTCCCGCCTCTGTGGTCGGCTTTCTTCCTCTCTCATCTCTCTCCATCTCCACACTTGTGACCGTAAATCGTTTTTTCCTCTTAACTCTGTTCGCGAGGCTCTTAACTTTTCTCTTCAGCCTTCAGCTCCCCCTCTCGACTCTCTTACCCCCTCCTCGCTCCCTCCCCTCACCCTGACCATTTCCCCCCAATGCTCGGGTCCTGACCCAACTGTCCAGCGCCTCGGGACGTCCTCCCGACGCGAAAGGCGCTCAATAAATGGAATCTTGTTGTTGTTGTTGTTGTTGCTGACGGACCCTGGCCTGGGCGTTGCACGGGGAGAGTCGCAACGCTGCTGCAGTGCATCGCGAAGTTAGTTGCGTAGAAAAATTGTCGTTCTTTTAATTTCTGCATTAGCAACGCCACAGTCTATCTCGTCGAGGTGCTCGAGTCGGTCGCTGAGCTGGAGCTGGAGGATGCCATTGAACGGATCGTCGATGCTGTTGAAAAGCAGCCGCGTAAGTAATCGCCAGTCACGCCTCGGATTTGTTCATCTTGCAAACCTAATGCTCAGATGCTGCCATTGTTTGAAACTGAAACCGGTATTAAGCTGCGGTTCATCTCCTGATGAAATTAATTTTCCAAGACGTATGCAGTAAAGCAAAATTCTCAGATTAATTTTAACACTTGCACTCGCCAATTGGAATTCTCCATGTTCATATTTGAAAATCTCGGGGTCAGTTGTTCTTATTGATGCAGTGAAAACTTATGAAATACATCAGTCAATTCACTACACTCCCGTGGAGCACTTTGAGATGTCTTGATGATGTGATAAGACGCTGTATCAAATGCAAGGAATTTTATGGAAAAAGCACAGATAAGTGGGATTGAAAGATTGCTCATGAGGGAGCTGACACAGACACGTTGGACCGAATGGCTTTCTTCTGTGTTGTAGATTTCTATGGATTTTCCATGGTGCTATGATTTGCAGTACATAAATTATATAAATTCCTTATTCTAAAAGTGTTCATTTGAATGATAGCTTTTCCTACACATTTCCAGTCTCAATTATTCCAGGCTATAGCTAAGTAATTAAAAAAAAGCTTAATTTGTGTGTTTCTACATTTCAGTGAAATGCAACATGATTGAACAGTCGATGGTGGAGGCAGCAGTCCAGGAATGCAGTCAGACGTGTGATGAAACTATGTAAGTCAAATAGAAGTTTATACGATGCATTGCATTAAACATCACAACTATGTTTTCAGAATAAAACAATTATGAAATTTTCAAAACTTGATTTAAAAAAAAACACTGCTTTATTCAGCAAAGTTATTTGCTGTATAAAGGACTACCAATAAAGGAAGATGTAAAATATTTACTACCTGCTGTATTTTATATTATATATATATCAAATACTGAAAATTATCACACTACTTACTGTCCATGCTAAATTCCTATTAAGTAACATAACAGAATGTAGTGTCCGCAGGAATTGGGGAGCAGACAATATTCAGCTCATGAATGTATATTTATTCATGAAAAAACAAAATACAAAGGTGTGACATTCTTTAGAGCAATGAGTTTTGGTAAGATTATCACTTACTTTCACAGGGAACACGTTTTTAATATAATCGGAGCGTTTGACGTCCCTCGGTTTATCTACAATCCAGAAAGGAAAAAGTTTTTACCGTGAGTTTGCAACTTTTTTCCTTTTTTCGTTCATTCATACAAGAATTTTTTCCTCGTCTTCAGTTTGTACAACATCTATGGAGTCATTTAGTTTGTAAAATCTTAAAACTACATGTTTTTCCACCTGAATTATATTTTGTATATCAAGAAAAGTTTAAATCTTTCTCACTGATCTAAATAGCAGTATTAAGTGAGTGTTTCCAAGTTGGCATTGCATTTGTTTACCCTTCTTTACACATAATTAATTAATTGTAATTAAGTGGTGCCTTGAAACAAACAATGATGTTTTTAATCTTATGTGCAAGCACGGTTTCCTTTTGTGAGTAATCTGTTACACCAAAGACTCCTCAGGTGCATTGTATTTTGTTAAGGACTGTAATACTTAAATTAATATTTATGCCCAGAAAAGGATTAGAGACAAATTAGAGATAAGTGGTACAAGAACCACCGAGTTAAATAACTGTGCAGTTGACGCACAAACAATATTATAGCCGTTAGCACTGTGATATATGGTACCATGGAGTCAGCCTATGTCTGTGGTTCTTGGTGTAGCAAATTCCACACCTCATCTAGATATAGGTGGATTCTTCCACAGGGAGGAACAGAAAGCGGACTGAGTAATCTCCTTATGGCTAGTAATAGAGCAGAGATGTAACATAGATTGTCTGCTCTCTACCATAGATGGGATATATAATACAGGAAGATCAAATAAAAAGAATATAATTTGTTTTAATAAAATAAAGAACAAATTGGAAGTACAAGTAGATAGTTGTAGTTTTTTTTACCAAAACAAGGGCATAAAATTCCTTTGTCTTCCTGGGCCATTCAAACTTTTTTTTAATGTGAACTGTTTCATTAACTGTTTTTAAAAAGTTGGTTAGAATGATAGTTATTCACTTGTTTAAAACCATATGTATCTATGTCTGTCTCTCTCATGCTCTTTAGTCTTGCGATGACTGAGCACAGTGCCCCAAGGCTCTTTGGAACTGCTAAGGACAAAGCAGAACTGTTTCGTGAACGCTACACTATAATGCAGCAGGTAAGGCAAAAATCAAATAATTTAGTGAGAATATAATAATCCTTCCATTTGATATAGCACTTTTCATGTCTTCTAGACGTCTCAAAGCACTTCAGACTATACTGTAAAGTTAATTGACTTTTTTTGTGTGGGCGAAACGTGTGGGCGAAACGCACATCAGTGTCCCACGAACAGTCATGGATTGAAGTGACCAATTTATTATTATTTTTTTCTTGAGGGATTATTATCAGGCGTGTGAAGTAATGAAACTTACCCAAGGTTTCGTCCTGCCGGGAATCAAACTGAGGTCTCTTGTTTGCGAGGCGAGTGCTCTAACCACTGAGCTACAGGACACCACAAATTGTAATGTACACAGCAGAATGCTCTATTGAAAGGCACAAATTTGCACATTTATTGGAGACGAATGTGATTGAGGGGTTTGCTAGTTAGTACCGTATGTTGTACGTTATGTACATCTTTTATGTTCCCCTTTTTAGGAACTGATTCTAATCTGCAACCACTTTATTTCACTACAAACATCTCACAAATGAGGAATAAAAAATAAGTTTGTTTGAGAGTTAAATCCCATATGCACTCTGTCTAAACAAATTATAAATTGCTACAAATTCTACAGGTGCAATCTGAACCATCTTCACAAGGATTTAATTGTAGTTAAATTGGAATCAGACAGTAACTTCTGCATACTATCATGAACTCCATGTTACCATGCTTTATATCCTGGAAGATAGTTAAAATTATTCTAGGATTCCCTTGGACTGTAAATTATATATTCCTACCCTCTATGCTGTGTGCATCTGGCACAACATGGGTTATTGCTACAAAGAAGCCCAACAAAATTACTTTAATATCACTGGCTCTTGAAATCTCCAGCAGAAAATTAATCTTATTTAACGTCACTAAACCTACATTGAGATTTGAGAAAGGAAGCTTTAGTTTAAGACACAGTATTTTTGAGGAAAAGTAGAGAATGAGAGAATTTTGGAATCAACAACTTGGATTTATATAGCGCCGTCCATGCTGGACGGCGTCTCAGAGTGCTTCACAGTAACAGATCCCGGGGCTGATCCAGGGGATGGAGAGGAAGGTGACCGAAGGCGCGGTCGAAAATAAAGGTCTTCAGCAGAGACCTTAAAATAGGAAGAGAGGGGCTATAGAATTTATATCTAATCATTTTCTTTTTACAGCGAACACATAGACATGAATTATTTACACCTCCTGTGACTGGATCAAATCCCGATGAGACGAGGAATAAATTTCAGGTGGGAATTCCAATATTGTTCAAAAATTTCTTCTTTATAAATATGTTTAAGGAAATTCTGATAATATACAAATCAAACAGTTGGAATCAAATTCAATCAGTTAATATGAACTGAATTTCATTTTTCTCCTATTTGTGCTGTACCTAGTCACCATCCTTATCTTTGATAAGTTTGGGATTTGGTTTGCATAAATCCATTTAAAGAAAACATTTTTGTGGTTATTATGCTCACTTTGTTCATAATCTGCTGCAACTGTTCTTTTTAGCTAAAAACCATAGAAACGCTTCTTGGCAACACAGCAAAGATGGGAGAGATCATTGTTCTGGGGATGATAACACAGCTTAAAGAGGTAGAGTGTTCTATTTATGATAATGTGGTCTATACTATTTGATCCTTAATATATCCTGTGACAATCCATTGTGGGTAACAAAAATGACTAACCTATTAATAATACATTTGATAATTTGTGAAAACACTTCAATATGTTACCTGCATGAACGGTTCTATATAATCAAGTTGTTGTTGATAATGCTGAATGATCATTGTATTTCCTGCTTCAGGGAAAGTATTTTCTTGAAGATCCAACTGGGACGATTCAACTTGACATCAGCAAAGCCATATCCTTTTATGTGCTCTCTATAATTTAGTTTGAAGCACAATATTTAAAAGAGAAGTAAAAACAGACAAATAATAAACAAACAGATAAGTAGTTATCATTTAAGATCAGTCAGAAAATATTATCAATGAACTAGTGTTTGCTTCCACGTACACACAAACGTACCTCATGAGTAAGCAGTGAAAGTGGGTTTTGACAGGTTTTGTTTTATCCCTAAGATATTATTTAGCAATGAAAACAAAATCATTTTCTTAGTAAAATGTATATTATGACTCAAGTGCAAATATAAAGAAATCATGTTTTATTTGGTGACGTTGGAATCCGGATTTAAATCCACAGGAAGAAGAACTTGCACTTAAAGAACACTTTTCGCATAGGATGACATGAATGCAAAATCCTAGAATAATGGGAGGAATTTAATTTTGCTGACCATAGGGTTTATTAAATCATTTTAGGTTCTCTCAGTTTGATTCCTAGTAATAATAATAATAATCGTTGCATTTGATATAGCGCTTTTCACGTCGGGAGGACGTCCCAAAGCGCTTCACAGAACACACTGTAAAGTGTAAGATGGGATATTGAGCTTCAGCAAAGTTTTAACAGGCTAGAATAGTCTTGTTATATTGTTTTCTTGCTTTTTCAGCACAAGAACAATACCTAACCTCTGTTTAGTTCCTCAGACAGTTTTGTGACGCTGTGTGTACCATTAAATATATAATAGAAGCCATTCATGATTTTTAAAATGTTTTGTAAATAAGGCACTTTATAATCCTAAAAGATCAATTTTTCAAAGTCAGTAATTTCTTTTAACTCCAAAGCACCAGTTCCACAGTGGGTTGTACACAGAATCCTGCTTTGTTCTTACAGAAGGTAATGATACAGAATGCTTTTGTTTGGACAGTGCTTGCAGAGGTTTACAAAGGCAGAAATACCTTTAGATGTCATTACCATGCTGACACTCCTTGGAGCTTTATTTTTTTCCGTTTGTTTCAGTAGAAGCCAGAAAAATCCTGATGTGGCTTTAAAGAGCATCGTATTTAAATAAGATCCACACAAGAAATAGCTTGCTATTGTGCTGTACATATTTATGAATCTAAGAATTCTATTTGACTATGCTGAAGATTTCTGGAAACTTGCACTAATACCCTGTAGATGTATTTCAGATAAAGTGAGTGAGGATTTCAAATCCCTTCCTTTAAAATACCTGAAAAGTTAGGGTTGTTCACAGTTGTATTTTTGTTCACAATTTCAAATATCTCATTGGTACAATGTTAAAGTATACAATTTTGATCACTGCATTAGAATTATTAATTACAATTGTTCATTAAATAATTGGTAGTTTATACATCTGTTTCCAGGATGGTATGAAGATGGTGTTTTCCATGTGAATGCATTTGGATTTCCACCTACTGAACCTTCCACTGTTACACGGTAAGTTATCAGACTATCTTCAATCAGCATCTGCAATTACATCCCCCTTCCTGTATTTCCTCCTACAACAAATCGATCATTAATGCACTGAAACCATGATTGCCTGCTATTGTGTATGGAAATACCTGGGATGTTTTTCTCAACTCTTTCTCTTGCAGGAATTATTATGGCAACATCAACTTTTTTGGTGGGCCCTCTGCTACGTCAGTGAAATCCTCTGCAAAATTAAAGCAGTTAGAGGGAGAAAATGAAGATGCCATGTTTGCTTTTATCTCAGATGTATGGCTGGACCAGGTGGAAGTACTTGAGAAACTTCATATGATGTTTTCAGGTAACTGTTTTGTTGCATGCCACTTATGGAGAGAGTTACTGCGAGCATTGATAGTGATAAGACTTTTACCAATTCCTTTTAACAAGAAGATGCACCAGTCTATTGAATGTGAAACGTCTGATGTTCAAACTAAATACTTGTATTCTATTGACTTATAATAATGGTAATTTTTTTCCCTGCTTTCGTTGTCTGTCAAAGCAAAGTCCTGATATGCTTTATGTTAATTTATACTCTTGTTTTCTGCAGGTTATTCTGCTATGCCACCTACCTGTTTCATCTTCTGCGGTAACTTTTCATCTGCTCCCTATGGAAAAAATCAGATCAAATCGCTGAAAGGTGAGGAGCACAGAAATCAGTGGATTTATAAACTGTTAATTAAATGTTTATTGAGAACTCCCAACTTTTATTTATAATTTTCAGAATCACTGAAAGCGCTTGCAGATATGATTTGTGAATATCCGAACATCCATAAGAAGTAAGTACTGTATAACATGACATTTTTGTTTTGAGTTGTAAAATTTAGCATTGTGAAATGTTTTGTTCATGTGTCTGGAAGACTCAATGTGGCTCATTTACCCATTGAGCCATTTATACTCTCCAAATAATGACTGAACAAACCCTAAACTGGAGCCACCTTGCATCTTTAGAAAAATTATAGTAAAATTGTCATTAGTTTGTTCATAATTAAAGATGTAAAACATTATTACTTGGCGCTACATTGAATATTATATACTTTTAGAAATGATACAACCATACTTATACTTTATTGTATAATAACTATGCTGTAATCAGTAATGGAATGTAAATTACTCTTTAAATTCTTTCTCTCCCTTTACAGTAGCCGTTTTGTTTTTGTTCCTGGTCCTGAAGACCCAGGTCCTGGTTGTATCTTACCCAGGTAAATGGTGGATGTGTGAATGGTGGGTGAGGACAAAACAGCTGAGGAAACTCAGTTAGTGTTACTATTAAGGCTCACACATTTATAATGGACAAATAGGTGGGATAACTGGAATGCAATTTGACTACAGTGGAATTGTAACCAAGTAGAAAGAAGGGAAGGATTCTATGCTATCAGGAGGGAAAGGAAGAAAAATGCCAAAGTCAAAAATGTACCTTTTTTAACATAACTACCTCACTTTCCAGATTATGTAAACAAGATACTTTATTCATGAACAATGTTAGAGTCTTTTATGACTTTTTAAATTGTTTTAAAGACCTCCAATTGCTGACTTCATCACAGAGGAATTCAGACAGAGAGTTCCCTTTTCTGTCTTTGCCACAAACCCTTGCAGGTAAATTCTTGCATGACTGTCTTATTTTACAGTTTAGTGGTTGTTTCACTGAGCAAATGCTGCAGTGTGCCAAGGTGTACAGATTGAGAGCTTTTCTGTGTTTATCACCATTAGGATTCAGTACTGTACACAAGAGATCATCATTGTCCGTGAAGACATGGTTAACAAAATGTGTAGAAATTGCATCCGGTTTCCCAGCAGTAACCTGGATATTCCAAATCATGTGAGTAGCCATCAAGTATTTTACTCATATTAACATGACCGTTTATTTTCTTGATGCTCTCCCCTTTTCAATCCTCTTGTGCTTTATAACTGAAAGCATTCTCCATATAATATCCTTTATATCCTCCAGTTTGCTCACCTAAAGGCTCAATTGGTAAATGTTCTCCCAACAGGGGCTATAACAAATATAAGGATTATTATATAACTATTATTGTTATATAAAAAAAGTAAAAGCAGTAATGTTTGGAAGCAAGGAGAATACATTGACTGATTAGAGTCTTGGATGATGAGGCAGGGAAACTATAAGTTATAAAAATATTGTATTTATTTAGATTCTTTCTCCCTCTTAATTTATATTGTTACTTCTATCCAGTTATGTTAATAGAAAGATAGTTAGTAATTTTAGATTTAGCCCCAGTTTCTGATTGTATATAATCTCTCAGGAGGAAGGCATTTAGCCTGTTTTTCTTTCCTTTGACCAAGAGGATTATAGCAAACAAATTCTAAACACTGTGCTTTCAAAGTTACGATTTGGATCCATTCCTCAGCGCTCAAGTCAATTGCTATGCAACCAGGCTGTGCTAATATGTACCTACTAATAAATATGAGTTTGAAAAATGACAAACTTATTGTTGCCTTGCCAAATATCAGTGGAGACAGGAAATAAGAGTTGCATTGCCTTAAGAACACTAATTGTTAATTCAGGAATACTGCCAACTCAAGTTACTATAAAAGATTTATGTCTGTATTCATATCTTTTACATTCATTCAAAAGGGGATTCAACCTGTAGCAGAGTTTTACATTAAACAGTGGCTTATCTACTGAGCCTCAAGAGACTTGTACCCGTAACAAGAGTAAGTTTGGTAATACTGTATTTTTGTCTGTCTTTCTCATGGCAGTTTGTGAAGACTATCATATCACAAGGACATCTAACACCCCTGCCACTGTATGTCAGCCCTGTCTACTGGGCCTATGATTATGCTCTTCGTGTGTATCCAGTACCAGACATGATCGTCTTTGCTGACAAATATGATCCATTCAACATAGTTCTAACAGACTGCATCTGCATCAATCCAGTAAGAATCACCTGTGTAAAATTTCTATCCTAATCTGACTGAATTAGTACTAACACAATAAATATAACTTTGTCTTGTATACTTACAGGGAGTTTCTTTACATTTGTATTATTTTTAGTCATTCATATATTTTAATCACAGAACCCACACAAGCTTGTAGTAAATGTTTTTTTGTTTGAAATTGCACAATTTATCTTTCTTAAATTTAACTTAAATTTCTTAACTTAAAATAACGCCTAATAATAATCCCTCCAAAAACAATAATAAATTGGTCATTTTCAATCTACGACTGTTTGTGGGACATCGCTGTGCGCAATTGGCTGCCTCGTTCGCCCACAAATATACAGTCAATTCACCTTACAGTGTGTTCTGTGAAGTGCTTTGGGACGTCCTCCCGACGTGAAAAACGCAATATCAAATGCAAGGATTATTATTATATTATTTCCCGGGTGTCGGTTGTCCTGGCCAGCAGTTCCTTAGGTAAAAGCAGTTATTTTCTTCATGGCTGTTTGTTGTGCGAAATTGACTGCTGAGTTTGCCTACAAAATACACAGTGACTACACTTTACAGTAAATGCTGTGGAGCACTCTAAGGTGTCTATCTGCCTTGAATGACATTGTATCAATGCAATGATTATTATTAAATATTAACTCATTTATCTTTTCAGGGTTCATTTCCACGGAGTGGATTCTCCTTTAAGGTGTACTACCCCTCAAATAGAACTGTGGAGGACAGGTAATAGAGCATTGATATAAATATTAATCTTTCAGTTGGAACTTGGGTTAACAAAATAACACTGTGCACTGGAAGTTAGTTAACATTTTCATTCTTACTATGAAATATTAAAAAATTGATTATACCAATTGCTTATGTTGGACTGACCTGTTTATACTATGATGGTTACAGTTACAAACTACTTATACAGAACCTTTTGAATTAATTTTGATTTTTTTGATTTTTAGCAAACTTCAGAGTCTTTGAAGAGGAATTCCTACAAGAACATTGGAAAATTGATTAAACTTGCACATTAACATTTTGAAAATGTTCTGATAAATCTAGATTTATTGTATTGGTATTTTTAATAAATAATTAAAACTCTGGTTTAAATATCTCTGTTATTAATAATTATTTCTCAAGCCCCACCACACACACACACAATTTTTGTTAAACGTCTTGATGAAGGGCCTTTTCCTGGTGGCATATTTTACAAATTTATTGTCCCACGTGACTTTTACTTGATTTTTATCTTGCATTCCCCGATATTTGAACCATTTGCAATCGTATACAATGTCCTTGGATCAACCTTATCAAATCTCCTTCATAGATTTCACCACAATAACCCTTGGGTCTTTTTTTTTTCTGACCAGCAATCGCACAATTTCTCTCCGGCCTTTTTTTCCCCACACTCTTTATTTTACACAATGAATTGCAACCATCATCTCCCAACCCATTCCTGTTATGGTTTAAAAGTCAGCCTGGCTCGGGGGTTAGGGAGCACACTTGCCTCTTGTGGTAGAACGTTAATGGGTTCAAACCCCACATCGACATATACATATACAGTCAATTCACTTTACAGTGTGTGCTGTGAAGCGCTTTGGGACGTCCTCCCGACGTGAAAAGCGCTATATCAAATGCAAGGATTATTATTATTATTATTATTATTATCGGGACTTGTTGAAGCTCTGGACTGAAACGCCACTTCGGTGCCGGGGGAAGAGCTGCCGTCCTACACCACGCACAGTCACTACACTTGATAACAGTCGGATAATATTAATCCTCGCATTTGATAAGAGCATCTTATCATTGTCTTCTAGACGGCTCAAAGCGCTTCACAGATACATACTGTCAAGGGAGTGGATTTATATTTTGTGGGTGACATGCGGCTGCCGACCGTGCCCCAGCGGTGCCCCACAAACAGTCGGGGATGGAGTGACCCAATTTTTTTTGTGTGTGTGAAGGAATTATTAACCCCCCGACTAACGACCGGGTTCCTTACTCGCCGCCGGGTCAAGAGAGGCGCGTGAGTGAGGTTGTGCCCCGTCCGGGAATCGAACCCAAGTCGCTCGCTTGTGAGGCGGGCGCTCTAACCCCTGAGCTGCAGGACTCCAGCAATAAACCTGCGAAGCTCTTTGATACCTCCTCCAGACTCCAACCGCTTCTGTCCGCTTCTGAAAGCATCGCATTCACCGTTGCCGGCGCCTCGCCTTTGAAACCCCGTCGCCTTAGCAACGGGACCCATTCACCTCGGGACGCGCCTGGGCGATCCCTGCGCCGCCCCGTCGCATCCTTGTTGCGTCACTCCTAAACAAAATAGTCCGCGAAACGCCACCGCAATTTTCGGCGGTCGAAAGGTTCCCAGTTTGACGAGCAGCAGTTTGGCGGCGCTGTAGGATGGGATCGCTCGGGATTTTTTTTTTTTGTCTGGGAGGGGAAGAAAGGTCTTGATCGTTCGTTTGGTTAGAAAGGGCTTCCGCCTGTGACGGCATCAATGTGCGTCCGGGGCGGAGGGCGGGAGCGCGGGCGGCTGTGCTGAGGCCGGGTGGCGGTTACCATGGCGTCTCGCTCCAACCGGGAGGACCTGGACCTGACTCGGGATGAAGTCGAGCGCTTCAGGGCGGCGTTCAAAGACGAGAAGTTCAAGGAGCTGCTGTTCGAGTACGTGGAGGAGATCTCCAACCCGGAAAATAAGAAAAAGTACGAGGAGGAAATCTCTCAGCTGGAAAGGGACCGGGGCGTCGACATCAAGTTCGTGCACCCCGGCCCGGGCCATGTGCTGAAAAGCAGCGTGAACGGAGACCAGAAATGCTTCATTAATGTCTGCAGCAACGAGCTGATTGGCAAGGCCTCCTACACGGTTGGAAAGGGGGAGAAGGGGACTCCAGGTCAGCACTGGTCTCTCCCCTACAGTCTCACTCCGGGCAGGGAGGAGCTAACTAAAGGCGGCGGGAGGCAAACGATTTACGATGTGGTCTTTCATCCGGACACGTTGGACATGGCTTATAAGAATGCAACGTTTAAAAAAATGGTGGATAAAACTTCCATGGAGGCCATAGAGAAGCAACTGCATGTGAAGTTGGACAAAAGGAACTTCAAGACTTTAAAGGCAAAATACAAAGGGATGTCGTATGCGGCTGTCATCCGCAAACCCCTACCTGGTGGTCCCAAAGAGCCCTCAGAAGATCCAAACGATCCTTTAAGGTTTCCATACCCCTTTGATCTTCCCAAATCAAAAGATGCCCCAGGAAGTGATGCAGAAAAGAAGAAAACAAGTGGGAGTTCAAAGGCAACTACGGATGATAAGATTGAAGACCATACCAAACCCACAGAACCGAAATATTCTATTCTTTACAGGTCTCACTTTGACGTGCAAGATTATCGAAATGCTCGTGATGCTGTCCCAAGCACCAGACCAAAAGAATTAGTTATTACCATCGATCTTCCTTTGCTCAAATCGGTTGATGATGCTTGTTTAGATGTGACAGAAAAACAGTTGTGTTTAGAGTCTCAGAAACCTAGTTACAAGCTTGACTTGCATCTGTCCTATCCAGTGGATGAAAATCTAGGATCAGCTAAATTTAACAAGTCCAAGAGGCAGCTTGTTGTTACTCTGCCAGTATTAGCCTTGAAACACAAATCGCCTCCAGAAATGGTGGCATGTCATGTTAGTGAGGATGAAAAAACAGAAGATAGGAATGAGTCCATCAGTGGTCAATCGCTGGAACAAGAATCAAAAGTATTTCAATCTGATGAGTGTTCTAAAAAAGAAAAAATGGAGGATGCCACCCCTAGAAACCCAGAATATGAGATTGAATCTGTTAATTATTTGCAGGACTCCAGATTGGAGCAAAGAACACTGTCTCAGAAGAATGAAAAGCTGGAAACTATCCACATAGAAAGTCACCTTGAATCTGTTGCTGAAATAATTCCATCTGCGGCAGACAGCAAGTTTCAGGTGACAAATGGTGAGGTTGTTCTTCCTAAATTTGTTTCAGAAGCAGGTCTACTCATTCCTGCAGATTCTGAAGAACAAAAGAACATCTTGGAAGATGGTGCAGTTGGCTGTATTGATAAAGACTTTCTTGGTTCTTTGGAAAGGTCTGGTGATGGTTCTGTGAATGAACTGTCAGATGATAATCCAGGAGTACATTCATCTGGAAATACAGAGCTTGACTCAAAAGACAGTACAGAGGAAACTAAAATTGTGTGTCCTGATTTCCACTATGACCAGGATGAAGGTTCCATTACCTTTATACTACGAGTGAAACATATTGATAAAGATAATTTGAAGTTAGTACTTAGTACTCATGAATGTAATGTCACATTTGGGACAGATGAGTGTAACACCTTATATTCCCTGTTTGTTCAGTTTCCTACTGAATATCAGTTGGACACCACAAAAAACGTCTTTAGTGTATCTCAAGACAATGCCGCAGTGGTGTTAACAAAATCTCTTGTGAGTCAAGGATTGTGGCAAAGTTTCTGTGCTGGAGAGTCTTGCAGTTGCTTACAGGTAACCCTCCTCTCTTCCTCTCGTCATTCTTCATGACCAAAATGTAACTTTTACTTTCAAATTTCTCCTTCTCCCTTCAGAACTCAAAATGGAAACAAAAAATATTTTTAGTATTAAAATTAAGTTGCTGTGGTAACCATTGCCTCCAGTGGCACCAGGCCTGTGTGAAGTCAGTAGCTTGAGACAGTGGGAAAAAAATATTACAAGCCTAGTTAGAGCAGTTTCTCAAACATTAAGGCTGAATTTTCAAGATAAATTATCACTTTGTCAAATGAGAGCAAATCAAATAACATTACATATTATTTATTAAACAAATAATTGGGCTGGAATTTTTTTAAATTGTAAAAGACATTCATTATATTGAAAATGTAATATAAGTTAATTTATAATGCTTTTGTTGGCTGCTCTATGTTTAAACATAAAATGTCTTTTCTGTTTAGAAGAAATTATTTGTAACTCCAGAAAATGTAGATCAGTTCCTGAGTACTTCCTTGGAGCCTCCAGTTGCAGAGGAGCCCGCTGAGAAGCATCCTGCAGTAATTCTGCAAGTGTCAGAAGTCAGTGAAAGCAGCCTTGTTATCAATTTGAAGGTATGTATGGATCCAGATCTGAACTTTTTAAAAAGAAATACTCACAGGTGTTCATCTTCCCACCCCCGGAGAAAAGGTGCTTGAGTATTACACTGCTAGTATGAGAATGATCCTGGTGGACACCTGTGAGCAATCAACATGTCTGCCTACTCTCAAAGCTAAAAGGTTTCTGTGATCTAGGGATAAATTAGATGCCTTCATTTACTTCCAAAAATAGAATTTCTGCAAGGTAGTTTGATTAGTTTCCAATGTTATTCCCAGAGTTAGAAAAACTGAACACTACAGTAAAAAAGGTGAAACCTTGGGCAAGTTTTGTTACTCCACACACCTGATCATAATCCCTCAAGAAAAAAACAATAATAAATTGGTCACTTCAGTCCACTTCAGTTTGTGAGACACTGCTGTGCGCAAATGGCTGCCGTATTTCGCCCACAAATATACAGTCAATTCACTTTACAGTCTATTCTGTGAAGCGTTTATCAAATGTCTAGAAGACGTGAAAAGCGCTTTATCAAATGTAAGGATTATTATCATTTATTATAAATGATTAATAATGCATTGTGATAGTCATTCAACTGGAGGTCTGCAACAATGTTTGTAAAATGGCCTGATAATTTTCTTCTTGAAATTCATAGATACTAGCATTTATTTAAAGTGACGTTAGTATCCAGTATCTGGTTCTAATTAAGACTTTAATGTTGAAGCATTTTGAGTAGGTATTGTATACTGTAAGAAAGAACAAATTTATCTTTTTACAGAGTTTGATAACAATTTAAATACTTTGATAATCTCCAAATGTGTTTCAAATTCAAAATCAGTTATTTTTGTCTGATTTCAGTCACAAGAGAAAGAAGACACTGAAGACTATGAACTTACTGAGACACTGGACAGAATTAACCAGGATGAAATTTGTAAAATTGTTTCTAATACCTCTGCTGCTATTAACGTTCAGCAAAATGAAAAGGAAATCAGTTCCTCAGAAACAGCTGTGAGCAACAAACTGGAAAAAGATACATCTTTGTCAGAGGAATTCATGAATAGTATATCTATTAATATAAACCAATTAGCTGAGAATATCAGTCAATTGAAGCAGGGAACCAATTCAGAAGAGGAAAACGGCTTGGAAAGTCCAAGACACGAGAGGAATCAAATGACTTTGAATTCTGTTCATGAAAAAAAACTTATGAGCAAGATTGAAACTGAAACACCACCCAAAGAAATCTCAGAACTTAACTTGGCACAAACTGTGGATCCAGTATTTGCTAATGGTAAAAAGCAGAAGTCAGTCCGTTTTAAACAATGTGTAATGGACGGAGCTACACTTGATGAAGATGATCTTCCAGGTGACCAGAACGAAGCTATGTCTTGTGCGCAAGTTGAGCAAATGGCACCACCACCTATCCTGAAAGAAATTAATGCTGATGGAAGTATTGAGATTATTCGTGACCATAGAACACAATCTGCACTTTCCTTTCAGAATACACAACTGTTTGAATTAGACTAATTAAATATTTGATACTTTAATATTTGAAAATTTGTTAATAGGGTTTTAGTTTAAAGCATTGTTTTACAACAGTTTGAACCTATTCAATTTATTATTGTATATTAAATCCCTGATGTTTTAGTTGATGCTCATGCAGTTACAGAGTTGGTGATTGAGTGCAGTATGAAATGAGCCAATAAATTTGGTTACTCTTTTAAGGACTCAGATCAGATAATTTAACATAATGTCCTCTACATCTTATTTGTTTGAAAATTAAATGTTCAAATCCTCTAAAATATGTTGAACAATCTTAATGTAATACTACCAATATGTGCAGTGTTTTCAAAAACACTCATTGTGGCCTTGTGTGAATACTGTGTGAAAACTTAGCGCAAAATATGATAAATGTTGGATTCTAATATTTTGTAGTTTTATTTCTGCTCACAATATCATCAGATATTTGGTTGAAAAGGCCCTTTGCTTTTGAATCTCATATTTCCAGAGGATAAACGCTACTCTCTTTCCATCAAATTAAGGAATTTCTCAATTTGCAGCAGTCTATGTGGATTCATCTTAACTATTTGTGCTCAGCTTCTTAGGTACCTATTTACTTCTGATTTACATGTTTCTGCTGCACTTATTTAGAATATAAGATGTGTAAACAGATTGCTACTTACTTTTTTTTAACCTTTCTAAAGGATCCTCCTGTGAGGACTGAAAAAATGAAACGCGTTCACATAAAACTAGAGAGAAAAAACAATGTTGCTTTTGTCATTTTATTCTTTACAGTTCCATCGACCCTTATGATTTTTTCCTTAATAAGTCACCAGAACATACACAAGTCGAGAATGAAAATGTTATCTCTTGCAATATTTTCATTTCTTTCAAAACAAATGTTCTTACTTCTATTTTTATTCCCCATCTTCTGCTGAAGCAGAGACTTATACTGGGGTAAGTGCCGGCAACCCTCCAGTACCTCATCTCCAATCACCACTCTACTGTGTGGATCTAGAAAATGAGACTAGGAGCTATTCATCACATGGTATCAAGGCCAAGCCCAATCATGCCCATACACCCATACTATGCAGACTTTCCACTGGGGTCACTTGATATTACCCAGGAATAGAAAGACTGGTTCCCTTTCTCCCCCTCTCCCTTGCCCAAAGGATACTGGGCCAATTGCAGCCCTCTACTGCCACCCAGATTGAGATAGCTCACACAGCACACATCAGTGGTCACAACTGAAATTTCCTGCACTTCATGGCTCAGAATCACATTGGTCAGTGCATTTACCCATTGAGCAATTCAGGTCAACCATTTGTTTTCATTCTTGAAAATCAAATATTACATAATTGATCTGTAACAGTCCCCAAAAAGTAACAATTAAAAATGATATCTGGCACTTTGAAAAAAAACAATCACATAATTATTGGAGCCTTCGGTAACTTTTACAAAGTTCATGGTCCCTAATGTCTCCCCAGCCTCCATTTTTGACACGTGGGGAGATTGCAATCAATGGATATGTTCTACTTATCACCATGGCCTCTGGAAACAAGTGCTGCATGTTGGTACTTATAATTTTGTCAATTTTAGCATTTTCAACAGATGGCATGCAAGCTTTCTTGTGATGCAATCCACAATCACCAGCGTGGAAAATGCGAGGAGCTTCACAAACCATAACTTTCCAATGCCGAGGGAGGCAGGATACAGTCAATTGTTGCAGAGTCCAGTCCCAGTTGTAGTCGTCATATTCACAGAAAGTATTTGTGCACTCTAACATTTTCTGATATGTATCTCTCGACATGACCATACCCATGTTGTGCTCTGTCGATCGCCATGTCTTTACTTCCACTTTATTACCCTTGTCAGTGAAATCAAGGACACGGGTATACGTCCCCAGGGATAACAGGTCGCAGTCTGGACAGTGTTCAGTTTTCAGGCTCCACATGCTTTTAAAGACGAGATAGAAATCCGGGGACAGATAATGGTCTTCCTCAATGAACAGCATTGGCCCGTTATGATCCTTCAAAACGTTCACCCTTTCCCAGACGTAGTGCAGCTTCCACCACCAGTGATGTTTGGTTTGACAGAACTTGGATTCCCTGTAATGCCCGAAGGAGTCCGGATATTCGGCATTGTTGCAGCGCAGCTTCAGCGCGTCCCTCCTGTTCAGGTCACGCGGGCAGTCTTTGGGGTCGTGTCCGGGGAACTCGTTCGGGTACAGCTGGAGGCTGAACGGGAAGAATATCTGCAAGACTTGGCAGAAGTCGACGCCGGCCACGATCTGATTGATCCGCGGCGACCAGAAGTCGTGGCTGAAGATCAACAGGACGCGTTCGATGCCTTTGGCTCTCCGGAGCGAATGGATCAAAAGCTGCAGGTGGTCGGGCCGGTTGTGCACTTGAACCACCAGCACCAGGTCGCCGGGCGAGCGAGGCTTCTCCCGGTTCCTGACGGTCTGATCGAAGTTCAACTGGTAAACGACCCCGCGGTACACCAGCGTCAGGTTGTCCACCTCGGCTGGCGGCCGGATCCTGCCCGTGGACGGGGTCGTGGACTCGTTGGCTGCTTTCCTGAGGGCGTCGGCGTGGCTGACTCGCGTGTGTCTGGACGGCTCATCTTCCCTCGGGTAGGTCTCCGGGCTCTTCCTCGGTTTACCGCCGCCGCCGCCCCCGCCGCCGGTGCCGGTCCAAAAGGCGAAGCCGGTGACCAGCACCACCAGCGCCAGGAGCAACACTTTCCTCTTGTAGACGCGACACCTCATGTTAATAACAAGAATAAGATGGATCAGTCGCCTGAGCAAAAGCCCGAGCGCTGCAACCGGAGGAGGGAGGGAGGGAGAGGGAGGGGGAGGGCCGGGGAGGGTTAGACACACTCTCCTCGCTGATCAGGAGCGATCAGAACGGCGGGGGTGGGGGTGGGGTTTCCCCCCCTCCGCCTTTCCTCCTCCTTTCCCCAAATGGTTCGCAGCGCCGCATCGGGGCCCATGGAGGAGGGCGGTCAAGAACCCGCCGAGGTGTCGCCCCGATTTTTTTTTTCTCCCTCTCCCTCTTCCGCTGCTTCTTCCTTCTTCTTCTTCTTCTGCTTCTGGTTACCACACGGGCCCGGACGGCCTCACCGACCACATCGCTCTCGGGTCCGAGGTCCACGGCCACCTCGGCTTCCTTTATATAACATACAATAGACCCCCCTCTCTCTCTCTCCCTCCCCGGAAGAAAACCACCACAAATGGTCCGCCCACCCTCCCGCCCTCCGGATGAGCTGCCCGGTGACTCCCGCTCTCTCTCTCTCTCTCTCTCTCTCACCGCCCACCTCTTGTCGTTCCCCCTCCCCCCGCTATGGCCGCTCTTCCACCCGCCGCCATCTGTTCAAACCGCCGCTGACATTCTAAACCGTTACCCCCCTCTCCTCGCTCGCGCTCACTCGCACGTGATCGTCCCTTTTCCCTTCCCCACTCAGCCGCCGGCTGCCGCGCGCCAACCCATCTTGATTCTCCCCGCCCCGCCCCTTTCTTCCTCGGCCGTATCTGATTGGTTTGCCGGCCCGACGAGGCGGACGTGGATTGGACGAGCCGGATGCCAATCGCCGCCCCGCCCGCCCGCCCCGCCCCTCTGCTGTCGGGTTAGTCTGCGCGCTCCCTCGCCCTCCGTCGCGCGCGCGCGCCCGCGCAGGGAGCGCAGGTCGGTCAGAGTGGGGCGAGTTCGCGCCCTGATTCGGGCCGTGTGAGGAAAAAAATACAGGTTTGGACGTTGTGCCCTAATTTTGGACGTTGTGCCCTAAAAAAAAACGTTTCATTTTAAACCCCCGCGAAAAAAAAAGGGGTGTTGTTATTTTTTTCCTTTTTTTTTAACTTATGTTATTTTTTGCTTTGAAGAGTTTTTATTTTACACACACACACACGAACCTAAATTGGCCAAAGGTAATAATGATAATAATAATAATAATAATCCTTGCATTTGATATAATAATGATAATAATAATCCTTGCATTCGGTATAGCGCTTAGCGCCTCATCACGTCGTCCAGATGACTTAAAGCCGATTCACAGAGTTTTCTGTGAAGTGTAGTGACTGTGTATTTTGTGGGCGAAACGCGGCAGCCAATTGCATCTGCGGAGTCCCGTAAGGGGTCTCAGGGGTTAGAGCGCTCGCCTTGCAAGCGAGAGACCTGGGTTCAATTCCAGGCAGAGGGGCGAAGCCTTGGGCAAGTTTCCTTACTCCACACACACACACAGAGCCTAATAATAATACCTCCAAAACCCAAAACAATAATAAATTGGTCATTTTCAATCCACGACTGTTTGTGGGGACACTGCTGTGCGCAATTGGCTGCCGCGTTTCGCCCACAAACTATACAGTCAATTCACTTTACAGCATATTCTGTGAAGCGCTTTGAGACGTCTAGAAGATGTGAAAAGCACTACATCAAATGCAAGGATTATTATCGTTGTAATATTGGGATACTTTTGGGACAAGTATTTGGTTGACTTTGGGCTACCGATGTATTTCAGTTTCTGTCAACCCTGACACTGAAAGGGATACCTACAAACGGGCAAATAGTGGAATCAACCTGTATCGTTCCAATGCACATCTGTTTGGCTAATTACAAGTGAACACAGTCTGTGCATTTCTTCGCAATCTGGGTTGTGAACCGGGGTCCTAAAAATAAAAGGAAGAATATAAAAATACACGATACAGCCGCTATAAATTTAAGGGAGAAACTTTAATGAACTTCTTATGTTTTTCTCTCAGAAAGCTGCATAAACAACAACAAGATTACATTTGTAAAGCGTCTTTCACGAGTCAATCAGGAGGGCCTCAGTCTTGTTCACATTCAACTGTAGGAAATTTGCCCTCAGGCAGTCGGACATCAATTCCATCTGTGTGGACTGTTGTTGACCAGTTCTAGAGAACATTTCACAATAGACGTACAGGACAATTTCATAATCAATGAAAAGATATTGTGCACAATCCAGTCTTGTTTATTCTAATCCCTTCAAGGACAGTTTGTTTTTTNCTGAAGGATATCAACAATTAAACTTTTAACACTTAATGTAACTTGTTCTGAACTGTTGCAAAGCTAATAATTACCAACACAGTGATATATTAACACAAAGCAACTTCTTGTAAGAAACCTGAAAATGTATGAAACAAAATGACACTCCTTTTTGCACTGCCCCCAAATCAGAAATCCCTAATTTTTGGAGGTTCTATAACGAGGATTTACCAGTTCAGAGATTCTTATAACTGAACACATTAATATTTAATTTTGTTTCTCTAACAAACCTAGATACAAACTTGAAATGTATCCTGAAAGAGCACATGGTATTTTTAAGGCTGTTCAATAGACCATAATGAAAATCTTCCTATTCAGTAAGCTCAAGGTCAACACTAGTTCGATTCCAAATACATTGTAGAAAATCATGTTCAGTAAATTTAGCATTAAAGCATCACTTTTTTTGGATAAAGGCGACAATGTAGAAATCAAAATGGGGGAACTTACCTGTGCCCATCTATTTTCTCTCATAATAACTTGTTTTCATAAATAATATTATACGTATTTATGTGTTCCTTGTATCGCAGCAACCTATGGTGCATGAGATTATCTGGATCCAAAAAGGTTGTAAGATGATATGCTTGTTTACTACACGCAATAAACATAGTTGAACCCTATAATCCATTGCTTCTAATTATACTATACACGGTTATCTTTGTCTTCACAGTAAACATAATAAGCTGACCATTTAATGCACCAATTTGCTGCAATATAAAGATATCTCTAGCTTGCTCCACACAACTGGATGTGTGTGCTTGCTGCCATAAAATGTTTATTCAGATAGCTACGTGCAACACGTTAAATGTCATTAAGTCTGTTCTTTGACAGTTGGTTTTCTAGCACTTTAAATTCCAACTCCTGGGTATTTTATGTGATTCACTGCATAGGTTAAGCTTACAATATGCCAATTTACACATGCATTCAGACATCCATGGAATTTCGCCCCTTAGCTCAGCTCTGTTGCCCCAAGGTTGAATAGCATCCCAACATTCATGATCTAGGCTCAGTCATGGAAGAATGGCTGCTTGGTTTAGAGATCAATCCTCTAGCCTGAGTCTTCAGAGGAGAGGTAAAGACCAAAAAAGAATACACATCATCCACTTTGGCCATTACAAGTTGCTGTTTATTGCTATTCTGGTGAAGCCCCTTGTGCAAATGCACAAAATGTCAAAAGACCAAAAATTAAGATGGGCTTGTCCCTTGAGCAAATTGGAACCAGCTAAGATACAAAACTCAGTGTGTGGAGTAGTGGGCACAAAGCTGACATCCATCATTTAGGGGACCAATTTGTTGTTTCTGCATCATAAAATTGATTTTAAAATACAATAAGAATTAACTGGATAATCAAGAGTTCATTTTAACTAAATGGCTGGCAATTCAAGCTCAGTCACTACATCACACTGCTTGTGAGCAAATGTCTGAAACACTGACGGACTGTCCAGCACCTTGGGACATTGTCCCGACATGAAAGGCATTATACAAATGTAATTTTGCTGTTGTTGTTGTTGTTGTTGTCAGTTCTTGTTTAGACCACTAGATGGAGCACCATATTATGATGGATAGTTGATGGGAGGAATGAAAGTCTTCACTGTCATCCAGTTACACTGGAGAATTGATCTACGCTGAGAAACCCACTACACAATGAAATCCTAGTTTAGCTACAGCTTGAAACAGAAACCGATGTTTTGAAACTATTATAAATCAAACTCATCTGATGGCTCAATTGGTGAAAGGCCACCGGCTAAAATGTAACTGAACCAAACAGAAATAGAACATTGCACATTTGACCTCCAGTCTGTGCTGAATTAGCTGATAATTACCTAAGACAATGATTGTAACACTGGCCTCAACATATCTGAGCTATAAAGAAGGAACTAATCAGCCAGTTTCCCTGACCCTTACTGAAAACTTTGCTTGCGTGGATACAGAGATAGAGGGCATGAATGGCCTTGTCTGTCTGCGATTGATCTTCAGTCAAACAGCCTTAGGACAATATTGGGTAGACTCATAAATGTGTAAACAGTACATGAGCAACTTGGGTAAGGTACTCAGGATGACTCAGGGCCTTCAGGTGATAGGAGAATAAGAAAAATAATCTATGACAAACCAAAGTCAAATCAATTCTCAACATATGTATTTCCATTTTAAGGGAGGGGTGAGGGATTTGGGTATCGTACATTGGAAACAGTAAAACATAAATCCAATAAAATTATGCACGTTCATTGTTCCAAAATGTGCCTTATCATCACTAATCACAGCCTGGTGTGATTTTAGGGGACACAGGATACAAAAGTATGAAGTTAATGTTTATTAAATGAAAATGCAAATGCCACAACAACAACAACAAGATTCCATTTATAAAGCGCCTTTCACGTCAGGAGGACGTCCCAAGGCGCTGCACAGTTGGGTCAGGACCCGAGCAGGGGGGAAATGGTCAGGGTGAGGGGAGGGAAGGGAGCGAGGAGGGGGGAAATGGTCAGGGTGAGGGGAGGGAAGGGAGGGAGCGAGGAGGGGGAAGAGAGTCGAGAGGGGAGCTGAAGGCTCGGTCAAAGAGAAAGGTTTTGAGACCGGCCTTGAAGGAGGAAAGGGAGACCACCGATGGTAGGGCGATTGGGGCGGGGGACGTGGAGCAGACCGGAGCCGGAGGAACGGAGGGTACGGGCAGGTAGGTAGGGGGATAGTAGGTCAGAGAGGTAGGAGGGAGCGAGGCCGTGGATGGCCTTATAGGTGAGGATGAGGATCTTGAAATCAATCCTCTGGGGGATGGGGAGCCAGTGGAGGCGAGCGAGGGTGGGAGTGATGTGGTCGCGGTGTCTGGTGCGGGACAGTACACGAGCTGCAGAGTTCTGAATGACCTGCAGTGTGGAAGGAGGTGGCGGAAAGGCCGACGAGGAGAGAGTTCCCATAGTCCAGCCTTGAGGTGACAAAGGCGTGAACCAGGGTTTCAGCCGCGTGAGTGGGAGGTAGTGCCGTAGTCTGGCGATGTTCCGGAGGTGATGGAAGGCGGTGCCAGTTGTGGTGCGGATGTGAGGGAGAAAGGACAGCTCAGGGTCGAACAAAACGCCGAGGTTCCTGACCGGCTTTGAGAGGTGGAGAGTGCAGCCTTGGATGCTGATGGTGTCGGCGCCTGAGGTACGGAGGCGCTGACGTGAGCCAATCAGGAGGGCCTCGGTTTTTCGCACGTTGAGCTGAAGAAAGTTGTCTCTCGTCCAGGACTCGATGTCGGACAGTCAGCTGTCAGGACATCGGTGGTCGTGGAGTTGAGAGTAGAGGAGGAAAGGTAGAGTTGGGTGTCATCCGCATACATGTGGAAGTTAACTCCATGTCTGCGGATGATGATGATGCCACATACACAAGAAAGGGTTCCTTGCACATTACAGTTTTGTCAATAAAAATGACAATTGCAAACCTCTGGTTTGAACAATATTATAGAAATACAAGGCAGGCAATATATATACTGAGTATCACTGTACTCTTTTTATTCATTTCTAATATGCATGACTTAAAATACTTTATATACTGTTTCAAGGTCCATTTACATTTTTATAAAAGTATTGCAAGCACGTTTGGAACACTGATGTAGATTTCCTTTAATGTGTTTAATATTGAGGTCAAAAAGTGTTCAAAGATTACAAAATACAGTACCAAAACTGCTGAACATTATTTCAACTCAGACTTAAAATGTAAACTCTTTCAAGTAAAGTTTTTGTCCTGATAAGACTGCAATACTCAGTTGTTGCTTCGACATCCAAATAGCTTCTGCGATCTCTTTAAATATATATACGTTATCCAACTTCATTTGCTATAGAGTATGCATCAATTCGGCTATTTGGATATGCAGGCATCAGGTATTATGAGGTCTTTGCTTACCTCTTAAATTAACACATGAAATCCAAAAATGCTACACATCTCAGAGATCTCCTGCAATTGATCACCTGTTGCGTTGTTGGTGCTTGTCAAGATACTCTGAGTAACAGGTTAGTGAACAGAAATAACAGAGAATTGGGGCCTCTGTGCTACCCATGTTATCCACAAGAACTACGGTATGTGAAACTTGGTGTAAGTTCAGGTTTATAACGACCTGGATGAAAGAGTTCAGGCAGGCTCTTCTGCAAAGGCATGTCTTAGTCGAATCCAGATCTTGGCACAGGTGAGCTGGAAGTACGTGTGGCCCATAACCAATTCTATATAAAACAAAGTAAATGGTTAACAAAAAACAGTAGGTGTTACTTGAACTTACAAGTCAAGTGTGAACACGTCCAAGATAGAAAATGCAAAACAGCCAGGTTATTTTCTACTGGACAGGTTCCTGCTGCCTACAAAAAAAAAGGTGAACGTAAGCTGGAGTTGCATTCCCACACCAATTACTTAGACCAAACGAGAAAAAACATCTGCCTCAATTTGAATAAATAATTGATAATTTGGGTAAAGTTAATAGACGTTTAATAATCTGTGACAGTGATTTGTATAAACATGCTGATCATCTATCTGTCTCAAGTTATTCTAAATGGCCACATTCACATTGAGATCATCAGTACAGCAGAGTCTCCGAGGAGTACATTGAATCATTGGTATGTAAATTCTCCATTATCGGTATTATATGGATAATGATTTTGAAGTAATTCCATAGTTGGATTCCAGCTTCTGGAATTTTCAGTAAATTTGTGAACTTGAATCCAAGCCTCACCCTATAATAAAAGTGACTCACTTTTGCTGAATAAAGACATTTTGGGTGGGTGTCTAACATGAGTAGAAATCACTTGATGTACTTAAGATCCAGATCTAGTTTAATGTAAAATCAGTCAAAAACTTTGCTCAAAATTTGAATTTATGCACTTATTCTTTTAAAGTTTGTATTGCCAAGTAAAAACCTTTTTGTATTCTCAAGTAAAAAAACATTTAATTTCGTTTTAAAGATCTCATGGAGCTCAGAGTCTACGTATTAGATTGTGAAAAGTATTAAAATTAAACAACTTTTGAACAACTGCGATTCAGCTCAGGTTGTGATGAGCAGTTATGGATACTGGGACGTCCTCCACCTAGCAAACTGAGGACACCATCCCAGTGGTCACCATCAATGAAGTTTGAAGGTAAATATATAACCGGTTGAAAGGTTAGCAATTCTGCTTTCAGGCTAGTAGGATGTGACACTGATAAAAAAAACAATACCTATTGGATCTACAATACATTTTAATTTAGATCTGCTTACCTGCAATTTACTGTTGCTCTTGCTGCAATCTCTAACAGGGTCATTGGGATCTGGAGCTGAACTGTTGGAGTCAGAGGATTCGGCTGCTCAAAGAGGTTTCCAAACAGATCCACATTCTCAAGGCACAACCTCTGGAAATCGCATGGAAGATAAGGCAATTTGTTGCGTGCAGCTGAGAGGAAGCGCAGTTTATCTAGCTGACCGATCTTGAAAGGAAGCCGGATTAACTCATTGTCATCGAGTTTTAGATGAACAAGTTCTTTTAGTTGACAGAACTGGACAGGAAGAGCACGCAATCTGTTGTGGCTCAAGTCCAAAAACTGTAGAGATTTCTGCAAAGTGGAGTTACACAATGCAACACTGAATGTCTCCAAGTAATTATTGTGCAAAACAAGCTCAGACAGGCAAGCAAGGTCTCCGATCGAGGCTGGCAGTTTTCGTATGTGGTTATTGCTAAGATCCAGCTTCCGTAGTTTTCGAAGGCAAAGCATGCGCATGTCCACACGGGCTAGCTTGCAGTAGGACACCTGCAGAAATTCTAGAGAGTAAGGAAAGTTTGTGGTGAGGGGATAGTCCTTTCTAGATGTAATCACCATTTTGGTTTTTGGCTTTTCAACCTCAGAGGTCTTAGCTGGAGCCAGGTTGGACAATAGTATAGTGTCTATTTCACTACCTCGGTGAGCCAGCCTTAAAGCAGAAAGAAAGTTCTTCAAATTATTGGCATCTGCCTGCGGAAAGGGATAAGATATATTTTAGGAATATTACACATCACATTTCACTTATCAACACGAACACACAATTTGATTTTGCTCTACAAAGTTGTGCAGTTTCCAGATAATTCTCCTCTAATTAAAACAACTGATCGCTGCAAGATTGCTTAATACATGGTTTAGGATTCCTTCACTAACAGAAATCAATATTACAACCAACCTTTGGGACATAATCCTTTTCTGTAACAAACATTTGCGGGATCAGGATAACGCTAATCATTATACAGTGAAGAGAATCACATCTATTAGCAAAGAGCGCGAAAATTATAACCTACAGGAAGCTAATGAAAATATAAACGACCTTTACATTCACATAATTCTAGAACAAAACCAGCTGTTTAGTGTGCATCCTGCACCGACTCTGCTTGAAGTGTGATTGTAATTTGCTGGTTATTTATAAAATGGAACATATGTTAAGAAACAGAAGCCAGTCCCAGCCTGCGGCACGTTAGTAATACAACACTAATAAGATTATCAGTAAGCAGTTTATTCTGTACATTATAATTTGAGATGAGACGCACTATACAAATGCTTGTCGTTGTGAACGGCTGAGTGTGTCTATGAAAGCAGACGTCCTGGTTTTAATCAAATGACTGAGCTACCAAACTTCAGATTGGAAGCCCGCATCACCACAACATAGATGTGCATCAATGAACAGAACATAAGCAGTATCCGATATTTTACACAATTTAAAATAGTCTGTAAATAACAAGAGATCTGATCAGATGCGTGTTAAGAAGCTGATTAGATTCATCACACACAAAAATAAAGAGGGCTAATGATGCTCTGTGAAAGCTCAATAGAATTTATTTAACACTAATGAGATTAAAATGCGAAACAAGGGACACGCTAGACGATGTACTACTTAATGATGGTAAATATCAAAGGTATATTCATGGTACAGTAGGTCTGGTATATTCACTGCTGATTAGCAACCTCACACCAATTTTTGTATAAAGAAAAGCAAAACAGGCGTGGTAACTGGAGGGGAGTACAATTTCCTTACATCCAAGTAGCCAAAGTAACCAACAAATTCATGACTCCATTTCGATTTACTACTTTCAGCAGATCAATTTTTCCTACAGCATTATTGCTTTCAAGCTCTTTTTACAGAGACTGTAAATGGTGCTATCACAGTAACCGAGGGGTAAATTTCATTTATCTTTATTGCAGTTCCTCATTCATGACAAAGCAATAAATCATTTAACTTTAAAACAATACAATACTAGATCCCAGTCTTTCCAGCTACCAGTTTGTGGAATTTCTGTGATGTCAATAAGTACAATTTGATATTTCTTATTTTTTTAATACTGCTCACAATTTTTCTTTCTCTTCAGGTCCCATTGGGAGTTACAGTTTGAGTTAGTTAAGAATTTAATAGAGATCAGTCAGTTGCTCATTTTGTTGGATGCTACTCTCACATATATTGCATCAGGAATATGTGAGATTGCATGTTATTTTCCAAAAATGGGTTGAGCCAGTCTTTTCCTGTACTGCACATTCCTATGCTAATTCATTAAGATGGTTTAATCTTCCTACAGTAAATCAATGAGGCAATGTTCCTTTCAAATCTTTGATTGTCACGGCCAAGGGCCACGTGATCTCAGCCAGTCTGCCACTGAATAAGAGTCCTGGTTTCAGGACAGTTTCAAGGGAGGCAGCCTGCAGGTCAGGTCATGCTAAAACAATTCCACAAATTAAAAAGGTCAAGCACTTCAATCAGCTTTGTGTCTGAACTATATATTGGGAGAATGTGTGACAATCAGAGAATCTAACATTAGTGTTTAGTAAAGGTGTATGAGTTGCTGCACTGCTTTATTTTGATGCTAGCCCATGAAATACTAGGAAATCATTTTCTACAGGCTTTCTATCCACCATTGGCCATTCAAGTTATTGCCTACATTAACTGGGACCTACCTTAAGTTGCTGGGACAAGAGGAGAAAGCGGGAGAAGAAAATAGAGCAAATCAGTTAATAATAATAATTCTTGCATTTGATATAGCGCTTTTCATGTCTTCAAGTCGTCTCAAAGTGCTTCACAGAATATCCTGGAAAGTGAATTGACTGTGTGTTTTGTGGGCGAAACGCAGCAGCCAATTGGGCACAGCAGGGTCCCCACATGCAATCATGGATTGAAGTGATCAATTTATTATTATTTTTATTGAGGGATTATTATCAGGCGTGTGGAGTAAGGAAACTTGCCCAAGGTTTCACCCTGCCGGGAATTGAACCCAGGTCTCTCACTTGCTCTAACCACTGAGCTACAGGACTCCATAGTTGGCTAGGTTCTTGCTCCTAACTGCTCTCTGATGACCTAATGCTGAAATATGAATGCATGAATATTGGATAAGGACGAGATTGGGCTTCGGTTTAATGTCTCCATTATTGGAAGTCTGCCAACACTTATTGTCTAAGTTCACACATTAACAATGGCAACTAGGAGAAGGCACCAGAAGCCTTACAGGTGTCACTGGAACTGAACCTCAGAATAACTTATAGCCTTGAAAGAAGGAAAGTTAAAATAGCCTTCTCAGAATCAGAAGCCATTGTTATCAAGTAATTGATGTATAGTAATACTTGGGAAGCCACAAATTCTAAACTTGGAACTAATGCTATCCTAAAAAAATTGGCTAAACAGGTAGTCATAATTTCAAAGCAGTCCTAAGTATCCATATGGGATGCTTTGGAAACATGCAACAAATTTGAGGCTTGTCCATCTTTCAAACAGCGACTGTACCTTTAAGAGCACAGATCATTTACCCAAATGTCCACAAATAACTGGTAGAAAGTCGGCTATTTCTCCCAAGTGCCTGGGACATGCTGATAAGCATTTGCAAGATAGTATTTTGTAATTGAACATAATTACAAAGATGAAAAAAACATTGACAACAGCGTTTTTCAAAATAATCTAAACATCTGCCAGATTGTGGGATTATCAAAAATATTTACATTTAGTTGAAATAGGAAGTTCTGCAGCCAAAGCCAAGCCTGATTTTCCCACTCAGTTGTGTTTAGAACTTGGAACTAATGCTGTGCTAAGGAGGAAGGAAGTAACACTGAAACTTTACAAGTAATAGCTCCAAATTCAGTAACACCAAGAAGCTTAAAATAGCACTAATGACTTTTTTCTTCATGACTGAAGAGGGTTTTCAAACGCATTGGCAATTTTTAAAGATTAACAATAGTATGTGTTAATATCTACTATTGTTTGGAGTAGCATTTTGTTCAGCAAGGATTATATAGCCACAGCTTTCACAATATTGTGAGAGACTGAGGGCAATTTTAAGGATAGGTGCAATAAATCAAGAAATATTCAATCAAGAAAATGTATTTTGTTGGACGACCATAAATGTTGGCCACTATTGGCCCAGACTGACTTCTTTTTGTGAGTAAATGTGGCAGCCATTTCGTACACAGCAAAGTCTCCAAAACACCATGAAGTGACTGACCAATTTATCTGGAGATAATATCAACATAGATGTTGAATAGGCAGCTGCAATTGTTCTGTTTTCTTGCATTGCTGAGGAGTGGGAGAGACAATGCTCCATATCCATGCAAACGCTCTGTTCAACCACAGTCAGTTTCAACTTACTAAGAGGCAATGCTCATTTCTTCTCAGTCAGTAGAAACAGGCCAACTGCACGCAAAGAATTTTACAAAGTTTTCAAACAGAATAAGTTTAAAAGAAAGTTTATCTCCTCGTGGCTCAATAGATAACAGCAAACTACGTTTGTAATTTCAGGAGAACGTGAAAGTCACTCTACAAATGCACCATACACAATGCATATTGAGGCAGGCAAACTAGGAAGCACCAAACATGGATCCCTGGAATGCTGCTAGAATGGAGAACAACTGGCCTCGTGTCCACATTTTTGGGGCGGAGGGGGCTTTGGAAGTGGAGAAGAAAGAAAGAGATTGTACTCCAGCATGCATCACTCGCCGAAGAGGCATGGTTTAATGAAGTGAGATCACCTATAGGGGAGCTCTTGCTTTCCATGAACAGTTATACAATAAAAGGAAAATAAAGTCTGATGTATTTTAAACATATTTCGAATAACTTACAGGACACTCATCACCCCCCTCCCACCACCCATTTCTTTCATGTCCCCACCCGATTTAGCATTTCAAGGCAACCTTCTCCCAGGTCCCTTGTCGGGGCCACGCTTAAGCTGCTCATCAGAAGCTACTCTAAAGTTACTCAAGGTTACCCCCACAACCCTCTCTTCCCCTGCAACTCTCATCCAACCAGAAAAGGGTCTTCTGTCCATGTGGGAAATCAAGGCGAGGCCCCACAACCCCACTCTAGGCCCCATGTATTCTGGAACCTACCAACTTGCAACACTGACTCGGAATGGGTCATCTGCAATTTTTTCAGCCAACTAAACTGGTCAGATAACAAAAAAGAATTGCCAGGAAAGTTTTCGTGCAAACTGCTGTGGGACGATACACAAAAGACCACCTACATGTGATCTGCCCATTGACATCACAACTCTCTCTGCCTGTGATTGATTAGGGCTCATGTCATATCTTGATTATATTGCTGCTGATTCAAATCCTGGCCAAGTAACCGCTGTGAAGCAGATATTGAACAAAGGATTGTCCTCAGTCGCACTCCCTCACTCAGCATCAGAGTCCATAACCTGAATCTCCCAGTCGCTCAAGTCCGAGTCAACCGCAAACAAATACCGTACTTGCAGATTCCTTGAAGGAAAACTTGTTAAACTTACGCTAAGGTCCTTTTTTTTAAAAAGCCACCAAACAAGATAAAAAAATCAAAGGCATCGAACCCTTCCAACTTTCATATAAAATACTTTCACATAGAAGTACTGAGCTTGCACGAACGTGGCGAAATATTGCATAAAAGTTTGGGTTTGGCAGGACACTGTAGAGGGTGAAGTCACCCCTGGATATTTGGTGAAAACAACATTAACCTCCCACCCCCCCCCCCACTCCCCCCCACCCCCAACCATCCAAGATCCCACCAAAAAAAGAGAAAAAGAACATGAATACTGAAACAAAACTCGTAGCCAATGTCATAAACTGGTTTTATCGGAATCCAAACAATACTACGATCCAACGATGGATGGTGTCGATCCATTCGAAAATCTTTTCACCTGGTCCTGGGGTTTTTTTTTGGGGGTTAAAAAAAATAAAAATAATAATAAAAAATAATGAAAAAAAAATCCAAAGTTGCTGCCAGAGCAGCGTTATGGGTTGGAGCTTTTCGATGGAAGTTTGCAGTTTGGTGACATTAGTTTTCCCAACACAGAGAGGACGACTTGAGAGCCTCCGAATTCCCACCACCGAGTCCTGGTCACATGAAACCATCCCGACTGTGTGTGGGGGACGGGGACGGGGACTCCTCTTGATTTGGGGGACGGGGTTCGTGCTGATCGACTGATCGATCCCACGCGGATCAACCGGTCGTGAAAGTTATCGATCTCACCCCTCAACTCCGCCCCCCGTTCTGAAAGACAAGTCTTGTGTGTGTGGTGTGTGGTGTGTGTGTTGTGTGTTGTGTGGTGTGTGTTGTGTTGTGTGGTGTGTGTGTTGTGTGTGTGTTGTGTGTGTGTTGTGTGTTGTGTTGTGTGGTGTGTGTTGTGTTGTGTGTGTTGTGTGTTGTGTGTGTGTTGTGTGTGTGTGTTGTGTGTGTTGTGTGGTGTGTGTTGTGTGTGTGTTGTGTTGTGTGTGTGTTGTGTTGTGTGTGTTGTGTGGTGTGTATGTTGTGTGTGTTGTGTGTGTGTGTGTTGTGTGGTGTGTTGTGTGGTGTGTGTTGTGTGTGTTGTGTGTTGTGTTGTGTGTGTGGTGTGTGTTGTGTGTGTGTTGTGTTGTGTGGTGTGTGTTGTGTGGTGTGTATGTTGTGTGTGTTGTGTGTGTGTTGTGTTGTGTGTGTTGTGTGGTGTGTGTTGTGTGGTGTGTATGTTGTGTGTGTTGTGTGTGTGTTGTGTGTGTGTGTGTTGTGTGTGTGTGTGTTGTGTGTGTTGTGTGGTGTGTGTTGTGTTGTGTGTGTGTTTTTCCCCCACACAGTGCAGACAATAATCCCACTCCCCAACCCCTACCTTACTGAGGCAGATGTCCAGCGCCGGTTCCTTCAACCTGATGGTCGTCTTTCCTTCTTCCACGAACTTGGTGAAAAGCTGCTCCACGTTTTCCTTCAGCTGCCCCCGGAGCGGTCGGCGAGAAAAACAGACGGACGACAAAAAAAAAAATAACAAAAAAAAAAATTTTTTTTAAAAAAAATATAATTTTTTTTTGGGGTTGAAAAATTAAATAAATAATTTTTTTAATTTAAAAAAAAAAGAAAAAAAAACCAACAGCGGAATACCCGAGGTCGGCGGCGCTCACCTTGTACTTGCACCCCGCTTTGTCTTTCGAGGTGCAGACCAGGAGGTGGGGGGTCACCGGGTTGGTCTTGGAGCCCCGGTCGTGGTGTTTGCCGATGGACAGCACCGCGCGGGTCCCTCTGCCGCGGGTCCTGAAGCCGAAGGTCGGCAGCGACCGATTGACGATCTCCACCTCGCACTGGAGCTTCATCGTCTCTCTGCCTCCAGATGGTCGCCCCACTGGGAGGACATGGCTCTGGTCGGTCAGACGGACGCGCGACATTCCCGTCGTATTAGACGCGGGGGGGGGGGGGGGGGGGAGAGGGGTCACACAGCTTCACCGGGGAGGGGCACACGCTCACCGCTCCCCCCACCCCCCCCGACTGTACCCCCTTTTTCGCTCGCGCTCCGCTTCACCCACACCGCGCCTTCCCCGGTCATTGGCGGAGCACCAACCACCGAGTCACACACAGGGAAGCAGACAGACCCCTCCCTCACTCCCCCCTCCCCGCCCGCCCACCCGCTATAAACCTCTCTGGGCTCATGCAATTGCACACAACCAAACCTCCTCCCTCACTCCCCCCCCCTCCCCCCACTCCCCCCCCCCTCCCTCACTCCCCCCCCACCCTCCCTCACTCCCCCCCCCCCACCTCACTCCCCCTCCCCCCCACCCCCCTCACTCCCCACCTCCACCCTCCCTCACTCCCCCCTTCCACCCCACCTCACTCCCCCTTCCACCCCCACCTCACTCCCCACCCCACCCTCCCTCACCCCCACCCTCCCTCACTCCCCACCTCCACCCTCCCTCACTCCCCCCCCACCCACCCACCCACTCTCCCTCACTACCCCCTTCCACCCCCACCTCACTCCCCCTTCCACCCCACCTCACTCCCCCATACCCCCAACCTCCCTCACTCCCCCCCACCCTCCCTCACTCCCCCCCACCCTCCCTCCCTCACTCCCCACCCTCCCTCACTCCCCCCCACCCACCCACTCTTCCTCACTCCCCCCTTCCACCCCCACCTCACTCCCCCATCCCCCCACCCTCCCTCACTCTCCCCCCTTCCACCCCCACCTCACTCCCCCTTCCACCCCCACCTCACTCCCCCATACCCCAACCTCCCTCACTACCCCCCACTACCCCCCCACCCTCCCTTACTCCACTCACTCCCCCATCCCCCCTCACTCCCCCATCCCCCCAACCTCCCTCACTACCCCCCACCCTCGCCCACTACACCCCTCCCCATCCCCCCCAACCTCCCTCACTCCCCCACCTTCCCTCACTCCCCCCCACCTCACTCCCCCCCCACGACAAACAGCAACGATTCCTTCCCCCCAAAAAAAAACTAACACTCCACCCCATGCGTTTCCGAGTTTTTCTACTCGACTAAAAACCAACGATTTGTTTTATTATACAAAACAATAACAATTACGGTGTCCCGTCTCCCCCCCCAAAAAAAAATAACCCCCGAAACTCAACTTTTTTTTAAAATTTATATGTATTTCAATTTTTTATATAAATTTTTTTTTAAAAAATCCCCCCCACACAACAAGAAGATTCCGCAGGAAAACGCTGTGGCTTTTTTTTTTCTTGGCAAAGTGCCGACTGGGATGAAGTTCAGTGGCTCTCAGTGTGTGTGTTGTGTGTGTGTTGTGTGTGTGTAAAAAAAATAGGATGAATTTCCTGAGAATTTGCGTCGTGACGTTACTATGTTTCCATTGAACCATCTCAGCGCTGTAACACTGCAGTGGGGGGAGAGGGGATGGGGAGGGGATGGGGATCAACATGAGACGGGGGTCACCGACGACTGACCCACGTTTCTCAAAACGTGCGACATCTGGTGCTTTACCCTCAACAGTTAGTTAGTTAGTTAGTTAGTGAAGTTAAGTCGGTCGAGTGCTGTGTGTGTGTGTGTGTGTGTGTGACTGGACACCCGCAGCGTTCCAGGCGCTCAGTCCGTGCGAAGTGCGCATTGTCCTCCACACAACACACAGCCACATATATAATAGTGTTGACACCCCAACACCGCCATGGCGATCAGTAGTTGGCGCACGTACAGTACATACAACACTCACTCTCTCTCTCTCTCTCACACGCACACACACACACACACACACAGAAGCCAGAAAGCACCAACACCTTCCGGGATCACAAACAGCTCTCTCCCTCTCTCTCTCTCCCTCTCTCTGTGTCTGTGTTTTGTTTTGCACATCAACGTGAAGTGGATCCACAGATAACCATTTGTTGGGTTGGGGGACAAGTGCGCGCACACACACACCAACACACACACACCAACACACACCCCAACACACACACTCACACACCAACACACACACACACACACCAACACACCAACACCCGCACACCAACACACACACACCAACACCCGCACACCAACACACACACACCAACACACACACCAACACACCCACACACCAACACACCAACACCCACACACCAACACACACACACCCGCACACCAACACACACCCCCACACCCACACACCAACACCCACACACCAACACACCCACACACCAACACACACTCACACACCAACACACACACCCCCACACCAACACCCACACACCAACACACACACACCAACACCCACACACCAACACCCACACACTCACACACCAACACACACACACACACCCCAACACACACACCCACACCAACACACACTCACACACCAACACACACACACCCACACACCAACACACACACACACCAACACACACACACACCAACATACACACATCAACACACACACCCACACACCCACACCAACACACACCCCAACACACACACTCACACACCAACACACACCAACACACACACCCCCACACCAACACACACACCCGCACACCAACACACACACCCACCCCCACACCAACACCCACACACCCACACCAACACACACTCACACACCAACACACACACCAACACACACACTCACCCCACACACACTCACACACCAACACACACACACACACCAACGTTTCTAAATCAACTCAAGTGAGACATGTTTTAAGCGCAAGCATTATTCCAGTAATACTGTACATACCGTTTTTAATCAATAAAAATAACCACACAAATCTAACGTGAAGCTTGTCTGATATATTGTTGTTATTATTATATTATTGTTATTATTATTATAGATAGATCGACCTCAGAGAGAATAATAATAATGATAATCCTTGCATTTGATATAGCGCTTTTCACGTCGGGAGGACGTCCCAAAGCGCTTCACAGAACACACTGTAAAGTGAATTGACTGTATATTTGTGGGCGAACGCGGCAGCCAATTGCGCACAGCGATGTCCCACAAACAGTCGTAGATTGAAAATGACCAATTTATTATTGTTTTTGTTTTTGGAGGGATTATTATTAGGCTCTGTGTGGAGTAAGGAAACTTGCCCGAGGTTTGGCCCTGACCTGCCTGGAATTGAACTCAGGTCTCTCACTTGCAAAGCGAGTGCTCTAACCACTGAGCTACAGGACTCCTACAAATGCCTTTGTTAAGGTCGGTTCTGCTCTTGAAATCGTCAATTCCTATTTAGGGCAGAAATCCTGGTTAGAAAAAAAGAGCTAAACTATAAAAGGCAAATGTCCCTATTGCCTTGCCCGCCCTTTCATCGTATACTAACGGTAATAATAAGTTGCAATACGCTTTAAGGCAGTAATTGAACTCCCTAGTTCCAATATAACCATAAATGTATAATAATAATAATCCTAACTTTGCACGTTTTGGTTCATGCATTCTACCTCAGACTCAAATGTGAACCATGTGAATTAGCCGAGAACTCAATTTGAAACAACTATTTATCCAGATAACAATCTGCAACACATTCCACTGGAGAGTGTGCGTGCACAGGGTCTACGTGCATTGCCATCCATCTAAAACAACAACACAATTTCATTTATAGAGCGTCTTTCACGTTGGGAGGACATCCCAAGGTGCTGGACAGTTGGGTCAGGACCCGAGCACTGGGGGGGGAAATGGTCAGGGGGAGGGGAGGGAAGGGAGGGAGCGAGGAAGGGGTAGAGAGTCGAGAGGGGAGCTGAAGGCCTGGTCAAAGAGAAAGGTCTTGAGACCGGCCTTGAAGGAGGAAAGGGAGGAGGCGGCGAAGGCACTGGGGGATGGAGTTCCAGAGCCTCGGGGCTGAGAGGCTGAAGGCCCGGTCACCGATGGTAGGGCGGTTGGGGTGGGGGATGTGGAGCAGACCGGAGCCAGAGGAACGGAGGGTACGGGCAGGTAGGTAGAGGGATAGTAGGTCGGAGAGGTAGGACGGAGCAAGGCCATGAATGGCCTTGTAGGTGAGGATGAGGATCTTGAATTCGATCCTCTGGGGGATGGGGAGCCAGTGGAGGTGAGCGAGGGTGGGAGTGATGTGGTCGCGAGGCCTGGTGCGGGACAGTACACGAGCTGCAGAGTTCTGAATGACCTGCAGCTTGTGGAGGGAGGTCCGGGAAGGTCGGCGAGGAGAGAGTTCCCATAGTCCAGCCTTGAGGTGATAAAGGCGAGGACCGGTGGTTCAGCAGCGTGAGGGGTGAGGTAGTGCCGTAGTCTGGCGATGTTCCGGAGGTGGTGGAAGGCGTTGCCAGTTGTGGCGCGGATGTGGGGAAGAAAGGACAGCTCAGGGTCGAACAGAAAACACACACATAGCTGCTGTTTACACACGCATACAGTATATTTCAATTATAATTTGTAGTTGGCCGTGCAGTTAAAGTCGCTTGAAGCAGTCTGACGGTTCTCCTTGATGTCTCAGAGTAGCAGAGGGTCCCAGGTTCGATTACTGATCTGTCTCCTCAGCCAGACTCTGGGTGAGCAGAGATTCGGGTCTGGCTGTACGTGACCCCCTGGAAGTTTTACTTTTGGCAAAAAAAGGGACAAAGGAATGAATGCTGCTTCCTGTGGACTTGTTTGTCCCTGAGCCTGAGGAGATAGATAGATAGATACTAGGCCAGCAAAAGTCTCCGGGGCATTTACCATTTTGGCAGTGGTCGGCAATTTCACAGAGGATTTCATTCATTTTTGCAGACAGTAGTTAATATTGAGCAATACAGAAAATCTCTACATATTGTGAAACTGCCAAGCCACCCGAGATGGAGCCCCACTGAGATAGTGCTTCAGTGACCACTCCCTCCATCCTCATGAAGGGTAATTTCAGAGCAGCTCGTTCAACTGTACATGAAATCATACCCAAATCTTTAAAGCACTGGGTAAAAACACTAAAACTCCTTTTTTCGGTATCTTACCTATCTTTCTCTGATGTGCAGCCAATTGCTTGGCTCACAGGAAGGAAAATAATTCTGTGAACGCTTCAACACAGCAAAACTCTGTGAAGCGTTTTGAGATGTTAACGATGTGATAAAATGCTATATCAAATGCAACGGTTGTTATTATAACGCAATGCAAACTGTATATTTAGACACGCTATTTTCATACAAAGACTACGTTTCGCCCACAAAATATAGTCAGTTCACTTCATAGTACATTCTATGAAGGGTTTTGAGATGTCTCGAAGACGTGATAAGGCGCTATATTAAATGTAAGGATTATTATTATCACTGTTCAGTAGTATAGTTCCTGTTTTGTTATTCCAGCTGGTTACAACAATATGTGGCTGTATCAAACTAACTACTAAAAGATTTGGTTGGTTCAATGTGATGGCCTATTTTTGTCTCAGCTCGCTAATGCTTGAGACTTGCGTGTTGCAAGGCCTTTGTAAACCCTAATAATAAAAAGCAAGATGAGCTATTTAAACTTCAAGTACCTGGTGGTTTCCCCCAGCAATGCCATCAAGGTGCAACAAGGTGTCACACTGACCTATCCGCTCTCTCCGCTCCGCAGGCTCCGGCCATGTCCCACGCCCGGCCCGCCCCACTGTCGTTGGTCTGGCCTTCAGCTCTCTGCCCCCCCCCCCCCATCCCACAAACCCCATAATGTGCAAGCTTCCGTGCTGCGTGCGCACATACAAATATTAAATAATCTTTTGCACTTTTCCCTTTGTTTTCTTTTTTCATGCTGTGTTATCGTTTCACATGTGTGAACAGCCTTCCAGTATTGACCAGTGTTATACCAGTGTCGGGCAGCCACCCAGGTGACCATTTATTTACAAGATGGTGGGCTGGGAGGGAAGAGAGGCAGTAATAGTAAATTATGGTACTAGCACATTTTATGCCATTTACTTCAATTTCTTTGGACCATAAACTGATACTGTAGCCACAGTCGCTGTTCTGATATTAAAAGGTGAATCCCAATTAATTCACCTAATTTATAAATTTGGGGGCTGAATTTTCAAGATTAATAACATTTGGGGCTAAATTTTCAAGAATAATAAAATTATAAATACTACCTCTCAAGAGAGACCATGCATTGCTTAAATGCAAAATTGTGTTTATCCTGAAAATGGCAAAGATGGAATTTAAGAGCAAAATAAATACGAAATGTTATATTGCGCACGCATGACTGATGAGCCACTAGTCTACAAGCCACAAAGCAAGTGGGAAAGTCTAAAATAATGAGCAGCAGTTGTTTGATATACAGTCCTAAAGAATTACCCAAACATGCACATATCCCGGCCACGTACATTCACACGCTCCACCAGAATGCTGGCTGTATCAGGTGACGAAACTCAATGAGTACTGCCAATGCTGAGTATTACAACAGTGACCAGGGCTCAGTGAACAGCCGGGGGCGGGGGGTGTATCTCTGACCCTCTGGCCTTCTAGAACGCTGTTATTTGTATTATTTCAATAGACGCTGGGTTCCTTTGTGCCCTCGGAAGCGACGGAGATTTCTACACTGACTGCAAGCCAACCATTCGCTGTCTAACAAATAAAAACAAGACAATGCTGCCAGAGTGGACAGCCATTAACATTACATGCTATCGATACATCAAAAATTACTCTTCCTCTCAATATACTGTCCGCTCTAAGCCTGAAAGCGGGAAGAGAGAACCCTGAGAATATTCTGGTCACTCAGGCCAGTACTTCCAGCAGTTGCATGACTGAGAACACAATGTTATGGATGACATTGTGTAAGCTCCAAGCATTTTAAAGAGTGCTTCGCAGGATTACACTGTACTGTAAGCTCTTTGGGTAAAGTAAAACAAGTTTACCGAATTCATAACTCGTTGTGCAAATTAATGGCGGTTTTTCTGGAGAGGGGAAAACACTTGAGAAGGATTTCTTCCCTATTGCTCTTCCCGTCTAGGGGTGCGGAAGACCGGTGAACGTCACAAGGCAAGTAAGATTAGCGTCAGAGGGATGGTTCCGCAGAGTTATTGGGTGCTACGGGAAGTCGCCTGTTATGGTTGATCTTTAACATCCACCTGAACGGGCAGACAGTACCTTAGTTTAACGTCTCAGCCGCAGGACTCCCCCCCCACCCCCCCCACCCCCGAAATGCACGGGAGTGTCACCTTAGACTCCGAGAGCCCAAACACCCTAAAGTGGGGCTTGAAACCCTCCGATGAGGGAGGTGAGAGCAAAACCTCAGGCAAGTTTCCGTACCCCGACAGCGAGCAGGAACCCGGCTGTTAGTCGATGGGCGGATGGCTTTTCCGGGGGGGGGGGGGGGGATAATCCCTTCAAAAAAATAACACTCCTCAATCCCCGGCTGTTGGCGGTGACCACCGCCGCCGCCGCCGGAGAACACACGGTCACTACACGCGACGGTATATTCCCGCGAAGCGCTTTCGAGACGTCTCGAAGTCGGGCCGAGAGGGACTGATGTGAAACGAAGGATTCTTCTTCTTATTATTATTATTATTATTGTCTCAAATGCGAGGAATGTGATTGTATATTATTACATATTATTCCTCAGAGAAAGAGAGAGAGAGAGAGAGAGAAAAACGTGACCACACACACCGGAGCGGGTGGATGGAGGTGATGATGGTGAGGAAGAGGAGGAGGAGGAAGAGGAAGAAGAAGAAGAGGAAGGCGGCGGCGGCCGTTTGCTCTCCCGCTTCCCACCATCAGACTGATTTACATCGGAGACGCCGAGGCCGACGAGGGCGCGATCTTACCGTGACAGAGCCCGACTGCAGGGCGTCCAGGCCGAGGGTGAGGGGGTCAGGGGGTCGGGTGGGGGGGGGGGGAGGCTGCGAGCCCTGAGCCAAGGCCTGAAGCCGAACCCGAGCCGCTGACCGGGTTTTGACGGAGCGCGCGCCGCCCGAACGCACAACCGCCGCTGCGATTGGCGGACGCAGAGCACAGCCCTGTAACCCCCCCACCACCACCACCACCAGGGGCAGCACTGAGCACAGCCTGTAACCCCCCCCACCACCACCAGGGGCAGCACTGAGCACAGCCTGTAACCCCCCCCCCACCACCACCACCAGGGGCAGCACTGAGCACAGCCCTGTAACCCCCCACCACCACCAGGGGCAGCACTGAGCACAGCCTGTAACCCCCCCCCACCACCAGGGGCAGCACTGAGCACAGCCTGTAACCCCCCCCACCACCAGGGGCAGCACTGAGCACAGCCTGTATCCCCCCCCACCACCAGGGGCAGCACTGAGCACAGCCTGTAACCCCCCCCCCCCCACCACCACCAGGGGCAGCACTGAGCACAGCCTGTAACCCCCCCCACCACCACCAGGGGGCCAGCCCTGAGCACGGCCTGCAACTCCCTTCCTCCGCCATTAGGGGGCGGAGGAGTGCGGGCAGCTTTGAGCACAGCCTCTCATTGAATTAATTAATCGATTAATTCATCCCCTCTCCGGCCGCCACGAACCTATGTGTTTAAATGGCCGAGGTTCCCCTTGAACTGAATGGGGCTCCCAGATAAAAGTCACAGCGCCACCTGGTGGATTGATAGTAAAGTGCAGCACAGCCCGTCTCCCTGTACGTCGTGCTGGGCGGGGGGGGCGTCCTGCGTCAGCGTCAGCGCGTCCGGCGTCAGCGCGTCCGACGTGGTCCGGAGGGGTTGCAATAGCGCATGCGCGGCCCGGCCTCTTTCTCTTGGATCCTCGGAGGCGGTTAGCGATGGGGCACCAACAGCTCTACTGGTCTCACCCCAGGAAGTTCGGGCAGGGCTCGCGCTCGTGGTGGGTACCCCGAGCGGCAGCGGCCGGACCTCAGCTCAGCCCTTCCCTCTCTCGCCATCACCGCTCCCCCCCCCCCCCCCCCGCACCCGGGTTACAGGAGGTTCAATGCGGCGTTCGGGAGCTCATGGCGGCGGCGCGGCCTTGCGATGAGGCGGTGGCGGCCTGAGGACCGCCTGGGAATCGAGGCCCAAACTACACGCGGGGGCGGCGGTGTGTGTGTGTGTGTGTGTGTGAGGGGGTACTTGTCTGACTGACTTTTTCGTGGCTCTTTTCCTGTGTTTTTTTTCCCCCCCACAGCCGAGTTTGTGCGAACCGACACGGTCTGATCCGGAAGTACGGGCTGAACATGTGCCGACAGTGCTTCAGGCAATACGCCAAAGACATCGGCTTCGTCAAGGTATCAGCCTCGGGGTGGCGGCGCACGTGTCAGGGCCTGGGTCCTGTTTCTTTCCCCCCCTCCCCCTTACCCCCTCTCCTCCCCCCTCTCCTCCTTACCCCCTCACCTCTCCCCCTCTCTCCTTACCCCTCTCCTCCCCCCCACCCCTTACCCCTCTCCTCCCCCCCACCCCTTACCCCCTCTCCTCCCCCTCCCTTACCCCTCTCCTCCCCCTCCCCTCCTCCCCCCCTCCTCTTCCCCCTTACCCCCTCCCCTCCTTTCCCCCCTCCTCTTCCCCCCTTACCCCTCTCCTCCCCCCCCCCTTACCCCCTCTCTTCCCCTCCCCTTCTCCCCCTTTTTTAACTCGTGTTGGGGAATCTTATTACTTTCGATCAATTGCGTTTCCGTTCACTCATCATCATCATCATCACCATCACAATAATAATCCTTGCACTTGACGCAGCACTTTGTCACGCAGTCAAAGACGAGACGTATCTCGGGAGCGCTCCGAGGGGTGTATTTGTAAAGTGGATTGACTGCATTTTATGTTTTTTTTTAAAAAAAAACCTCCAAAAGAACCTGGTCGGGAAACGAGTGTTGAAATGTGTCGGGGGGGGCAGGGGAGCAACATGTTATGGGAAGTAGCCATCTTTAGCATCTCTCTGTCTCTCTCCCCCCCCACCCCCCAATAAACTTTAGCTAAAGTACAAAACGGTAAAATCCATTTTTTGCACTAATGGGGGGAATCACGAGTATCGGTTCTGCAAAGGCAGATGGCGCCTGAGCTGGGATAGTGGGGGAACGATGGCTGACTGGAATTAAAGCCACCTGGCCGCTGAAAAAAAACGGGTATTTCGCACAATCCTCAAGAGCCATGTTATAACACGTTGGTGGTGGTCTTGCGATGAGGCAGGAGAGAATCCATAAAATCTGAACCGTCTGATGATTGTAATCACCAGTCGAGGCTTGCTCAAAAGTGATGTCGACGATGACCTGCGCACCTGAAATTGGTCCGCCTGCATTTTGGCAATTAAGGTTCCGCACCTCAATTATTAAGTGAACTTGCATTATTAAGGGGTTTTATTGCATCTTGCATCCATTCAGTTTAAGAAATTGTTAGATGCGTTTAACCTCGGCAGTATTGCCCACCATATATAGTCATTTCACTTTACAGTATATTCTGTGAAGCTCTTCATGAGACTCAAAAGACATGATAAAATGTTATTATTGAAGGCAATGCTGGAAGAACTGCTGATGCTCATACAACTAATGAAGTCATTTGCAACAAAACTAAAATATAGCTAAGTTTGTGTTTACCATTGTTTGACACTACTAATTCTACGTATATTGTTTCAAATACATTTACAAAGTTAATCTTGCCTCATTCTTCTTTTTACAGTTGGACTAAAGCAACAACAACAAATGGAGCATGAATGACAACTGTTAGTTGAAAAGTGGAAGTGGAAGCTTTGCCATTGAGACTCAACTCTAAGCTATTCCCATCTTAGAGAAGCAAATGTTCTGTAATGCTCCTTTTGTAAATAAACTTTAAAAAATTCACGTTACACTTTTCTGTTCAGTTATTGGTAAGGGAAAATAAAAGGGAATTGACCAGGCATGGCCTTTTATAAGCCTGTCTGAAATCCGCTGAAAAGGGATTCTGGCAAGGATGGGGGTTTATCTGTTCTGAGTTATTTGGGGTGTTGTAGTCACAACAGCTTAATTTACAAATCTTTGGGTATTAGAACATCAAGGACATCCAATGATATCTGGCGTGATATCAGATTTGGGCAATAACAGACCTATCTGCACCAGATGGATGGTGGGTTACGAGTACAGCTGTGTCCATCGGTTACAAATGTTGCTAAATACAGAATTCTACTTATTAAATTTTAAGGTTAAAAGGTGAATTTTTATTGAGAATGGTGAAAATATATCACAAAAATCTATTTTAGGGGGTTGAAGAATACTGCATTGAAATCGGTTTAGTTAATATGGAATTTTGGAACGGTTTCCATGAAGGGATTACAGCATTTTGTACATATGAGGTATTGTGCTCCAGTAAATATTTCTGCTATGGAGAGGTTTGACCAACATGTGAGAAATTACCACAGATAGCAGCAGAAGAACTAAATTGTTTCAGAAAACAATTTGACAAGTTACTGTCAACTAAATGGATTTAGGGTTATAATAGGGTACATCAAAATAATCTTGTAGAAAATTGGATGGGTAAGCAGGTGAAAGCATGATTATTCTTGTTAATTATTCAGGTTTCATGCCTTATTGCTTGGGTTATATTGCATCATTTGTAATGAATTATCACAATTTGGGTGGTGAATTACTGTGAAACATGCAGAATGAATGTGGGTGTTTAGCCAGCATGAATCCTTTTTTAATAACATTTAAAAAAACACAATGTTCTATGTTAATGTTAAAGCCACGTGTTAGAGAAACTCTAAAATGAGGTGTCCTTTTTTTNCAAGGCTTTGATGGTATGTGATGAGTGGAATGTACAAATCGAGCTTCCTGTTGTACATCATCCTACTGCTGGAAGCAAAACCATATCCCATAAATGGAGCATTAATAAGCAGGAGCCTTTATAACGTAATTATCTTGGCAGACTGCCTTGTTATAAACTGACAACACTATTTTTTAATTAGGTAAAATATGTGTGAGAGTACATAAAAGATGTATGAGTATTAAATAAAATAAGCTTGATTTTGGATTTTGAATGAATAAATGATACATCAGATGTTCTGGCAATACACAAGGCAGTTGGCACATTAACATTTTATTCTAAATATTATTTCACTATGTATTCAAATGGGTTTTCAGCAGAATATGTTGATTCTTTAGTTTAAAACAATACATGTGTGAGTTTGTTAGCTACATAGCACTTTCACCTCGAGTCAAAAAGATGTGGGTTCATATTCCTACTACATAATTTTCAAGAAGAGCTACGTTGTTGGAAGGTGATATTTTTTGAAGGTGAAGTGTTAAGTAGGTTATGTAGGATGATAAAATTCCCATGACATACTTCAAACAAGAGGAGTGCATCATGGTATCTCTTCCCCTTGGTCACTATTCTTTCGTCAAAAAAAATTGGTCATTTATCTCATTGCTATTTGTGCCTCGGATTAGCTGTCACGTGTACTTACATAACAGTCACTAATCTTCAAAGTAATTTAATGTGTGGAGGCTTTAGATTTGCTCATGTGATATGGATCTGTATCAAATTGAAGCAATATTTAAACAAATATTAATCCATCTTCAGAGTTTCAGGGAATATAAAAATATTGGATTCAGTGTCATTTGAAGTGAGCAGTTTTTCTTTACCAGCATTTTCAGCTAGATGGCACAATACTAACACAGTTTAACTCTTTATACGTGTGTGTGGTGATAACTGATGTACATGGTTAGCCTTACACTTAATCTGAGGTAATTAAATGTCTGTTATGTTGGGGGTTGAAAACACGCTGTTCGTAGTAAGAAGTCACAAATAGCAACTCCTGGGGGAACTTTGGGTTTATCCACTTCCCATTTTTCCACTCTTATCCTGATTATTTCTGTTGTGGTTTTACTTGGAATCCAGTTTGTTTTGACATGGAACAAATTAAACTAAAATGAAGGAAAAAGTTGTTTTTGGTAATGAACAACAACAACAACAACAAGATTGCATTTATAGAGCGCCTTTCACGGTGGGAGGACGTCCCAAGGTGCTGTACAGTTGGGTCGGGACCCGAGCAGGGGGGAAATGGTCAGGGTGAGGGGAGGGGGCGAGGAGGGGGTAGAGAGTCGAGAGGGGAGGTGAAGGCACGGCTGAAGACAAAGGTCTTGAGACCGGCCTTGAAGGAGGAAAGGGAGGAAGCGGCGAAGGCACTGGGGGATGGAGTTCCAGAGTGAAGCAGAGTAAAACTGCTAATGGCTTTCAATTTAATAAGGCAAGAATGGATATTCAAGGTTGAGAATTATAAATGCCAGGAAGCTATTTTACCAATGTAGAAAGAAAATGCAAAGAATCTAGAGGTATGAGAGCAAGTGTTTAAATATCGAAAACCTATGTTAAGGCCCATAAGGTTGAAAAGCAGGGATGAAAAATGAGTTAAGTCAGGAATTAGTGAGATGGTGTCAAGCTTGAACTTTGAAATCCTGCTCGTATGTGAGTGTGTTTATGTAATGTCTTTCTTTAGCAGTACCTTCTGGACAGTTGTTGTTTTCATGAATAAGATGCATGGATCACTGACAAAGTATAAAAGATGTGCCTTGGAGAGAAAAATAAGATTCCCAGTACTCAAAAATTGCTATGTGGATGAAATAAAAGAAACCTAAACATTTGACTTTATTACCCTGGTCATAAGTCTTGCATTTGATATAGCACCTTATCATGTCTTTGAGACGTCTCAAAGCACTTCACAGAATATACTGTAAAGTGAATTGACTGAATATTTTTGGGCGAAGTGCGGCCACCAATTATGCGCAGCAGGGTCCCACAAACAGTCATGGACTGACTGATTTATTTTTTTTATATAACTTATTATACTTACTTATTAACTTACTGACTTATTTTTTTTATATAAACAACAGTTGTTGGTGTTGGATGTAACTGACAGTTCTGGGGGTGGGGGAGAGAGAGAGGGCGGTTTATATATTTACATACTCACCGACAAACCGGAGGATAATTTGGCATTAGAAAGGGCAAGAACAACACATCATTTCGGGAAAAATGAGTGGACGCATTGCTATTTTTTGCAACCTATGCACATCTGAACCCAAGAATTATACTAATTTGAATTATTTTGAATAAGTCTATGGAACCATACAAATATACAGCACAGAGACAGTCATAAAGTACAGGGAAGAAAAAGAGTGCGAAAGTATACCTGATGTGAGTAACTGATGGTATGTTGATCATATGCAATAGCTCCAACGCGATATTCTCTTGTACATCGGGCAAATGATTAAGTTCGAATACATACTATACTGAAGAGAATGAGAGGTATTCACAAAAAATCTTTTTCTTACAGCACCATCTGCTCAAGGAGGTCATTTCATTACTTATAAGATACATGTGTACACAAGCACGCACCCTTTTTTTAAAAAAAAGTATATTTAAGACCATCCAATCCACAGTTGTGTACAAGGGTCAGTCAAACCCCTTACTAACTTCGAAACGCGAATTAGTTCTATTATTTAAAGAATTGTGCGTTATGGGTTTGTAGCATAGATTAGTCTTTCACAGCTAACAGTTCCAGTGCAACATACAGTCATTGTTTGATTTTTGCAAAGATTAGGAAACCCCTGGTATAGAAGGATCAATTTCTCAGTTGCTAATAATATTGTGTCTCAATCTTGGATGATTACTTTCCTCACTGGTCAGGAAGTCATGACCCAAAAGACAATGAATTGGCACCGATGAAGAGTAAAAATACCTGTAATAAGGGATATGTGAGACAGTCCTTAGCCCCGGGAGGTTTAATTTCAGAGCAGACCAGAATTGATGCAAATATATACCTTCATCTCCCTGACATCTTTGACAGGTAACAAGGGCTGAGATGAACATTCTGCTTGGAATGTATAGCATGTACTCGATTCTGTGCAGAATTTTAAACAGATTGTATTAAACGTATGTGGACCAAGACCAATAGAAATAATAGTTCTGCACTTATTCCAGCAGAATGAAATAATTACACAAGTTCTAACCTACTTTCCAGGCTTAAAAATAATGAAGCTCATAGCATAAGGTAATGAAAACCATAATTTGCGCCTTTTTTGTACAAAATGAAATTCATAAAACATTATAACGATGACAATGACATGTAAGAAACATCTAGGTGCTGTAAAGGGAGGATGAGAGAGCTTGTATCAAATCTGCAAAGAATAGTTTAAATGATCTAGCTGGGATTTGTGTTCATGAGTAAGCATCAAAAATTCGCTGCTTCTTCCATTGAGTTGTATTCTAAAAGTATTTGTTCATGAATTGAATAGCTGTACTGCCATTTATCTCAAATGGGTTTCTTGCGAAAAGATTTTCTCTTGAATCCTGTGATTTCCAATCAGCCTTGTGACAATTGTTAAACTTATTAGAGGGTAAAATGGTCCGACATTCAATTTTTTATATCAGTCTTCATATTCTACCTTGGTCTCCACAGTTTTTGTTAGCACTAATATTGGTCTTTGGTAGCAATCTATGGCCAGCATCCTGCTTACATCTTTTAATACTGGCCACTTCTAAAGGCAATCTGCTCTATACAATTGAGGTAGAAATTGTGACCTTGAATGGTGCCTTTATATAAATAACCACAGTGCTGCCATTTTATTCATGCAGTTGCTGTGAATTCATGAATGAGTTGAATTCATGCCATCACCGTTGACGCTTTATTTGATTTTTATAGATAAGTCACGTGGAGAAACTGTGAATGAAGACAAGGATCGGCAGTGCCTTCCTTGCATATAAACCAGATCTTGCTATGCAAAATGTTCTCGAGAAACCAGAGTTCACTGGTGAATATCATTGAAACCGTTGTATTTGTAGCACTTGCTAATATTGCTGTCATTCTGTCAACGG